TATAAACCCTCTTGAAAAAAAATCGTCGTAACCTTTTGGCACTCCACCGTCCCTCCTGTGAAGGTGTCCTGGCTTGGTTGGGAATTTGGGATGTCGTCTGGAACATGAGTTAATGGACTCATTTCTTTGTTGTGATAATTGTTGTGCTTTTTGTTTTGGTGCAATTACTTCAGTTGTTTATTCAATTTTTTTTTATTTTACTTGGTAAGTAGGGTTTTCATTTGCTTGGTCGTGGCTGAATATGGGATTTGGTCCTCAAATAATTAATATACAGCGTTATGGGATGTTATTAAAATGGAAGTATTAAGTCTTTCCACTCAGTGAGGCTTTCTTGGGTCGTGGCAAATAATTAATATAACATGAACACAAATGGGCTTGGACAGGACAGATCACTCAATACGATGATGACCGATGGATAAGACACACGGCTACATGACAAACCAAAGGGGAACGCATCCAAAGGGGCCGTCCATAAATGACGTCACGCGCGGCGATTTTTGACGATTCTTGACTCCCCCCCCCCCCTTCGTCACGCGGCGTCACAAAAAGTCAGACCCCCCTAAAATATGACGTCATAAAGCTCTGCCCCCCCCCCCAAAAAAGTGCTTCAAATCGCTTTAAACTATTGTCATTGTAATGAGTATTTCATGTGGCACTGCACTCTGATGTTGTAGGAGAAACATTTATTAAAAAGTTTATTTAATTAAGTAGAACGTGTTGTCTATATTTATTTACAGTTGCGCATTTTGATGTGACGACACATTTCTCAAACCACCCCCCCCAAACGTCAGACATCGTCACGAATGTCTGACCCCCCCCCCCGAGGTGCGTGACGTCATTTAGGGACGGCCCCAAAGAGGATGACCGCCGTCGAGATGGAGCAGTTATATCAGTTCACGTGCAGGGCGTAACGGATGGTGACGGCTTGGGGGCTTCATCAGTGTTATAGACCATGGCCGGTGATGTAACTCCCATTACATTTTCTGTTTGCACAGTCACATAGTCACTTTAAGATGTTTTTCCTGTTTGTGTTTTTGTTTTTTTTGTTTGTTGTGGTTGCACCTGATTAAAGAGCCGAATGGCTCACAGGGCTATACCAAAATAAATAAACTAAACTAAAACTAAAAATAACAACCGCCGTTCGCCACTAAGTGGCGATGACGTCACCACAGCGCCTGTGCCAGGACCAGTGCACTTTGAGGCCATGTGAAGTGTCGAAGCCTCGCTGGCAGGTTATGGGACAAACCCGGGTGCCATGGGTTGACTGAGATTATCAGCAGATGCACCAGCTGTTGCCCCCTACTGTGCCAAATTTCAGAATTTTATCCGCCTGGTGCTCCATTGGTTGTTGTGAGCGTCGCTCCTATGCCCTCCGTTGTTGTTGGAGGGCGACTGCCTCCAACTGCCCAGTAGCGTCCTTCACGAGCCTCCTCCACAGAGGCCGATCTTGACACCGCTGGTACCAGTCTTCGGCAAGTCCATTCAGCTCCTCGTCCTCCTGTACCGCATCGGTCCATCTCTTTTGCAGCCCGTGTCATGCCCGTTTAGCTCCCTCTATCCGGCCAAACAGAATCAGAATCTTTGTTTAGACTGGACGAATACAATGAGCTATGAAGCTCTTTTTCACATGTATGGGCGGGTCAGCAAGTTACAACAATACATAAAACCAAAGGAGTGCACAATAGAGAAAATGGAAATCAAGTCATTAAATAGATCAATAATACATGCATTTTACTATTTTTTGTTTGATTTATCAAGCTTAGGCAATGAAGCAAAAACAACAAAACAGTCCCAGACTAAGGTAAAACACATTCATCTCATAAAATGTCACGTAATATTGAACTATCGATACACAGGTAAGGATCAACGTTAATAATCACATTTGCAAATGTAACTATCCAGAACAAATCTTCTGCTTCTGGATGTTTTTGAAGGAATATTTACGATATTAAGGGAGGAAAAAGGGTTATTCCAAAACTCTGGTGCTGCAGCAGCAAAGGCTTTGTCACCTATTCCAATTCTTGTTCTCGCGATATTTAAAAGGCAATTAGACGGGCCGCCTTAGGTGTCTTGGGGTTGAAAATGGGGGTATTGAATTACCTCAATATAGCGCAGATTTTCCAAACAGAAGCTGCTAGGGCATGCCGTGGCTGGGCATGCGGGAGACTACATGACCCAGCCTTGCCCGCCGGAGGATTTCACTGATGGGGAATGTGTCCAGGTCTGTTAAGGACTGGTTACATAAACAAAGATCCCCCGTATAACCTTTAACAGACTCATGTTCTTGGTTATTTCGGTAAAGTCACGTAGAAGGGAAACAATAAAATAATCAAACAATACAATTCTCACGACGTTTCGACTGCAACACAAGCAATTGTGGTGCCACAGCAACGAAGCCGCTCCGTCGGAGCCGCGCCTGCGGCAGTGGTGCTGCAGCAGCGGGGCCGCTCCGTCGGAGCCGTGCCTGCGGCGGTGGTGCTGCAGCAACGAAGCCGTTGCGGCGCTTCCCCCACCACCCTTCACATGAACATACACACACACACACACCCCACATAGAGCCCCGAGGGGAGGTCACCTGGCCGACAGGTTTTCACCCGGAAGCCCTCACATGGGACCAATCTTCACGGTTTCCTGCGAGCAGGGAATTGGGCGACCTCCCCCGAGGCTAGCTCGCACCGCGGCGCCGTGACCTGGATGGTGTTTGCATGGTCACGACGGGGCTGCTCAGCCGCCGCGGATAGAGCGGCACACTCGACACGGGTCAGCAGGCAGGTAGAGAGTGGGGCGGAGTAACGAGCGGCGGGAAAACAGAGCGGCCCTCTGATTGGCAGGATGAATGCACTTGTTTAAAAAGTAAAAAGCGGACGTCGGAGAGAGCACCGATCCGATTAGCGAGGAGCGGGAAATCCGAGGCTCCTGATTGGACGAGAGGCCAGCGGATTAGCGGCAAGTTATCTTTGATAAAGGGCAGGAAAGGTAGGGGCAGCGAGTCGTGTTCTGCTGGGGTCAAGGATCGGAGGAGTCATCGTGCCTGCCACTGGATCGTCCGTGAGACGAGTCACAGCGCAGCCAGGCCCCGTTCCCAGCAAGGACTACGTGCAGCCTCGCCTTTCCACGGCTTCCTACACCTCGGAGTCGAACCGTGAATACGTAGGAGGTGAGATTAAGGGGGATATCCTTAGGAAGAGTGATTGGGGAGAGACGGGACAGGTTGAGTCCTAGACCACCGGGAGATAGGTTAGACCTGCCCTGCTGGCCCACACTGACACGGGTAGTTTAGCTTCGTTATTCGCGGAGAATAAATCGCCAGTAGTCAATAAACCTTGTTGTGTCGTCCCTGCGAGTGCGGAGAGGAGTGCATGGTACTGTGAGCCTTCTCATTGTGGTATCCTGTGTTTGCGCACGAGCGTGTATTTTACCCGCGTGTGTGCGCTCGCCCCTGCGTGTAGCTTGTAGTTAACGTGTACGCGAGGTAGACGGGCGGCGTGCACGCGAGATTAACTGTGTAGCTCGTGGTTAGCGTGTGCGAGAGGCGCACGGGCTGCGTACCCGCGAGGTTATTCACACAGCCCTTTAAACCAGCTCCGGGGCACCTCCTCCAATCGGCTGCGCGCGTACGAGTGACGCCCCTGCCCTCTGACCCCCGACCCCGGGTCCCGCGCGTGCGATTGGTGCGCGGCGCCGGGCAGGTAGCCGCGTCGAATTTTGGTGGCTGCGGGCGCGTGAGTGTGCGCGACTGCGTACGGCGTGCATAACGTTTAGAGGAGCACGCGAAGGGGAGTGTGTGCGAATTGATCCCAGGTGGCTACGCGCCAGCCCAAATCATGCCCCGAGGGGCCGCAGTGATGGGGGGGGGAGTCGGTGAGCAGTAACCCTCCCCAGAACACGGAAGAGGGGAGCAGTGGATCCCACCTGAGCGGGGAGACGGGGGTCAGCCTCCCCGACACAATCATCATCAGGTGTGATGATGATAATTTTATTGTTTTATATATATATTTTTATATTTTTATTATTTTATTGTTTCCCTTCTACGTGACTTTACCGAAAGAACCATGAATATGAATCCCTGCAGTCACGAAAGCTTTAAATCAAAACTTTAACAGACTGTTGGGGCAAGTGCTGTTAGCGAGCACTTATGAAATCCGGCACATGCCCCGAGGGGCCGCAGTGATGGGGGGGGGAGTCGGTGAGCAGTAACCCTCCCCAGAACACGGAAGAGGGGAGCAGTGGATCCCACCTGAGCGGGGAGACGGGGGTCAGCCTCCCCGACACAATCATCATCAGGTGTGATGATGATAATTTTATTGTTTTATATATATATTTTTATATTTTTATTATTTTATTGTTTCCCTTCTACGTGACTTTACCGAAAGAACCATGAATATGAATCCCTGCAGTCACGAAAGCTTTAAATCAAAACTTTAACAGACTGTTGGGGCAAGTGCTGTTAGCGAGCACTTATGAAATCCGGCACGGCACACGAGGGGGTGAGTGGCCAGCACCACGCCCGGTCGCCTTTGTCTCTCCAGTAGCGATGTGTGCACACCGCACCACGTACTCGGTTGAGGCTGAGTCGACCTAGGGGAGGCCCAGGACCGGTTCAGATAATCGTCACTGGTGTCGGCCGTGAGCGGGAATCGAACTCGTGTCACCGGATTACAAAAACACACACACGTGTCAGGAAGCTCTGCACACCTAACAAAGTGGGCGGGGCTCGATAGGCGTGGCCTTACCACCATCAGGGTGGAGGGGTGTTAGAATGAGGGCGGAACGTTCGGTGGGAAGAGGGGCGGGGTTACCCCCTGGGGGGTGGAGTCATCACAGGAGGCGTGTCCCCTCACGGGGGGGAGGAGCAGGTTTGCCCCCTTGGGTAGTTGTGAAGTCATGAGAGGGGGCGTGTCCCCCGCGGTGGGATTGGAGGGGCAGTGTTACCCCTGGAGGGTGGAGTCACTTCAGGGGGCGGGGCCACCTGGGTGAGTCGCGGGGTCACGTGTGGCACGCGCCTCGCTCAGGACGCTCGCACTGCTCGCACTGTACGTGTGGGAATCGCGATTCCACTCCATCAGCTGGTCTCGCATCCCAGAATCGATTTTTTTAATTCCATCAAATTACAGTATTTCACGTCTCGAGTGTTCCGACTGCTCATTTCCCCCCCCCTCCCCCCACCTCTACAATCCTCAAACGTATGAACATCCTAAGACGAGGCGGGTCTCACGCGCGAGCGAACGGAGTCGATGCCCGCGCAAATTCGTGACTTAACGGAATCGAGGAGTCGATATCCGTGCACCGTGAGCGTCGCGTTCACGAGAGGCAGCGGCAGCAGCAGCAGCGAGAGCCGGCGGTGTGAGCCCGCCTCCCCGGGGGCCACCCGCATTCTCACCGTCGCCACTACCGATGCTGCCATAGCCCTTACTACTACTACAACGGCTGTCACCGCTGCTGGTAGCTCCGCTGACTCCGCGTGGTGGCCGGTCGGGGCCCTGGCGCTGGGCCAGCGCCTCCATTTTGAAGGCTGCGGGCTCACTTTTACGCAGAGGCTTGCTGCTTGAAATCGAGTTTTATTTGTGATTAACTCCTTTATTTATTCACTCTGTTGGCCCGCTCGTCTTCGGCAAGCGACTGTCAACGTCGCCGAGCACGGCGTGAGCCTCGTGTGCGTCGTCCTTGTCGACCTGCTGTTTGCCCTGCGCGCGACCATGGCGTGCGCTGGTTGCCGGTGGACGGGACGCGTGGTGGTGCGAGGGGCCCTGGCCCGCGGCGGTGAGGACCACAGCCACCACCTCCCTCCCCACACCGTGCTCGCCTCCTACGACATTACCCTGCCTCTCTTCTTCTTCTCTCCTGCCCCCTCCACCCCCAGCCATTGCCCAAACTACCTTTACGCCGGTATACCTCGTTAATACCCCTGTCGCCTTTATAAACTGAACTAAAGCTAAACTATATATATATATTTTTTATTTTACCAGGTAAGGCCCGCTGAGCTATATCGATATTTTTCAGAAGTGACCTGGCCACAATCGATAGCTCAACCAAGTGGAAATTCATAGCAGCCAGCGTACTCTAAACGCGTGACGTTGAGTCTTAATGTGGAGGGGCAAACCGGAGGACCCGGGAGAAAAATCCACGCGACCACCACGGGGAAAAGTGAAACACGCAAACTCCAAATATACAGCAGCAGGCGTCAGGATCGAACCCACCACGCACTCCTGTGTACCGGGCGAGGTAGTTAACATCTCGCCACCGTGTCCCCCCTTACATGGTACACGCTACAGGTATTTACGATATTTGTCACGTTACTCCCGATACCCCATCGACACCGCCTCTTATCCCTTCTTCCTACATCCTTTATACCCCTGTGACCCCTGTCCCCATGTGTTACCCTGAAGCTACCCGTTTTCACTACCTTGTGTAATTTACAGTGGCATGTATATTGTATACTGTACTTTCTATGCCCCTCCCCCCCACCACCGTAATGTGTACCCCATTTACTCCCTGTATTCCATATTTTTGCCGTATCTCCTTTACCTCGTACACTGCATAACATCTACAATTCGCATATAAACATCTCTCATACCAATTTTAGTCAGACTGTACCCCAATACACCCTTGACACCCTTTACTATAACCTCTAGCCACTCAATAGTCTCCATCCCCCAGTACCCTGTATACATCTTGTTCTCATTATACCCCCCATGATGATTGCCTTACCTCGATATGATCCCTAATTCCTTCCATGGTTCCATTAACCACCTTTACCCCTATACACTAGAGCCTTGTGGGCAGGGTTGGTGGATCACGCATTTGTGCTCGATTCGGAGTGGTATACAGTACTGTATTATGTTTCCGGTAATCTGTTCTGCCACAAAATGCTTTTTCGGCAACCTAACGTTGAGTAATCGTCACAAGGAATTGGCCAAATGTTTGAAAGATAATAAACAAAAATTCGTAATTCTTGCGCGTCCCAAAGTTAACCAAATGATCATATATAACTTATGGTCAAACTTGTAATTTACGGTTGTCAGAACTATGGTTCAATTAAGTGACTTTATTCTCTTACAGCGGTGTTTAGGTTGTGGTGCCAGCTCGCTTATAGCTGTGTTTAAACTAGGGTGGTATGTGAGAATAGGTTTGTTTCCTGATCTCTGTTAACCCCACCACCTTAACGCACACGGTAACATGTGCTGTTAGAGGGCATCTACTTCCATTTGCGGAACATACCGCTATGTGCTACATCTGTTCACGAAATGTGCGCACACAATCTTCACAAAATAATGATATACGATCATGTAAGAACTCATCTTGACAATTCGGTGTAATACTTGCACAATAAATGTAACTTGTTTGTTGTGTTAGAATGTAGGAATTAATATGCGAATTAAATGCACTGCGGCGTTTTGTACATTACGGTAGTCTAAAGTGTTGCACAATCTAATACAAATTTTTATTACGTTGACAGTAGAAAGCTATCATGGTTAATTTTTTTTTTACAGTTTTATCGCAATCGCTATCCGTTTCATGTCATAAAATTAAGAATCAATTCCGAACTGTCTCAGAGAAGTGCATAACGCAGCGTTTTGAGTATGGTACAAGGCAGAAGATATCACCAAACTGCTTCTAAAAAAACTATTGCAAACCCTTATGTAAACTAGGGGACAACATTTTTCTAACCGCCCTGATAAGATGAGCGAATGGAACATGGAATTGCAGTTGATGTTTTTAATGAGCAGATTCTGGATCTATCCAAATGAAGTGCAATAATCAGAACCCCCCCGTGTTATCATCATAGGTGGCTTGCTTAGATTTAATTTAAGGGCCAGCATATCAGCAGCTCCAGCTCGGTATTCTCAACTCTGAGTTGCCCGGCCGCTTATAAGAGAAATATTAAGTTACCTAAAATATTTCATATAGCTTGAAGAAGGAAATGGATTAGCAGATATACAAAAGAAGTCATAAATGGAGGGAGTGGCCAGATATTGGTCTCTCCCAGTTAAATATCCCATTATGTTGTGTTCCACATGTGCTAATCTTGGGTTTCAACTTGAGTCTGCCAGGTTTATATTAATAAAACACTCATTGGAGTGAACACAGAGGTGTATGGTGCTTAGATGACAAACGTTAACACGAATAATTTTCGATTAATCGAGTTATACGAATAATTGTATAACTCGGATATGTTAAAGTTTGGATGCAAAACAGTGAGATTGTAATGTTATCGCAGATCACTTACAAAAAGGTATATCAATAAATTTTACACACTTAAGTGGGTCATCAAAGACAGGGCTATAAAGGGCAAGAACCAAGAGCAAACTTGTGATGAATTGTCAGTAGGCCCTTGGCAAGGTAAAAGGTACCTTTACCCTACCTTTTACCCTTACCCCATACAAATTACCCGATTACAGGGTAATTGCTGGGGTACTACACATGACCAACGTTTATAACAGGTGAATGCTAGGTAGAGCGCTTTTATCATATAGAATACTCTCGATGATTCCAATTTTACACGCTTTCTTTGAACTCACTCTGTTGTTGTATCCTCAAATCTTGTAACTCAATTTTAACCCGCTTCCCAATGTGGTATCGACTGCAAACTTGGTATACCTATGTCATATTGATGACAATACTATGTTCTATAATTAATAATAAAAAAATATATATTTTTTTACATTCTTTTTATCTTATGTTTCGGCTTGGGTCTAATTGTCCACTCTGAACTCACGTTGGCTGTAATTGGCCACGGTCCCCTTAACGTTATGGCAAGCTTCGGGGCCACTTCCTGGAGTCGTGGAGTTCTGCCATTACTAGTACATTTCATAAAAGCGTGTTTTTAAAAAAAAGTAAAACAAAAATATTACTTATTAAATGGAGGCCACGGACTGCGCCACGGAGCTTTTTGTGGTAATCAAGGCACCGTATTTACCGGGTAATACTTCGCGCTACCTTTACCCTACCGGGTATTTCTTCTGTGCTATCTTCACCATACCCTTTACCTTACCCCTTGGCATGTCGACACCTTTACCTTTACCCTTTTACCCGGTAAAAAGGGTAAATTACTTTACCTTGCCGAGGCCTAATTGTCAGCCAGAAGTAACATGGGGCCCATTAAAGGGGTGGTCACATGGTTAAGTTTGGGCACATGTTTCTAGGACTGATTAGATTGTGTTACTGTGCATGATCGATAAGTTATAATCCTAAACATTGTATAACTTTTAACTTAAAGCCTACGTTTATAATAGCACCTTGGTTACACAACAGAGTTTGTAACCTCTGCGGCCGTGACTGTAAACTACAACGAGCGTGAATTGTACACACTTTCAAACTGCCAAATGCGGGACGAATAATTCACCTGAATAATTTTAACATTGCTTTGTAAGCAAATCTGACGTATGATTATCCATTCCTAATAACATCATCGAGTCATGTAAATTCCTAATTGTAAGTAATAACGTCCGATATTTATAACCTGCTTCGATAAGTTAGTGCTTGTTAAGAGGAGTGGCTATGTGAGTTTAATATTCCCTTCACCATAAGAGAACAGTGTTTAATATGAGAGTTTAATTGGTTAAAACATTTCACGGCATGTAAGTTAACAGGTAAATTGTTAAATTACCTGTGCCATAGTTATGCAGCAATACTATGCTTGGTGATTGTGAGACTTTTAAGTAAACACCTTGAAATGGAATAAAATTCTAATTCAAGTTACAAATGAAAGTAATTTTTAGTTTTATTTCGCGTTTCATTAATTACATGCGATGATTCACCATCTCCCCCCCCCCCAGTGATTTTATGTACATGTATACATTTTATTGTTTCGATTGAGTAAAGAAACATGCTTAGAGCCACAGTGTAAAACTTGTCTACCTACCATGAGCCACACGTAGGTCGTCACATACCCACAGGCAGTCAAGTTTCCACGGAATGTGAAAATAATGCCGGAGCTAAGATGTTCTCTATCTATAACTGTTCCCGTGTAATTTGTTCTGTGGCTGTGCCGTTATGTGCTTGCTGTGAACATGCCATGCCTACTACACTCTTTCTGGAGCATGACAGGCACAACGTTATGGAACCATGTTGATGCAAGGCCTTGAGTGCCTTAACTTGAATTTTACAAAACGTAGCCTGATTTTAAGTTATTCTTCTGTCAAACTTTGTTTAAAAAAGTGTTACTCATAGGTACCACTTGCTATTTTCCCAAGTAACTCCTTACCTCAAACTCAGTTTTTTGACCAACTAGATGACTATATTTCAAAGTTATTATTGAAGTCTGTTCACAAAGAGACCTCTGTGTCTCTCTCTGTGTGTGTCTCTCTGTGTGTGTCTCTCTAGGTGTGTCTCTCTCTCTGTGTCTGTGTGTGTGTCTCTCTCTGTGTCTGTGTCTCTCTCTGTGTGCGTCTCTCTCTTGTGTGTCTCTCTATGTGTCGCTGTGTGTGTGTCTCTCTCTCTGTCTCCCTCTGTTTGTCTCCTGTTGCCCGCTCTATCTCCCCTAGTGGCTGATATACCGTCAATAAACATTGGCATGCTAATCTCTCACAATACAATGGCCACCTCCTCAGCACAAGCTGTTGCCCGATGCGGCAACCCCCCCTCTCGGCTCTATATATAAGGACATGTTTCAGCAGCCTGTCTCTCTCCCACCTGAAGACGAGTGCTTGTGTGGCGATCGAAACGTCGTGATCTATTATAATTTTTTCTACCTACGTGACTTTACCGAAAGATCCAAGGACTATGGATTCCTGCAGTCACGAAAGCTTCAAATCAAGACCTATAGTAATTGATAGTTTAGTTCGTCAGAAAAATGCATTTTATATTATTTGTTTCTATGTATGTTGAACTTTCTTCGCACCATATGTAGCCAACCATGCTTATCGGAGGTATGGGGGAAGAACGGCAAACTAAACACAAAAATAGTTCTAAAGATATTAGTTTTCAATCTCGATTTAAAAGTGCATAGCTCCAGTAGCTTCCTAATATCGGAAGGGAGAGCATTACAGAGGGCCGCAGAAGCGCATCTGAAAGTGGGCGATAGAGTGATTGTCTTATTTTTGTGGATGGAGTGGTGGTGTTCACCCAGTTGAATTCCCGGCCATGGCTAACATCAGGGGAAAGTGTTGTCTGAATTGGTCTTGGGCCTATTTGAACATGTGTGCATAAATATTTCATAGCTTAAATAAACTTTAAATTAACTCACTGCGAATTTTATGTTTCCAAAACATTTTGGTCACCTCATATAACTGCAGGGCCTCCAGATGTTCACCACAACAAATCTATTTTGGTCACAGCTATGAATGCACTGCAACATGTTGGTAAACACAAAGTACATTCCACTTTAAACCAAATTTTGATATTCTCCGTTTAAACATTTGCCACTGATCTTTGGAGATGTCACTTGTTTAGGTAATGAAAACAACATGCTAAAAAGCACATTGTCTTTGTGTTCCAGGGCAGGTTTTTGGTTCAACGCCACGAGTGCATTCTGGCCGAACACCGAGTCCAGGGCAGATCTTCGCGTTCCGTGCATTTCCTGTCCGTGTGTTCTCGATCTCCACGGTGTTGGATAAACAAAAAGACACAGACGGCACAGGGAAGGAGCCCGGTGTGACTGAAGGGAGTAAGGTGGGTGGGTACAAGCACACTTGTATGCAGTGACATTTTGCTTGGCTGAGCATAAAAACACACAGGCCTGTTTTGCCATGTTTGCACCATGATCATACAACTTGCAGATTCAACCTGTGCAAGGTTTATGCATCTACTATGCGTCCATGAGTTTAATCGGACTTATTTTTTTAGTAGACCTTTTGAGAGTTAATGGTACATTAAAGGAGTGGCTAGACATATGGCGGAGCGGAGGAACAGTGTTCGCACACCACACTGTACCTGACAACATAGAATTCGCCATGTATGGCTTTGTGTAATGATGCTACTCCAGGGGTTAGAAACCTGCGGCTTCACAGCCACATGTGGCTCTTTAGCATCCCCCTTGCGGGCAGCAGTTTTTTTTACTTTAATCTTAAACGTAATGTCACCTAAAAATTATGTATTAAATGTGGCAGGGATTAGGTCACTATGGAATGTCTTTGTGACGAGAAAATGTACAGTCAAACTGTATTGTTAAAGATTAACTAAGGCGGGAATAAACTAAATAGACGAAATTTATTCCATCTGTTTTGTTATTTACGTCAGAATTTGATTGTCGTCTGCTGTATACCTGCTGTGTTTGTGTATGTGGACAAGTAGCTCTGTGTGTGATGCGGCTCTAGAACTATTTTGGTCAAAGACTAAAGCCAAACAAATTTTTCTTTGAAAGGTTGCCACCCCTTTGCCAGTCCATTATTTTTTAGGGAATGCACGGTCATCGGTCAATTCATGTTTCCTTTGACCTACTTGGCTCACTTGTATTTTCACCCGCTTATGATTTTTTTTCTTGAGAACATTGAAAGTGTAATTATGTAAGTAAACATATTTATTTTTAAAAAATACAGAGCTTATTCCTGCAGGAAAAACGAGGCATTGTGTAGGGTTAGAGCTGATATTTCGAAATGGAAAACTATTTTTGTTGCCTTTATTATCTAACTCCACTGGCAGCAACAGGAGTTATAGAGCTTAGCACGGTGAGCTAGATGATCACATAAGATAATTCAACAATGTAAAAATGTTCCATCAGCTTTCCACAATTGGATTACTCTATAATTATTTTCGAATCCCAGCTGAAGGGGGTCAACCGAATGATTGCTTTGGTTATACAAACATTGCCATTTTATAAAAGAAAACACTCACATTATTGTATACTAAATATACATACATTATTAACGAGGGAGCCCAGCCGGAATTCAACCAGACACAGTTGCAACATGTAGGGAATGCGCTACCACTCTGCCATGTTAGTCGGCTTTGTCCTCGAATCCATTGTGATCATGAAACTGAATATATTTGCTTTAGGGATTGCCATTGAGTCTATAGCGTTTGTGCTTCCACTCTCACAGCTGTGTGCTAATTACTGTGGGGAATTTCCAAAGTGATTTGTTCTCTGGGAAGTGTATATTGAACACCCATTCACTTAATTCTTAAGGGCAAGCTGTTCATGCCTCTGTTACTGCCCAAATAGGTTAAAGTTCACCTGCAATTAAATTGTAAAATAATAATTGTCACTGTGCAAATGTTGGTATAAGTATTTTTTTTATCAACATGCAACTCTTATTATAACCTAAGCTATCACGAGTGCACATTTTAAAATATGATCCCTATCAGTGGGTTTGCACAGGGTTAGATGTTATAACCAGAGATGGTCACAAGTGAGTATCTCTTTTATCAGTGAAGGCCTCAGCACACGACTACACAAACTGCCATTTGCACCTGCATTTCTGATCTCTAAGCTGCATTGTGCAACTTGTAAGCTATTCAACACTGTTTATTTAAGGGACAGGCTTATTTGCCATCTGCCTGTAATCATTGTTAAGGCTCCCCATGCTCCTGAACTTTATATTTGCATCACAACTCTTTTGTTCTTTTCATTTGAATAAATGCTCCAACTGGCTGATTGTCTGTATTTGGAGACCAATGCAATCATCCACAAAGATCAAATTGCATAACTTAAGCTGGAAAAAGAAGCGTGATCTTATACAATCTTACTGAAGGGATATGATATCATGCACATTGGGCATGTTACCATCCATTGATTGAATTATGATATTTGATATACATTGATTGAATTATACATGTAAAATGATTTTAATTCACTGCATTATTAAAGAATAAATCAATTACGTTCCAAATCATGACAATTCATTATTCAAGTGTGAGGATGGTGAGTCATTAAATGCTCATTTTAAATAGGAACGGAAGTAATTTCATCCTGCACGAAGACCTGCTCATGCTGTATCAATCATGGGGTTGTTTGACCGTACATTTCAACACTGCTCTGCAGATTGGTCAGAGAGGCCAAGGACCGGTTAAGATGATATGCACCACTGATGGATGTTAGCTGCGACCAGGAATCGAACTCTGGTGGTCGTCACTCGATTCATAGCTGTGCACTCGCCACTCTGTTGCCGTGCCATCACTAATTTCCGCAAATTAATGGAAACCCTGGCTGCATGTTTCCCTCGATTTCCACAGAAACCTGTAGGAGATTCGAATGGAGGGAAGAAGAGCGCAGGAGCCTCTGGAACGGGCGGAAGCAATCAGCTGCGCTGCCCCAAGTGTGGCGAGTTGTGCACTCACGTGGAGACCTTCGTGTGTGAGTCACAAGCACGACATTAGTTGTTTCACTTGCGTGATGGCACTCAATCTTATTTAATGTTCTTTCGTTTCTCAATCCCCTCGTCTTGGTGAGGGTCATGGCGGCAGCATGTTAAGTAGGGCGGTCCAGACCCCCCTGTCCCTGGCAACAGGGACTAGCTCTCCCTGGGGAATTCCCAGGCGTTCCCAGGTCAGCCGAGTGACATAGTCCCGTCAGGGAAGGTGCGGCAAGAAAAACTTAAGGGAGTCGAGGGAGTAGTGGGGAAGAAAAGAAGGAGATGGCACTCAGTCTCTTATTCCACTTACAGCGACTAGAATACAGATTCCCCTGTCAGCCACAGATGCTTTCCGACTACATTTAACTACCATGTTCTTCAGCATTCTCTTAACAAAAATGGGAATAATTTTCAGTGAGCGTATCAACATATATTTTGTATGATATGTCCAGTGAGCAATTCCTGAAGGTTGAGATACTGAAAAGTATACTACTCTGGTTTCCCTTGGGTCACATAAATCAATTGGATTTCTGATGTTTTGTTCTCTTCTCCCCTTGTGTTTTAGAGTTCGATATAAATGTAACTTGCCTTGCCAGCATAAAGCGCGGCTTCAAATCTTGCTTCGTAAATGTGAGGGCCGTATTTCTTCACATAAAGCGCACACAAATCTCCATCATCAAAACCACCAAAAGGAAATAACGTTATTTTGGAATAATCTTCACAGTTTTTTTCTCTGTAATTAATGAAGTTTTAGTTTACATCATCAAGTGAGTGCCTGTTAATCAAGATACGTGTAAAATACTAACCTTACAATAAGCGGTTTAATTTGTAGATGTGGTTTCCTTTCTTACTTGGGTTTTGGTGTTGAGACCATAAGTTCCTGGTCTGCTTTAGAGTCCCAGACAGCTTTGGACATTAAATCAATGACCCAAAGCAAACAACCTACAGTGAGCATGCTTACATCATATATCTGTCTAGTTGCCAAGTGTAATGTTGTAAGCGTGTCAAGATGTAGTAAAAAAAAAAGATTGTTCCTTGTGCCTGGTTGGGACGAGTGCCTGCTATGCCGAGACCGTGGAGAGCTACAATACACTCTTGTGAGTGGCACTCAGTCATGCTGTTGGTATATTTTCATGTGGAATAAAATAAACATGAGAGTTCCGGGGAAACCTATCTGTAGACATTGCTCGAGCAGGAAAATGAACACCGATACTTAAACTTGAAGAATCTGCCCACGTTAATTTTTATTTAAAAATGTGTTTTATACTGTAGTGTTTGTATACAAACGTTTTCCTCAACATTCTACAGACACGATAAGATAATGAATTATAATGAATAATTGCAACTTTGTCATGCATTATATACAAAGTAAATAACAGTGGAGAGGTAAATAAGTATTGTATGTTATATAACTTTATACCAGCAATTTAGTGATTGTTATAAAGACTATGTAAAGTGTGTAAAGATATAATTAAAAACATATACCTTTCATACGATTGTCAGGTAATATTCTGGAAGAAACTGGTATGGTTTTATACTTATATTGGCTCTTAAAATTGTTGCATTGCCTTCCACGTTATGAACATAAACTTCATTGAAATGGAAGATGTGTTATGTTTTGATGTAATTGAGGCATTGCTGCATTGTTTCTAAAGTTTCCGTCCTTAATAACATTGACGTGTGCCTGTGTGCTGGAGCAGCGTCAAGTCGGTTTGTCAAGTGTGAGAAGTGTCATCACTTTTTCGTGGTGCTCTCGGAGACGGACTCGCGCAAGAGCTTCAAGGAGCCCGAGTCGGCAGCAGAGGCAGCCAAGCTAGCCTTCCAGCAGAAGCCCCCGCCACCGCCCAAGAAGGTGCGTCATCCTGCAGCCTGTGTACACCAGCAAGCCGAGTGGTCCCCGTGCTCAAATCAACCATGGGCTGTGCTCTGCACCAATGGCAGCTCTGAGCCAATTTACGGAAATTCACTTGGTACAGGGGGCCAGTCTCTCATACCCATACACTTCTCTTTTGACTGGCCCCTTGGTGTTGCTTAGTTGTAGCCCAATAGGGATAGTTATGGCTTAAGTTGAGACCTGATCTGGATTTGAACTCGCGACCTTTTGATTGCGTCAAGTGCTTTGTTACAGAAGATAAATTCGACTTGCATCGATCTGCACTTATGGCAGATCGGCAATTGCCACCCGTGTTACTATTTACGGTGGTCGGACAGCATTTCCGGTATGACGCTGACTCCGGCACCGGTTCTGCACAAACAAACTTACAGTACGTCCCCCAATCAGTCTGCCGCCTGACTTGCTCCGGTGATAAACTTCGGCATTCTTTGTGATTATTCAGAATAGTTGATGTATTTCGTCCTTAAAAATGGCTGAAAAGGAAAGGGCAGTTTTCTCTTAATGGCGTTGAAACTAAACGTAGCAGAAAGGCCATTACTCTATTCAGTCCAAATAAGCCAAGAATTGCGAATAATCTCGGTAAGAACGTATTATTATTCACAGGCTTGCATATTATCAGAAAACAAACAAGCCTGCTGCCCGACACGTCTTGTGCCGTTGTGTAATCGGCATATGCTTTTGTTTTATTACCATTGTGTAATTTGTGGATTTTAAACCACATTTGTTTTAACTGCATGTGCAAGCAATTTGAATTGTTGAATGTGATGCTTGATCATTATTTTGCAGATCATGCGTGCATGGTAGAGAAGATAGGGATTGAGTTAAATATATATAAACATCCAACCCAGTATATAACAATGTCCCCCTGGGAGAAACTAAAAAGTGGATGTGTGTTCTCAAGCATTTAAAAGCAAGTTTAGATCATGACTCGGGTGTTTCCATTTTCAAACGAGCTCCATTGCGTCAATAGCAAGGATATCTCGGTGTTTCTATTTTCCTATTGTATGCAAATTTTTTAAACTGCTGAGGTTTATAAGCAAGGTGCTTGTGTAAGTTCTTTATTGCCAACAAGTTAAACACTTTGTGATAATGCTAGAAGGCAAACTTTAATGAAGCACTGAATGATTTACAGAAGTGAGGCTCACATCCATTGTACAATGTGTGACAATGCGGTGTCATTGTGCCCAGGCATACTGCACAGGTTAACTTTCGGAATGCCCCCCCCCTGGCTGGGCTACAAATGGGTTCTCTGGTGTCCACTCGCCAGCCCGTTGTAATGATCTCACTGCAATTGTAAACAAAGCGGAGTTTCCTCTCCCTCCCTACATACCTAACGAACTAAAGCACTTGTCTGCAATCTATTTATTTGAATGCCCTTTTAATTTATTGCACATTATTTGCTTGGGTGTGAAACTATTGGGATTCTGCAAGAGTTGCCTGAAAAACCATCGTTAAGTCCATTATATTTCAATTTATCGTTGCAGGTAATTTCTAACATGGCAGATTTGGGCTACAACAGCTCCATATGGGGACCTTTGCGTTTCTGTAGAAGCTCTGCCGTTGACAAAATCAAATCTGAGTGCACTGACCACTCGGCTATATGACTATGGTACTTAAAGTGTCAGATTGCATAAACTAATAACATTTTAACCAATCATTGCATGTATGCACAAGCGTTTGTTTTTTCTTTGTAGACAAAGGCAGTATTGACTATCTATGATTTAGTACACAAGTACAGAATGATAGACAGAATGTCCCAGTCCTCTTAGAATAAATAAGCACTTGACAGTGTGTGTACAAGTACACCTGTCCGTATCTTTCTCCATGACCTCTGGCATCCCTCATCAAGTTGTGAACACGTGGTCTTTAAGCAGGGTTAATTTATCTTCAGAGTTAATATTGTCAGGTGGTAGCTATTTTAAGCTGTGAACATAATATGATGTTAATGTTTAACCAGGCTCTTAAACGTTGTCCTGGGTTCGAAGTCCCAGTTGCAAATTTCCTTTGATTCATTTGTTAAGCCGTTTGAAACAAAATAGTGTTGGCTGGGAACTTTGTAATGGAAGAATATTTTGGTATTTTTAATTACATTTTACATGAATCAAAGTAACTTGTAGCCAGGAGCTAAACCACGTCACAATGGTCCTAGATTTGATCCTTTGGCAGTCACCTAATGTAAAAATGTAGAAGACTAAGGAGTCGGTTGATCTTGCCTCATTCACTCACTACTGCATGAAAACTGATATTAATATTTTGTTACTCATACAGTGTTAAAAGCCAAACTTTCAGGACTTGTTTGAGATAAGTATTCCGCTTTAATAACTCGTGCTATAAAACGCTTGCAGTGCTTGAAGAATATCCAAATAAATCCTATCTTCCAAATGCCCCGATGCTCAAAGGGCAGAAGATGCTCTTAAATTCTTTCTTTATAACAGTCTAACCTATCAAAGGCATTTTTTGTCTGTCCGTCTGTCTGCGTACGCTCGCTTGTGGGGGATCTGGCTCTCGGACCGTGGGGTTCGCGTCGAAAAAAATTTGCAGAGCGGCACGCCCCGGGCCCCGCGGTGGGAATAGGCTATTTCGTTTTCCCATCCCTAAACTTTAAAGTGGGTTAATTAACGTTTTGGCGCGATGCATCTATATTTATTTATTTACTTTTGCCGCTCGGCACGCTACTGCGCATGCGCGAAACGCCGACGCGAGTTGCCCCTGGCAACGCACAGACGCCGTCGCCGCAGGGGGGACGCCATTTCTCATTCGCGTTCAAAATGCAAAAAAATGTACACGCAACGCTGAGGTCAATTCATCAAAGTGTCACGTCCTCTTCTCTCCCCCTCCACCCCAATGTGTGCACTTACTATTATAGGCTCGATAGATACTAATATTACAGCGATTACATAGTATTATTGTAGTGCGGGGTGGTGGGGGGGTAGCGGCCCACCCCACAGCCTCGCTCAGCCGGCCGGGCAATCTAGGCGAGGCCGGGGGCTCTGCACGGGACTAGGCCTCGTGACGGTAATCTGTCAAGTTAGTACTTTGTGCTATAGAGTCGATATATACTGCTACTAGCGTGAAAATATATATTATTTAAAACGTCTGAAAACTTAAAAACATAACATACAAATGAAAAGGTAACTCATTTCTTTAAAATAAAATAAAACCCGAGTGCGCCAAGAATCGATTCTTTAAATCGCGCAAAGCAATCGAATGTTGTAGATTTCTTTAGAATCGTCTTGAAGCGACGACGCACAACAGAAACATCCTGGATGAATCAGCAAATCTTAAAATAAAACGTATTACAACGCTGTGTGCTCAAATCCCAGTGTGATGCAAGTCAAACAATAACAAACGTAACATAGTTTAACCATATGTTTTCTAAAACACCAAAATAAAACTATAAAGACAATGTAGCAACAGTAATCATCAAAACTGTGATTATCATTTAACAAAAAGCGATATAAATAACACGTACGACCAAACTAGCAGCCATAGCTGGCAGCATGAGACTCCCAGTGTATGATGAGTGAATGGGTCATCGTATGATGAGTGAGTGAGTCAGTGGTAGTGTGAGTGAGTATGATGTGTGAGTGAGTCAGCGTATGATGAGTGAATGGGTCAGTGGTTATGCGAGTGAGTGTATGATGTGTGAGTGTATGATGTGTGAGTATCGTATAATATAAACGTGGCATCCTTTTTTGTCATGTTTAATTTCACCAATTACATTTTAGTTGTGCTCTTAGCATCTATTTACTTGGTGAAGCAATTACATATATATAAACTAGTCAAATCTGTCTGAAATGATCTAGGAGTGATGTGACATGGCAGGATAGGGTCATCACGATCCATGGGCAGATAGCCCGTAGGTTGTCCCCACTACACATTTCGTCATTTGTTTCCACTTTCCTCTGTCTTGTGCCAATATACTAAAGTTGTGGCCACATCTTCTTTGGTTCTTTCGGTAAAGTCACGTAGAATGATAATAAAATAATAAATTGATAAAATAAAATAACACAATAATATTCTCACGACGTTTCGGCCACAACACAAGCGGCCTTCATCAGGTGAAGGGGGCGAGACTGTCCTACCAGTCCTACCAGACAGTCTCGCCCCCTTCACCTGATGAAGGCCGCTTGTGTTGTGGCCGAAACGTCGTGAGAATATTATTGTGTTATTTTATTTTATCAATTTATTATTTTATTATCATTCTACGTGACTTTACCGAAAGAACCAAAGAAGATGAATCATTGCAGTCACGAAAGCTTTAAATCGAAATTGTGGCCACATCTTTCTGGCACCAATCTCTCATGTTATCAAGCCCATTCTCTTTTTAGGTCTTCCTCTCTTTCTGGTTCTTTCCATGTTTCAAAAGAACATGCTTTAAATGTTTATTTTTTCCATCCTAGGATATGGTGAACCACCTCTAGTTTTCAGAGTAGCATGTAGCAGGGGGAGCATTGTAGAAGTAATCAGGAAGACGTTGTTGAGGCACATATGTTGGTAAGTGGAGGGCAGGTTTATCAATCACGGATTGGCACCCAGAGGATGAAATGGCCTCTGCTGTAAGACAATCAGGAAGGTTTCTGGTGGAAATAATTTGCCGCGTAATTGTTAAGAGGAACCCGACACTTCGAGATTGGAGCAACATCAAAACACGTTTTCAGAATTAAAAGAATGCTTTAGTGACGGGTTATACAACGCCCCAATTTATCGAAGTTGCAGCTGTGTAGTATACCTACTACAATCACCCAGGAATGTCTGTCCTTAACGCTCGTGACGGCACTCCACATCGATCAGCCCCCCTCAATAATCATGAGCAGGTGACGTCCTCCAAACGGACACCCCCCCCCCCCATTATTATTACCTACTGTAAAGAGCACCCTCCCCCCTCATTAATAATGAGCCAAGACTGTCTGTGTTGAGCGCTCATGACGTCATTCCACATCGACCAGCCCCCCTTATTAATAATCATGAACAGTAAAGTCACGTAGAGTGAGAATAAAATAATAAATTGATAAAATAAAATAACACAATAATATTCTCACTATATATTATTGTAATAATAAATTGATAAAATAAAATAACACAATAATATTCTCACTATATATTATTGTATTATTTTATTTTATCAATTTATTATTTTATTCTCACTCTACGTGACTTTACTGTTCATGATTATTAATAAGGGGGGCTGGTGATTCATCTTCTTTGGTTCTTTCGGTAAAGTCATGTAGAGTGAGAATAAAATAATAAATTGATCAAATAAAATAACACAATAACATTCTCACTATATATTATTGTGTTATTTTATTTTATCAATTTATTATTTTATTCTCACTCTACGTGGCTTTACCAAAAGAACCAAAGAAGATGAATCATTGCAGTCACGAAAGCTTTAAATCGAAATCATGAACAGATTTTGACTTAACTTTCGTGACTACAGGAATTCATATTTTTTTCTTTTGGTAAAGTCACGTAGATATAAAATAAAAAAAAAAGAAAAAATGTAAAAAACCAAAAACTCACGACGTTTCGATGGCAACACAAGCTGTCGTCTGATGAAACGTCGTGAGTTTTTGGTTTTTTATATTTTTTATGCCGACCGCTTGTGTTGCGATCGAAACGTCGTGAGTTTAAAAAAATATATATTTGTATTTTATTTTCTATCGACGTGACTTTACCGAAAGAACCAAAGAAGAATCATGAACAGGTTATGTCCTCAACATGGACCCCCCCCCCCCCCCTTATTAATAATCATGGATAGTAGACATCACTCCACATGGAGCACCCTCCCCCCTCATTAATAATCATGAGCAGGTGATGTCACTCCACATCGAACAGCCCCGCTCATTAATAATCATTATAAGGTGCCTTCCTCCAAATGGACACCCCCCCCCTCCCATTCATAATAATTAGCGGCTGACGTCACTCCACATGGGGGGCCAAGCCGCCTCCTCCCCCCTCGGCGTCAACCCACAACCCTCACTACAAAGGCAGAACCCTCACGTCACGCCATCTCCATCACGCTGTTGAGAACTAGAAGTAAAAAGGACGTCATGATGAGCAAGGGATTATAACCTTCAAATGACATCACGCCCTTGCAAATTGCGCACGAATTGATGCAATGAATATCACGTCGCGGTCTAATTTTCGCTTGCAAGTTTCAGATTTACTGCAATACACCTGTCCTTGGATGGGCAAAAGGCGAGTCCTATTATATTTTGCCACCTCCTGATGTTGCTGCTATGATGGCATATTTAATATTTAATGTTGCTTACGTGCTTGCTTCCCACATTGTGAATTTGTTAGATTTATGACTTCCTGGACAAGTTTGTGGTTGGGCAGTCGTACGCCAAGAAGGTGCTGGCCGTGGCTGTGTACAACCACTATAAGCGCATCTACAACAACATCCCCGCACCCGGTCGTCAATCCAGCGAGGGTCTGGAGAGCAAGCAAGTTCCACTTTCCCCGCGAGGTATGCCTTTGTGTATCTATGCACGTGTGTGTGTGTGTTGGGGGAGTGGAGGCAAAGTGGTTCACGCACTGAACCTACGAACCAATTTCACCTGAAATTGACTCCCAGCCACGACTAGAAATCGGTGGCGAGTGATATCTGAACCAGTCCTGAGCAGCGTGTTGAAGTATGGTCGAAACAAACTCTTATGACCCATCACTTCATTGGGAGGCCTTCAACCAGTAATTTGCATTCTCCAAGTATAGAAGAATGGGTCACCTTTTACAAAGAAGCACTATTTTCTCAAACAGTAACTGCTTTAAATCTTGACTTAAAGCTTCCGTGACTGCAGGGATTCATATTTTTTGGGTCTTTCGGCAAAGTCACGTAGATAGGTTATTTTTTGTTATTTTCTTTGAGCCTATCTACCGTGACTTTACCGAAAGACCCAAAGAATAGTAACTGCTTTGTAGTAGAATTAAAAAGTATAAATATTAAGCAGAACTCAATTCTGTGACTCAGCTTTTGGCATACATTTCCAGAAGTGGTTTTCGTAAACACATAAATCAAGTGCCTTTGTTGTCCAGCTGCTGATAATGCTTTCCTTTGGTTGAAGTTGTTGAAAGGAATATGTTGTTCGACATGAATGACGGGTTTCTGTACACATGTTATTTTGTGAAACTGTTTGTATCTTCAAGGGAAGTGCATAAAAAAAGCTTTTAAAGCAAACATTCTACACATGCGCAGCTGAGCAGAGAGATTTATATCACTGGGATACTTGCCAAGGTTACATGTCTGCAATGAGTTGGTACAGACCCCACGGTTTCCCTTTGACCCACATCTTTCAGACACGTGAGTGAACTCAAACCCAGTTGAACCCCACGGGTTTCTTAAGGAGAGCCTGTTGTGTGATTTATTAGTCTGTGTATGTAGCGATGGACAGTAATTTAACATGTAGTCGGGCTTAATATTCTGACGAATTGCCTGATGATGCTGGATGTAATTACCAGCGAAACGTCGCACTCAAACTGTGAATGTTGTGGATTCACTCTTCAACACACCGGTGGGCTAAAGTAGTGAACTATTTGTCTTTTGTCAACGTGACACTTTTTTGCTGATTGGCCGTGTCGGGTGGCGGAGGTTTATGACACATTTATAAATAACGCGGTCTAACCCAAAAACATTTATTATGATTAATATTCTCGTACCACGAGAAAGTTAGGTTATTTATATTTTTTGTTTTCTACGTGTGACATGCCATAGCCACTGGATGCTTTATCAAGTATCTGCATGTTTACGGCCGTGAGACCGACATACAGAACTCTGCACTGTGCTTCACGTAACAGACGCCCTGTCAACTGATTTTAGGCAGTTGTGCATGACGGCAGCAGCTGGCCTCTTACACTTTTTTTTCGGGTTAAATAATAATGGATAGGTAAGTGTCAGAGGTGTGCATATATTTACACTCGTTGAGAAGTCTTTCCTGAAACCATATAATCATCAATTGTTTATATCTGCAGCCCCCAAGCAACACTGGTTGTCCCGATATTGCTACAGCCAGCTGTTGACAATAACCATCACACCTTATCGTGATGTTCCTGTACCCTGTCATCACCACGGCGTAATAAAACGTTCAGTTTACGGTCATGCAGGATTAGTTGTAACCTTTGGCTTTGTTGACCTACACATAAGCTGAATAACTGCTTTCTAAATTAAATTAGAAACAGTTGAGCCGCTGATATGGCTCTTTTAAAAACCCCTGTGTAAGTGGGTTTGTTCCTAAGATATTTTCCTAAAACAATACAGTAAAAGAAAATAAAGGTTCAATGCCACATTTGCTTTCTCATTGATTGCCCATGTCACTGCTGGCATCAGGGCCTTATTTAGAGGGAGTTTTATAGAGCCCCTCTAGAGGGGATTTGGTCTACTCTTTCACCCTGGCCCTGACATCTTGGAAGAGGTGGGAGTCCCCACACTTTTTACCCTGACGCACGCGACTTGCCTACTGACTAACAGTGGGTGTACCCATTAGATTTCTAGGTGGACAGAGGCGGGGGATTTAAGAAGCTTGCACCACCGGTGGTGAGCTGTTGACTACCTCGCCTGGTATATACAGGAGGTCGTAGGTTTGATCCAGACCCTCATTTATTCATATTTGGAGTTTGCATGTTCTCCCCGTGACCGCGTGGATTTTTCTTCGGGTCCTCCGGTGTTTCGCTCCACGTTTAAAAACATCTATTTTAAGAGAATTAGGCTGATGGAAATGCTTTAGTCCCTGCTCTACTGCCTTGTTTTTTTTCTATTAGACCTACATAAACATTGGCCAACACTCAAGCTTTTGGTCAAAATCGCTCTCCCAGCATGGCACAGGTCTTGTTTTAAAGTCACAGGGATTGTCCAACACGGCTACAGCCAGAAACAGCCTGTGTGTATGTATCACATTATTAAACTCTGATGATTTAATCTGAGAACTCTTGTAATTTGTTCAAGAATTTGATTAATTTGCTCCGTTTACCATGATCAGCGAATTTTTAGGCGTGGCAATGTAGACTTGGTTTCAATATACGTTACTCGGAGTAATCTTGAAAAAAAACCTCCATTATGCAAAATTCTGCTTAGAAAAATAAAATTGAGTGCAGGGAAATATGCATCTGGCTACAAATTAAATCTTCAATTTCAACGTACGTCATTCGTGGAAAAATGAACGCAATTAGTTGGAATACCTTGCGTAGAGGGACTGGATTGTTTCTGTCAACAGTCCCAATGAGTGTAACTAATTGCGTCTTAAATAAGCTTGGGGATATTCTCATCTCTGTCAATGTCCTTGAGACAAAGGTATAAATGCCACATTTTATTATTACCTTATTTTGATAAGTGTGTTAATTTGGTTATCACCGGACACCAAAGTGTTGTTACTTGATCTTTTGTAATGTGTTTGTGGGATCTCTATTAATGAGGGCTGTAAGAGGTGCGGTGTCCGACCAAGTGTCTACTGGACCAGGGCTCGTGATCTCATATTCCTCTTCCGAATGTCCGTTTGCTTGCATCTCTCTGTAGAGCTAGAAGTGAGGAGAAGAGAGGATGAGTACAGGTTTGCAAGTAAGTGATCCCCTCCCACTTCACCTCCCACCAACTCCTCCCCATCCATCCATTCCATTCAGAGACGGCTGTGACACAAGTGCCCTGCCCACACAATATGAAAACAATGCAGCAGCAACTCGTGGAGCAAAGACTATTCTGGAACCCCGGCCAGTTGCTATAGTTGGACATCTTCATTTCACGTGTTTGTGGAGTAACAATTTAATCTAAAATATTTCAGACTCATTTCGTATCTAAAGACACTTTTAAGATTTTGCTGTTTTTTCCTGGATTTTTCTGTTTGCGCACAGTCACTTTAAGATGTTTTCTTGTTCATGTTTTTTTGTTTGTTGCGGTTGCACCCGATTCAAGAGGCGAATGGCTGACAGGGCTATACCAAATAAATGAAACTTAAAAAAAAACAGTTTTTGAATTGGCCATGCCAAGCGAATGTCGTGCAGAAGGTTAAACTGGGTGACCCAAAGTGCTTTTAATCCACTTGAATCAATAGATGTTTTGGTTTTAAGCCATCAGTCTAAATGCTCTGTGTTGTTTCATGCATGCATGCCAATATGGTTGGTTCTTGTTACCTGCATAACCCACACCCCAAACAATTGCCAAAAAAAATTCCCTGCCAAATGCAAATTCTAACGACCCTTCTGATTTCCTGTTTCTCTAACAACCGCTTTTGCTGCTTTTATAATAGCACGAAAGAAAAACACTTATGGAACTAGATATGGGAAAACAGTGCTGATATTTTTCTTCTAAATTTAGGACACCAAGCACGTTGTGTATTTGGTTGATGCAAGTGTGGTGTATTTACTTGGGAACAATTAACATTACAGTGTATGCTGTATCTATCAAAATAGACTTTTTTATTTTCATCTTGCAATTAACCAAGTTTATATTTTAACATTACGTGAAATTGAAAACACATGTATTTGTTGTTGTGTCTGTTGCTAATGAGTTATGTTGGTGAACTGTGGCTTGCTTCGATTACATTCTTAATAAAGGTGAGGTCACTCCGCAGTGAGTGGAGCGGGAAAAATGGTTAAATAACAAACCACCTCCATGACCAACATGGTCGGGAGGCCTTCATTCAGCAGTGGCTTGAGAAACGACTCAACTATTTTTGATCGATTTGGTGTACGAAATTGTGCGCATGATTGAGTATCATCACAGCATATGGAATTAAAATAGACCTATGTTAATGGTAGTATTTACATACTTCAGTTTTTGTGGACAAAAAATAATTGATTGCTCTGACCATAGAAATGTGAAATTTGCACTGGTTGGCTCAGGACTACCAATTGAGATAACCACAATTTTGGGATTATCATATTTGACTTTAAAGCATGGATTCATGAAATCTGTTCATCTATGTTAACACTTGTAAAAATGATCCAATACAAACTACATTTTTTTATAAAGTACCGTTGCTATTGTAGAGTTTGCTCTACGGAAAGCCAGACAAATTTATGAATTATATTCTTAGTTTTTTCGGTAAAGTCACGTTGAAGGGAAACAACAAAATAATAAAATATATATAAAACAATAAAAAATTCACAACGTTTCGACCATAACTCAAACGGTCGAAACGTCGTGAGAATTTTTTATTGTTTTATATATATTTTATTATTTTGTTGTTTCCCTTCAATGTGACTTTACCGAAAAAAACTAAGAATATGAATTACTGCAGTCACGAAAGCTTTAAATAAAAATCTGTGAATTGTTTGGCCAAAACTTTCGTGACCTAATTGAGCATTAGAAGTATTTTCCTTGCCGGTCAATGGACGATGCAATTGGCATGTGATGCCGCGGATAATGACGTAACCTCGTTAATGTGACTTGGGACACAATGTTGTTATCCCTCGTTGAATACTTACCAAGGACAAACGCATGCATATGCACGCATTTTCTCCCATGTTTATAACCCTGGACATTGGCTAGCGTGACGTTTTAAGTGCATAATACAACTGAGCAAATACATTATGAGGATTGGCCCTGTCACAAGCTATCCAAATGCAGGTCTACACTGGGTAAAAACCAAATTGACAGAAAAATACCAGTAGACCTATTTTACAATGTGGATATTTCTGCTGCCACATCTGACCCCACTTTCAGTCTAAATCACTGGTGATATTAAATGTTACACAAATCTAATCCTTGCAAGCCCAGGTGTACGTGTTGTATGTGCCAAGGCCGTGTGAAGCATTGCATACCAACTGCCTCTGCCGTTGTTGAGGGCGCATGAAATGTGCTCTGTGTGTCAGGAAGGCATAGGAGCAGTAGGAAGGGCAGGCTAGGATGGAGAGGGCAGCAACAGCAGCTCACATTTCAGGGTGAGATATTCTTTAACGTTATATAGTGCTGAAATAAAATTTGGAACTCTACGTGAGAAATCCTAAATTATAAAATGTGAATATTGATTTTTAAATACTGTCCCTTGGTGGTGATTATCCAGCCCAGTATTACAGATTTCAACTGCCTGTTGGAAATGATAATTTAACATATCTCTGTCCTGTGATTGTCATTGGTGACTTGGATTTTCCAGCTTCGTGTTTTTGTTGTGAGGTTTTTGGTCTTCTTAAAATGTTGTCCTTGAAAGCTTTGTTTCTATTGACCATGCTAATGTTATTATTTAGTAAAAACAATCCACGTATCTTGTGAGAGATGGCGGTCACGAGCAAAAACTAAAAACAAGATGCAATTATTTAAAAAAATCCTTGATAGTAATAAAACCATTGCTTATTTAAACAGTCAAATGATATCCATATGTGAATAATATCCAGTGTTATTTTGAGTTAAATTTGATCCTCGTAACAGGAGTATCCTTTCCGATTGTCCATAACTACCAACCACAACTGCAAAGGCCATATGTATTGTTTTAGTATATAAATGCAACAATTTTAATGTGCATATTCATACAATTTACTTTGTTTAAATGGTCAGCCATGTGAATAATATAGGCCAATGAGTAATCTCAAGTTAGAGCATTTAAACTCAATATATTTATATATATAAACAACGGTTTGTAAGGAAAGATCTCACAAAGAAGATAGACGCTTCTCTAACCATAGTATTTTAATCTCCAGATATTTTGACAGTCGTTTAAGAGACCTTTTAATTCCTGCCAGTCCATGCACCTACGGTTAACCGCTTATTAGGATCATTATTAACTCTTGAGCAGGTAACCCTTGGAAACTGACGTGTGCGCTGGCAGGATTTAAAATCTCTCTTGATCGGCTGTTGATACGTCTGGAGATGAAATCACTGGTTGTAGAAGCATATTTTTGGTGAGATCTTTTCTTGCCTATAATGAATCAGATAGTAAGTGTAAATCCTAACTGCCACAATGAATGTTCACAAGTGAAAGATGGTTGATTTGAATATTTGAGATCAACTGTGCATCATCCTTCCATGGTTAATAAAATCAATGCCAATTTGTGAGTGTTCAACAAAAGTCAACCTTGTTTCGATTAGTCTCTGCCAAGATGGTGTACATTGCCAAAACTGTCTCAGATACATGCCCCCCCCCCCCAATAATTGACCATTGTAAATTTGTATATTTAGAAAATTTTAAATATCAAATATTTCTGAACATTAAACATTTGTTCATGATACTTAAATGTATATAATACTGGATATATATTTTCACACGACACCTTTAGTAAGTGTTCTTGTAATGTTTTGACTATTCCCCCTGCATGAGTGTATGCAGCATAGTTGTGAGAGAGACTTCACGAATGCAAGCGTCCTGTTTTTGTGCCAAGAAGTACCCCCCACAAACCATGCCCACCCATGACAGAGTTGAAGTGCAGTCTGTGTTGGGATATTTGGACTGTCTTGGGTGATGCTTCAAGTACAACCCTTACAGTGACTGACTAGATTCAGTTTAAAAGATAGATTGTTTGGTTAGTGATGAGACGTCGCCTTGCAATTATTATGCCGTGGATGGAATGTCTTATTGCTAATATAGTCATTGCTCTTCAGAGTTAGGAAACGCCTTACCCTGAAGAGCAACACTGCCTTGAATACTGCTCTCTGCTTCCAGCACCCAGCCTGATGTTCACAGCTCTTTGTGCATGCAGAAACACTTGTCAAGCCAAATTCATATTCTCTTCTATTTCACGCCATGAACTGTCCGCGTATTCTGTTTTTGATAAAATTATCATTTCCAATTGTTTTAAAATATTAACAGCTGTGATTTTCTAAATATGTTTTGGCTTTTTTCTTTCTTAACACTTGCAGATATTGTTCTGTGTATGTGTGTTGTCTGCGTGTTCACGTGTTTTCACTGCCAGTTTTACATGCAGCGTGAGTTTTCTTCGGGCCGCCTCTGTCACTCTGGGTTCTTCCCACGTGTGAAATGCAAAATAAAAGATCAATTATCCATTCTACAGTTGTCATCAAGGTTTTCATAGAAAATGTGAAAAAGTTAACTAACCCAAAACATGCTTATCGAGAGAATTGGTGCCCATATATAGTACAGTTAAGCATCTAGCATGCTGTTTATACTTGTTTGCATACTAATACTTGCTGTGAGGTCAAACACACTATTTGAATTTCAGTGCAAAACAGGTAAATCAAAATCACTCTGATCAGGCAAAGGATTAACATCACCCATTTATTTCAGTATAAAAGGCACGAATACTGCTTACTCTTGCTACAAAAAAACATCCAAACCTCCCTTTGCTCACTGGAATAAAGTCTTGTAAAAAAAAACCACTTCACACAAAAAATTTGTGTCTAATCACTTCCTACTGCTCATAGATCCCGCACCAAAAGGTGCAGCAGAGGCGTTGTTTTATTGGTGGAGCACCACATCGAGCACGTTTACCACCTCCGTCCCCTCTCCCCGGCATGCGCAGAGCTGTTGCAGATCTCTGGGATCGGCCTTCACAGCAATGCGCTGGGGGCGTCGGCGCAGCAGCAGGCGGCGGCGGCCGCGGCGGCGGCAGCAGCGGGGACCGGTCAGCAGCCGGGGGGGGGCCCGGCGGCTGCAGCAGCAGCGACGGCAGGAGACAAGGGGCCGGAGGGGGGCCCGGCTCCGCCGCGCGAGCGCCGCGCCAGCGACGTGCTGGACGCACCCATGCACGACATCCGCCTGGAGAAGAGCAACATCGTGCTGCTGGGCCCCACCGGCTCCGGTCTGTTGTTTGGAGTTTACGCTCGTGCTGAAGTAGTTCTGCCTTTGACCCTTTCCCGTTCCGATGACGTACGTGTACGCGAGCAGAACGGAACCGGAACGGAAACTAAAATAAAATAACTTTATCGGTACCGAGGCTCCCGCAAGGCCGTGCGGGAGGGCGTGTGCCACAGTTCGGTGCCAGTTATCACAGAGTGCGGTCGTGTTGCTACAGTTGTCTGCGGTCAGTTCATTGTCTTTTAAAAACAACGGCGCTTTGCCTCTGAATAAAATTAGCGCCGAACCGCTTGCGATTCAGCGGTGAACGGGACCCACCCTGCAACCTGCAGTCATTTCGGAACGGGAAAAGGTGAATGCTGCTTGTATCCAGGCTAAAGGTGCGGTCGTGGTGCGGCTGCTGCTGGTGCTGCACTCTGAAAGTGTCATTTTGAATTGTTGTGCTCGTGCTCCTAATTGCCAAAAATGAAAGGAAAACATCCACAGGTAAATGTAATGGCTATGCATTGCGTGCATCTGGAGTTGACAAATAGCCAGGTTACTTGCGCTATTGCTGATTTTTTATCACTTCTCGCTCCTGCATGGTGTTAAGAATTGTATTAAAATGTGTTATACAATGCTAATTTACTGACGTATCTAATGCTAATGGAGAATCAGGAATGTATAGTACAGAGAAGTGTCTTATTCTTCAATACCGCCATCCACAAGAGTCCTTTTAATAACATACAGTTGGCAATCCCTGCATAATTGTGGGCGTGTGCAGAGAAGGCTAGCAGGTGCTAAACAGTTTGTGACTGAGTAGGTGTTTCTTATAAACCCTTCGACATTATACTTGTGCTGCGGAGCAGATTATTGTACTGTATACAGATGAAATGTTGGTGTGTGTTATCACATGCATTGGTGTTATGCCCCGAATCGTGTGCTTTTAGTTTTACAGTAGAGTAATGCAAACATGGTATTGTGCTCCCCGCTGATGAAGAACAAACTCCACCCCCTTCGCACTTTTCTATGCAGGAAAGACCCTGTTGGCTCAGACGCTGGCTCGATGCCTGGACGTTCCTTTCGCCATCTGCGACTGCACCACATTAACACAGGCGGGCTATGTGGGAGAAGACATCGAGTCTGTGATCGCCAAGCTGCTGCAGGACGCCAACTACAGCGTGGAGAAGGCGCAGCAAGGTAGCAGGTCTTGCTGCAGCATGGTCAAGCACACTCGAGCCGCCGAGTCTCGCACCGTTGACCAGTTTTCCCTGTAATCCCATGCGCCTGTGCACCACCGTAATCGCATATCGGCATCTCGGCTGCTCGTACGCACGCCTCGTCATTCGGTTTGGATATTTCCTGCTCCAGTCCATTGGTCACTGCAATGTAACCACACTGTCTCTAATCACCATACATACAACTCGCCGCTCGTCCTGAAGTATTTCCTCCCCGCGCTATGCAATTGGTATGAAAAACACATTCCTGCGGAGGGAGCTGGTAGGAACGTTGGGTTGCTCGGTCAATGGCCAGGGTCAACGGTGGCACCACGTGGTGTATTCCGCAAATATGCCCTACTGTGAGGGCGGGCACAAGCCGGCGTGAGTAGGTTAAACGTTGAGTTTTATAAGGGCACCACGGGGTGACCAGCCCCTCCCCACCCAGCCCCACCCCTCCCACCCCCCACTCAGCCCCTCCCTCCCCTCTCCACCCAGCCCCACTCTTCCCATTTGTGGATGCACGACGGACGGACACAATAATCCCCTTTGGGCTGGTGTAACCAGGAGGTTCCTACCAGTACCAGTTCATTAACCTGCTGCACAGAGGGCAGTTTCCCTTATGTTTGTTGACATAATGGCCTAAATACGTTTCCTGTGTACCTGAAAGTATAACTCAATGTTTGAGTTAACCTAATGGATGACATTAAATAGATGAAATTGTGCTACTGCTAAATTCATTTTGGCCATGAGCTGGTGAAAGGTTATGCTCATCCAGAACAAAAATCCTTCAAGTTTTGGAACTGCTTGTTGCAGCATGGCGTAAGTATTTATTGTTCTAAAGAAATAGGAAAACTGCGCGAAGTCTCCCCCAGAGGCCTCTCGTCGTGGTCAGCAGACCTAGACGTGACACTTAGCTCCTTAAAGTATTGCCATACGCAAGAGTATAAAATGGAAGAGTTGCAGTGCGACTACTCAAACGTATGAAATGTTGCTTATCCATGTTGAAGTTGCTTGTGCAGCTTTGTGTGGTCTTATTTGCATTTACATTCGGCATCGGTTCTGGTTTATTTGCTGTAGTCATCGAAATGACCGTAAACGGTTTTTGAATTCAATATTATTAACGTTGGTTCAAGCAGTTTACAAGAAGTGTACATTTTCGATTTAATCATTTTTTGTTGGAAGTCATCGGTGGCTTTAGATTTTAGACTGAAAATATATACTGCGTATTTGTCTAAGCCCTGTAGGTGATGTAAAAGTATTTTATTCCAAAAAGCAATTTTAATACAATGAAAACTATTATCTGAAGAAAATACCGAACCTATTAACAATGGGATTAAAGCCGATTGAGAACAGTATGTTCACAGGACTTTTGGACAGATTATCATGAAGACAAAATCAACGAACATGAGACGTGACAATATTTATTTACATTATGAGACCTCATTTGCCAGAAACAAGAAACAAGATATAGATATAGGAATATATATAGGAATAGGTACGCCTTTTGGCGTCTTCTGGTCCAACACCAATGGAGACTAGGCTCTAAGAAAAGCTGTCTCGGGTGTGGACCAATCAAATTCAAGGACAGTGCATATTATTATCAGAGTTGTCTTTTTTGTTTGCATTTTGACTGCTTGTGTTGTGGTTATTGCAAACATGATGCCTTGAATAAAGGTGTCAGTTTTTGTGCCAGATAAAAGGGTAAAACCTATTCCAATATGTATTTAGTTCTACGGTGGCTTGTCTTTGTTAAAGCTTCAGTCCTGAAGGTTCTAAGCCGATGTTGTTCCTGTGCTGTGTGCTCCCACAGGCATCGTGTTTTTGGACGAGGTGGACAAGATCGGCAGTGTGCCAGGCATCCACCAGCTCAGGGATGTTGGTGGGGAGGGTGTGCAGCAGGTGTGTGTGTGTGCAGCGGAGTGCCGGGTGGCTAGAGCACAGCAGGTTGGCACAGTAGGGGGCACAGGTGGTGCATCAGCCAGTCATCTCAGTCGACCCGTGGCACCTGCTGGGTCTGCCCCGTGACCACCTGCCAGCGGGCGTTCGACACTTCACGTGGCCTCAGAGTGCACATAACCTGGCACAAGCGTCGTGGTGACGTCACCGCCACTTAGTGGTGAATGGCGGTTGTTGTGTGATTCGGTGGTGCAGCGGTTAGCACGCGGCACTTTGAACCCGGTGACCCGAGTTTGATTTTCCCTCACGGCCGAGACCAGTGAGGATCATCTCAACTTGTCCTGGGCCTCCCTAACGTCAACTTAGCCTCATTACAGTACGGCTAAATTTTTACTTAACTTTCGCGACTGCAGGAATTCAAATTCTTGGTTGTTTTGTAAACGCACTCGCTTAACTTGTGCTTGCGGTGCTTTGCTCCTTCATTGGCGCTGGCTGCCCCGCCCATGCTGTTTAGGCCGCACAGCTATGCTCACTTTGAAAGCCCTTATACGCATGAGTGTTTTAACATCTTAACACCTGTTTGTTGCTAGAAAAACGAGGAAAACCTATTCTCATTTTGGTACTGGCAAAGGAGGTCCCATGATATATAAGCAGTTGCATTTGGAGGCTTGCCCCCTCTTTTTTCTCAGCCTGATGAAGACCACTTATGCTGCGTTCGAAACGTCGTGGTTTTTTTCTTTTATTTAAAATTTTATTTTCTATCTACGTGACTTTACCGAAAGAACCAAGAACACAGTGGCTATACAGGGGACCTCTCTGTACCTGTATTATTATGTAAACAGCCTTGCTCCTACTCTAGTGTTGTAATTCTGTGATGAATTGTCAATGATTGATAATTTTTTGTCTTGTATTTACCATGTCATTTATTTCCTGATGATATATTGTCTCATTGGTATAGTTTTGTTTGCTGCGTTAGTCTGAATATAACAGTCCTATGGTTATCCTAAATAATTCTCACACGTTTGCAGATATCAAGAGCACAATAATTTATTGTACACAAGGAATTGCTGCATCGCCGTGTTTCTGGTTGGTCGAGCGCTTTCCTCCGAGACCGCACACCATACGAGTGTGTGCGGCGAGAAAACAGCCTGATGCCGGCTGCTGTCTGTGCGCCGCACGTTCACCAGGGCTTGCTAAAGATGCTGGAGGGGACGGTGGTGAACGTGCCCGAGAGGAATTCTCGCAAGCTGCGTGGAGAAACTGTGCAGGTGGACACCACCAACATCCTGTTTGTGGCCTCCGGAGCCTTCAATGGCCTCGACCGCATCATTAGCCGCCGCAAAAATGAGAAGGTACACCTTGGCTCCACAGTCCGCTGTGTGGCACTGTCTCGTAATGCGTTGGGATTTTCTTGCGTGAACTGTCATGTTTATAGGGCGGGTTTACAAGGACACATTGCTTTAGTTATACGCGTTTACTGTCCTGAAGCGCAGTACGCTAACCGCCAAGCCACGCGTGTCCATCATGACAATTCGGCCCATCCCACCTCGCGAAACGTTTAAAAAAAATTGTATTAAACGTCATCGTTGCGTTACAGCCTTTGGGACTCGGACTGAATGTCACTGGCGCCTCTGCACCGGAGTATCACCACAGGTCTTGGGCTTGCCACATTCTCTAGAAAATATGTCGCTGGATAGATAACTGTACTTATTGAAATTGTCATCATAATCGTCTTATTGTTCAATAGCTAATGCACGATATCCAAAAACATGTTTACAGATGGATACTGTGGAGCAAATGTTTTTTTTTCCCCCCGAGTTCAGATATTGAAGCCTTCACGGGAAATAACACAAACAGTTCAATGCGAGCAACTATTCACATCACAACTCTACATTGTGGCAGAAAATGTTTTATTCAGACAGTAAACTTCTACTGCTATTCCAATGTCATTAAAAAAAAACCTCCCTGTAAAGAACTTTCGACAATTTTTTTGTTTGTTACAGAAGCTGCTAAGTTTTCTACGTAAAAATAATTTTAAATCCCAATGATAATTCTTGGAAGTGGTGAATTTTTTTAATCTAGTTAAATGGGTCTGTTCACAGAACTTGGCAATTGCAGAACTAAATACAGTACAATCATGAGTTGATGAAGAGCTTGCAGTAGCATGACTTTTGAGGGGTTGTAAGGATTTAAAGCTTTCGTGACTGCTAGGATCCATACTCTTTGGTTCTATTGGGTAAAGTCACGTAGGTAAAAAAAAATAACAAAAATCACGACGTTTCGGCCACAACACAAGCGGCCTTCATCAGGTGAAGGGACGAGACTGTCTGGAGGACAGCGCTGGAGTAAAAATGGCACGTGTTGTGGCCGAAACGTCGTGATTTTTGTTATTTTTTTTACCTACGTGACTTTACCCAATAGAACCAAAGAGTATGGGTTGTAAGGAGTTTAAGTCTATCACGGAAGATTCATGAACTGGCAAGAGTCCCAAAGGCAGACCAAGGTGGAACGAAAATACGTGCAGATACAAGCGAGTGTCGGGAAATAGAAAGATAAGAGAGAACGTGGGAGGATAAGCACGAGTGGGGAGATATTGTCGCCGTACTGGAGAGATAATGTCACCAGGGCCGACCCAGACAGAATTGAAAGCTGCGACCGTTTCTAATCGCGAGATGTCCTGCGGCGGCATTGGAATTCCTTTTATGTGCCCTCGATACACGTCAATTTGACCTCATTCAAACAATGCTGTCACACCGGCGCTAACATCATGGCGGTGATGCGATCAGATGTCTGCATTTTTTGTCATCCATGTGTGTCACGCGCGTGCTCCATTTGTAAACTGCGTCACGTCTTTGCCCCCGATGGCAGTACCTGGGCTTCGGCACGGTGAGCGTGGGCGCTGGGCGGCGCGCGGCCGCCGACGCCGGGCGGGCTCACGGCAGCGCGAGCGGCGACGGCAGCGCCGTGCAGGAGCAGGAGGAGCGCGACCGGCTGCTGCGCAACGTGGAGGCGCGCGACCTCATCGAGTTCGGCATGATCCCCGAGTTCGTGGGCCGCTTCCCTGTCGTGGTGCCGCTGCACTCGCTCGATGAGGCCATGCTGGTGCGCATCCTCACGGAGCCGCGCAACGCGCTCATCCCACAGTACCAGGCGCTCTTCAGCATGGACAAGGTGCTCGCCCGTGTGTGCGCGTGAATGTAGCGCGGCGGGTTTCGTGTGCGCGTGTGCGCGCTCGGAGCGGTGGCGCAGAGGGTTAGCAGCGCATTGCACTACCAACCTGGTGACCCGGGTTCGATTCCCGCTCACGGTCAACACAAGTGATGATTGTCTGAAGCCTAGGTCGACTCTTGCCTCAAATTAATACTTGGTGCGGTGTGTAAACATCACCACTTGGGAGAAAAAGGATGGTCGGGCGTGGTGCTGGCAACCCCCACCCCCTCGTATACAGTGCCAGTCTTCGTAGGTGCTACTCGCTAACGGCACTTGCCCCGACTCAAGGCTATACGGGGGATCTTTGTTTGTCTCGGTCTTTGCAGTGCGAACTCACCGTGTCGACGGACGCGCTGCATGCGATCGCTCGTATGGCGCTCGACCGGAAAACCGGGGCACGAGGTCTGCGCTCCATCATGGTGAGGGATCCCGGCGAGCGCGTTTGACAGCTGGGAACAATGCCTGTGCAAGGTCGTACGCACCTCGGATTGACACGTTTAGTTACGTGCGAAAGAAGTTCAACATGCATACGTAACATGAAGCTATGAAAATAGTACCTTGCTTGGACTTGTTTAAAAGCTGCTGCCGAGCGAACGGAGGCAGGATTTAAAATCCCTCTGGCATTGAAGGTTTCTCTCGGTATGTTTTGGCTGCCGGGCTGCACGAACATGCACAGCCTTGTGCTGTATTGGCCGGCCCCAACTGCAGTGTCAGTGATGTATGGGGTGGACCCAAACTAAAATGGTCATGTCACTGTCAAATAACCTCTATCTTTATTTGAATACAAAATATATATTTATTTTAAATTCACTGTTTTATTCATAATTGAATAAGCTGCAATGTTTTAATTAAAAAGCCATTTGTTCTGTGCATTGCCAATACTTAAAATGTTGTGCATGTATTTGCAGGAGACCCTGCTGCTTGATCCTATGTTTGATGTGCCGTGCTCGGACATCATGGGAGTTCAGCTGGACCAGGATGTGGTGGATGGCAAGAAGCAGCCCTCCTATATAAGGTACATCTGATTGGATTATTCCCAACATTATTTAGCGTTTTGCAACAATGTTCCCGTTGTTACTGATGTCGATGTGGATTGAAGTAATTGTGCTCAAGTGGAGCTATTTGAGGTGTAGAATCAAGTGTCCAACAGCGAATCGCCCAAACGTTTACTTGTCGGCTGAGTTTTTTTTTAACGTCACTGCCGCCCGTTTGTGTTGTAGAGCGCCTCCCAAGGACTCGACGGATGATGACTGTGACTCGGGGGTAGAAGATGACAATTGGCAGCGACAACGCGATGCTGCTAACAACTGAATGCTTTACAGATGCCTGCTCCACAGAGCCTGTTAGCACTACCCTCTGGCATAGCTATAAGCTCCCCTTTCGTAATCGGCCCTGAGCCATATAGGGTTAAACAATGTTCTCTTCCACCACAGGTGTTGTTTTTCAAGTGTCATTACAATGTAAACAATTCACAAGCAGTACTTTATTCTTATCAGAGAAAAAAGGCACGATCTATGCATTGTTCATTTGTTTTCAAAATATGTCACTGCATTACCAAAAATTACATTGCTATATCATTAGTGTCCTACTGTTCCAATTATGAGTACTAAACAAGCATTGGACTGAATATACTTAGCAATGATGGCATACAGTGGTGAAAATTACTTTGTAATTAAGGTACTTTATTTCATCACCCCTACTCAAGTCCGTAGAGACATCATCTAGCCACAATGGCCTATGTGAAGCTTTGTTATGGTCTAGGTACGTCTCGGTCCCTTTAATGTAGAGCAGAATATTTTTGCACTAGAGTGCAGGTTAAGATATGTATCCATGCCACAGCAAGCAGCGTTGTAAAATAATATTATTTTAAAATATTTTCACTGTTTTTCTTTTAAACTTAATGTGTTCAGAATATTTTCTTCTGTATCCAGGGTTTCATAAATATCTGTATACCTGGATTTTCAGAACTGTTGGACTATTGTTTATTTTTTGACTTTTGGTCATCCAATGCTCTGTAGGTCTCCAAAAGGTGCATTGTAAATTGGGACTTGTCAGTTTTAAATATATTCAAATGAAATTGGTTTTGATGTCCACATGTTTTCTTTGCAGCCTCAATTGCGGCTGTGTACTTTGTGTTAGTAATACCGATAAAAACGTGTGCCACATGCAATCCCACCCAATAAGAACCTTGAAAAAGTAGGCAACAAAAATACTTTAAGAATTATATTTAGAGGCACAGTTCCGCCAGGGTTGTATTAAAAAAAAATACAAAGCCTTTTCCCCACATTCTTTTCCTTTAGTGATATTGTACAATTGTACACGATGTGAAAATATGGACAGTTGAAAGAAATGCCTTTTTTCTGCACACATTTAATTTGATTGACATTTGTGTTGAAAATACGTGGCTATTTAGTCCAGACATTTGTTTTGAAATGTTGCATTTTTTTTTACACCAGTAATTCCCATCTTCTTAAGTGGACTGTGCAAACCAGAGTAATTATGTACACTGACCTTTTCTCCGCAAGCATTGTCTTGTTTTGTCAAAACAGATGATTAAATGTAAAATAAGAGTGGTGCTTCCGGACATTAAGGAACCCACAGTTTGTCACAATTTACCTAAATGGGTAGCTTGGGTGTTGAGTCGGTAAGCTTGGTAGGGTGATGGTTTCCCGTGGGTAAAAATCAAGAACCACATTCACCAAAAAAATGTTGAGATAAAAATGTCAGAACAAAAATGCAATCCGAAATAAAATGTCAGTAATTTTATAATAGGTGCATTTAGCGGGTTACAATATCAAAGATGTTAGTAACAGGGAGTGTATGCTTTTAATATTCAATTTTCAAATTGGTTGTTAATCTAAACGAGGTTGTACCGATGGTCTAGGTGATGTTTGTAAAAAGAAACCTATCAAAACATTTGTACGTTTGACGGATTTGCATGCACACTGCATCATCGTGGTTTCCAATGCTGTAAGTTGAGAGCAGGTGTGGGATACTCGTAATGAGACTGCAATTTCAGACGATGGAGGAGGCGTTTCGGCTGCGCAAACTTTGTTCAGTCGTGAGACCTCGATTTGAAAGTTTTCTCACGGTGCCAGGACAATCGTGTGGAAGCATTCAAATATCGCGTTCTACGCAAGTGCTGCAGTGATTGTAACCACGATTGGTTTTCAGCTCACTTGGTAGGCATTTTATGAATAGTACTTTTATTACACAAAAGTGACCCAACAAATGTAAAACGTTTAGTGTTGCACTAGCGAGGAGTGTGTTTGAAGTTACAGTCGCTGTTCTGTTTCAAATTAACCAATACTTTTTCCCAAAGGTCATCTCTGTACTTTAACGTGTACATGCAAAACCACAGGTTTATTGTGTAACTTATATTTTACCCCCATTGTGAAGGTGGTTTTAATTCTTACTGTTGGAGCCTGTCATGAGTAGTATGGCAACTAAAAGGTTTTTCTGAGTGAAAGTATTTCATTCAATTTGTATGTAGCTGGACAAATGGTTTGATTTTGGTGAATTCAGTGTTATACACATGCATCTCTTTAAAAATAAAAAGCTGTGCATGTAAAGCTCATGTATAATGCTTTTTGTACTGTAAAAAGGTGCAATAAAATTTAGCTGGTTTAATATTGAATCATTTTTTTTGTTTGATATTGTAACAACTGCAGGATGCTCTTTAGGAAAAATTGTAGTTGTATGTTTGTATAAATTGTCTTAGGTTTGCCAAGAGCAGACATGCATTTTTGTCCATTGATTCTGGACACCATATTTAATATTTTGCCATTGTTTCTTGTGAATGAGCCATTACGGTTGAACGTTTTTGCATGAAAGTATGAATTTGCGGAATACCCTAACATTTAAAAAATGTATAGGTTTATACATAATAGGCTGCTTGACAGCAGTATTGGTGGCCTCACTGAAGTATAGCTAATACCTTGCTGCAAAGATATTTAATGGCTTGTGTGTTGGTGCAGTACAGGTCCCATACATGCAGATAAGCCATCACCACTGTCCATAACATTGCCTTATGAAAACATGTAGGAGACCCCATCATGGTGAAATCTGGATCATAAATTATTAAAACTAAGATGTATCAATGTAGCTGCTGCGACCCTCACCAGGATAAGTGGACTGAGAAACCAACTTATGTAAGTCGAATTGTGTAACAGGAGGCCAAAAAACATGTTTATTTCTTAGGGTGACCCTTGACACGCTTGAAGTGGTGAACACCATCCTGTGTCCACACCCAGAAATCTAAAACGAGAGGCTGCCTCCAGGTCATCATTCTGTTACACAATTTTCATGTTGGATGACCTCTGGCACAATGGTTAGAATTGGTAAGGCCCTGGTAGTTGCCAGGCCGTCTTCCACAATAACCCTGAGTAGCCCATAATTGTTGAGGGCACCTCTTACAAAGGCCCTCCGGGGATGTTGCCAGGGAATTTTGAGGGGGAAGCTCACCCCCACACGCATTTCCAGCTCCGTGTTTCCTTACCCGTTGTGGTTGGGAACACACATGACAAACACAGCTGCGTGAGAATGTGATGCAAACGATAGAACATGTCTGATAATTCTTCTTTCGTATGGCATTGGCGGGGAGGTGGTAACAGTTTGTTTAGTTATAGTTGAATGTTAAGGTCCTTCAACCAATCCAAAGCAGCAGTAGACGCTGTATAGATGTCAGCAATGCCGCCGGGGTGTGCGGATGGCGCACTCGGTGATGCAAGTACTGTCAATTATTACCCACCATTCTTTAATAGACAACAGCAGTTCATAGCGAATAGAAACTTTAATAGGTTATAGTTTGTTTCAAAAAAACAGCTTTACAAAGCATGTAACAGTGTTAACCTTATTTCTCAAATTGCACTTTATACACAGATGACCAACCCTTTTAGAAAGTTCAATATACAGAAACTTTTACATACATGTACAATGTGATAATGCATTACAGAGGTACCCAGTTCCCAAATGACCAAGTCTAATTCAGTGCGAGTACATGGCACACACACACAAACTCTAAATTCAGCAAGGTACTTTATAATTACTACGTGTGTGCTGTTGATATCCAGTATCACTGGCACATAGTTAAATTGTATCTGGCAAATGTTTAAAAAGCACAAGAAAAAAAAAACAAATCATGTTCCTTCCCAACCAGTTGCAAATACTGACAATATGAACAGTTTACAACCTCCACCATCACTAAATTTGCGTGGAACATGAACACTTTATGGCTCATTCGAAGTTGCATGAATACAAGCAAGTGCGTGTTGGAGACTTGTGATAAATGGAGTGAGAGCGAAGGAGTGGTCATAGGATAAAGCTGCACGCAAAATATCGTTGAAACACGAAAGTAGGCTGGGCCTTCTCGCCATGTCTGCAGACCACGACACGGATGTACCGTCCGTAGCACAGGAAAATAAATGGTACCCCAACAGAGCGCCATTAACAAGGCTTACGTGTCCTTTTGGGAACAAATCAAGCGCCTGGTTAACAAATTACCCCTTTCATCTTGGGGGGTGCTCGTGCTCTGTGTGTACACAAACTCTGAAGAACAACTTCAGCAAATAACCCCACCAGGAGTGCTATGACAGTCCTATTGTTAAGTATACACAGCTATGTCCAGAATATTGTTTTCAAACTCATTTATCTTGTAAGTCCATACGTCAAAACGATAAACAATTGGATATAGAATGAAAGTAAAAAAGTAATGTATTTGAAAGTCAAACCACAATCTATCCAAGGTCCTACTTTCTTAAATTAGTCAAATTTATGCATCGTCTTTTTGTTAACGATCACGAGCCACTAAATTCTACATTGCAACTATAGCTCAAAAATAGGTAGCGCCAACATAACTTTATGACAATGTAGACTAAAATATACATTTCACCATTTTCACCATTTTGGTCGTTTAATTTGAAATGGAACTCAATTCCGGTTGGACATTGCCAATCACTTGTGGGAATGCTCAATACATCGTCATGACGAGATTATCAAACGTTTGCGTATGCGGTCACGATTGCTTACCATGCAGCATATGGGCACGCAACAATGTGGGACTGAAAGGCGCACAAGTGGTTTACAATTCAGCCCCTAAAAATCTCGGCATGGGCACATTTGCAACAACGCGAGCGATTCTGTTTTCCAGCAACAGTGGGTTACACGTGCTCCAGCATAACCACCTATAGAGACAACCTTCTCAACAAATGTCACATCTTGTTTTTGCTTAAATATGTCCAGCAACGCCAAGTGATTAAAGCTGAGTATGGATAATCAAACGTCTAGTGGTTTAGTCCATACTCGTGTCCACAAATACACACCAACAATATGCAATTTATAAATGCGGTATGACAAGATGCAGTTTTTTTACATGAGTTAAGCAAGAATATTTACATAAACAATTTATTTATATTCCAGCATAACCATTCCAGCAATTTGTAAAAAAAATGCGGTTATAATTCATGCTAATGCTTCAAAGCTCACAGTGCTATGTCACCACACTGAAAAAAGCAAAATCAGTGCCCAGCAAATTTAACCAGCGTTCGAAGCAAGTATCACCACTGCGAACTCATTCGTTTCAACAGTTTGCAGTGTGCGTGTGAATTATCCAGTCGTGTTTAATGACCCTAAAGTGTGACTGTAAACATCGATTTTAAGAATTTCCCTAAGGGCTGATCATAAACAGCTTTTAAAGAAAACACAAATTGGTTATTAAGAATGATCACTTTCAGTAACATTGATAGGATTTCAAAAATTAAATAGTCATTGTTCATCACGGATAATAAAAACAGGCAGATGGATTACCTTTTGGTTACTGTGCTTGCCACTGAATTGACTACATGGGGTAAATTAATAAGCCCTGGCTAAAATACAGACCTGGAATTACCAACTTTGTCACAGCGTTTGCAAATTGTGTCGTTCATGAGGTTGTGAAATTCACACGAGTTGGCCATTATGTGGCCGTGTCATAACCCAAATCGAAATAAAGTATCTGCAATCAATATGTTATAAGCGAAGTCCCCTACATGACCGATTCCCTTTGAAGAGGTAAATTAACATCTCTGGGACTTCATTTCGTTTAATTATTAATCAATGACATTTAAGTAAATTTGTTTTCGCTTTTGATTGGTTAACATGTACATACATTTTTATCAGGTCTTAGGTGGCTAACTGGCCGCACCTTGCGCTCAAAAACCTTCACACACACGTCAGAAGTAAAAAAAATTCTCAACTTATTTAAACAGTACAGTCTGCTCATCATTTGACAAGATTTGGATAAATTATTGGGCAGTTATGTGCATATTTCCGAAGGCTAATACAAAAGACTTGTCACAATGGTCGTATTCAAAAGCACCACTCGTCAAAATGGAACAAACCGAGTGAATGATGAAGATTCATATTTCTACTCCGAGGCACTCTAATTTTATGCAGAACAAAAACAGTAAAAGGTCGTCGCAAACACACCGTTTACCTTCTCATTTGCAAATCACTTGTTTTCTGCCGTTGCGTAAATGTACTTTATAATTAACAATAAAACACCACGACGTTATGCGCTTTGTCAAAAGACAGATTTTTCCATCACGTGTTGGCTGACGTGCCAGAAGCAGAGGGCAGGCTTTTGCCGCGGGCAAACAGCCTTAAGTGAGGGTTCCTCCAGCGTATTGTCTTAACAAATGGGTTCCAGTCGCTATTATGAACTCATCAAATTTCCTTTGCTAGACGGACCACCCTGCTTCTGTGAAGCCCCCCCCCCCCACCCTTTCATCTGTCTACAAGTCCTCCATGGTTTTTTGTTGTTGAATGGCCTCTACTGGCCTAAATTCCCCAAGATGAATATAATGCTCTCCCCCCCTCCCGACTTAGCCCAAGAAAGGCAAAATCCTTGGCTTAGGGTAGGCACCTCAAAAGTTCATTACCGAGCCAATAGGTCTATTGGGCCTCCTCAGCCAGCACGATGGCCATGTGCTCACCACGTGACTTGTTCATAAACTATGTAGACAAGAGCAATACAAAATATAAAAATGTGACCTCACCATTTGGCGACTGGAAGTAAACTTATGCAAAGAGGCCAACTCAGAACGTCCTCCGATCAAGAGGAAACAAGCAACTTCACCGCATCAACACTGCTCACCCAGTAGTTGTAACAGTATTCTTGTCTTTACATTTGTGTTAACGCCGAGCACAGCGTCAGATAACAGGTGAGAAGCTATGTTCCTTTAAAAACGAATGAGAATTGTAATGCATTTCAGTTTTCCCCACTTGCACCATTGCATACAGATGACCGCACAAGATGTTAAGCATCCCATGGCAGTGACATTATGGCCGTGCTCAACACTCGCAGTGGAACAAACCCAAGCGGCTGCACGAAATGCCGCCAAGTCAACTTCAGCAGGCAGTATGAAAAACAACGCGAAACATGGGTGCGGATCTGCTCAAAGCTGAACACGTAACGTCACGTCGCGTCCCGCTTGGCAGACACGTGCTTTTTACGATTGCACGCGTACAGCGTTGGCCACCACGTGCCATGTCATCATACATCTTGCGTGGAATGAACGCAATCGAATCTATGCATACGTCTCCTATTTAAATAATAACCGTTTACATTAAGCTACTGCAGTGTACGAGTACACACACACGCACTCGAGAAGACTAATGGAGTGTAAATATTTGTACATTTCTTTACACAGACAAAACATGACATGTACATATTCATATATATATTTTTTAACCAAAAATCCTGTGCCAAAACCGTGACCTAAACATAACTTATGTATGATGGGAAGATTTCTAAAATGAGCGTGTATAATGTTGTGTATTTCACATTATAAACATTTGTTCTACACCATAGTTGCACTTGTCAAAGGAATCCAAATGTTCGATTCTCCGTGTCCTCCTATAGGGGTCACTGTAGCCAAACGGCTGCTCTCCCTTGGCGTTTCGGCTGTCTGGATAGCCAATAGGAAATGCTCCGAGTAACAAATATTGCAGACAATTTTTAAAGGATGCACAATGTGTGGAACAGAGGTGAGAGTGTACACACTAGCAACGAAAACATGGGCACTGCTATAGGCCCCTCGGGAAATTATCTCACAAGCTTTGTTCAAGCCTATTAAATAATCGCCAGATGACAACCAGCTCATCGATTGTACAATGCTACAAGTCATTGTACAATGCTACAAATGTCATTAGTGTGACTAAAATGTCAGTTCCCTCACCTGAACATAACATTTTCATCTAGGGAAACACATCGATCCCAATGTTATTCAGGAGAAATCAGTTTATATGCGGCAAGAGATGCTTTTATTACTTTCTGCATAGACCCAAGCGTCTTTTATATATATAAGAAAACATTTCGTAAAATGACCGTGTGACCAATATCAGTAGGTAAGGCTTCGGTTTGGCCAAGGCTCAGACAAAGTGTGTGCAGCAATGAGACAGCTGCTGAGACTCATTTCCCTGAACTCATCTCCACCAAACTAATGTACACACACACACGTACGTCCGCTGCTGCTGTGCTCACGTGTACTGGAGAAGTCAAAAGTCAGCCTGAGATTGAGTGAATGGGGCCCATGTGGTCCAAGAGGCACAGTTAGAACGTGAACACAATGGACATGGCATTGGCTCGTGCTGTGCCGTTACTAAAAACTATTTATTTTACCAGGTAAGGCCCACTGAGCTATATAGCTGTTTTTCAGAAGTGATCCGGCCACAAAGGATAGCTCAACAAAGTGGTTTATGTGGACATCTATAGCAGCCAAATACTCTAAAAAGCATGCTTCTAATTGTGGAGGGAAAAACCAGAGGACCCGGAGAAAAATCCACGCAACCACAGGGAGAACGTGCACACTCCAAATATAAAGGCGTCAGGGTCGGGATCGAATCCACGACCTCCTGCATACCAGGCGAGGGAGTTACCAACTCGCCACCGTGGCGTTACCTTAGAGGCTGCAGTCAATGCCGAAGAACGAACGCCTGTGTGGCAAGAAGCACGTTTTCTTGCTGAGCAGACAGAACCCATTTTACACCAAGATGCAAACTAGATGGTCCGGCCAGATTAGACAGCGAGCTGCAAACACGGATGGGAATAGCGCACTGCAGTGCAGAGGTGTGATCAAATTAAATGATCAAATCCAACTACTAATTAAAAACATGTTTCTTTCGCAGAGATAATGTGACCATCAAGAGCTAATCAGGACATCAATATCTATTTCACAAACATCATATAAAAACACATGTAATACTAATAAAACAACCCATCAATTTACTACTATGGAAGCATTACACGGATCGGCTTCGAGGGGGGTAAATCCTTATTGCTGCAAATTAAAGTTATTGCGTGAGGGTGTTCAGAGGCCTGCAGGCTGTACAATCCTTAAGGCTTTAAAGCTACCAGAGTGCTAAATATTACCAACAGCAACAATTACATTGGGCAATCATCCTGCATTAACTTGTTCTATGGTATCTGTCTATCACTGTGATATCCCAAGATACTTTGCTGCTTGAGAATCATAAGTTTAGGAAGGCTGTCATGTCAATTTAGGTCACTTCAACTTTAGTGAGGAGTCAATGGTCTGCATTTGATGAACTCTAAACATTATTGCAGTCTTCAGGCATTGTATTGACATGCTTCTGGAATTTTCAAAGGGAAATAAATTGGAGCTGGCATCTAAATGAAGTGCATTTAATATAAATACAGACATCACATTCCCAGACTGCCTTCATATAAGTAAACATCATATGCATCTGGAGTGTTGGTTATTAAGAGCATCTTGGCAACAGGCACACAATTGAGCGCCGAATAAAAAATATAAGCGATAAGTTACGGACGTCTTACTGTCCACACACGTGCACAACAGAGTAGTGTTGCTGTGCAGTACACAGTTCCCTTCCTAGGCTATACTATGCTTGCAAGTGTGACCTTTATTTACCCCGATGCTTTTAACTCTACGTGACAATGTGAAGAAGTGTACTTTCATCGTGTAAAACCTGGTTCTCAAATAGCAAATAATGCGAACTCCATCCTTCCTAACCGACTGACCCGCAGGCACAAACATGGACGTGTGCACACGACAAGTCCCACTGAATAGGCTCGCGCTCTTTGCATCGTCATTCCACGGGCTCCGCTGTCCGCTCTTCTGACTTCCCCACACCCATTGGGGGTTTTTCTCCATGGCACAGTCTCTACGATCATGCACGCTTTACTCTACTTCACTTTGTCGAGGCACCATATACCCTTGGCCAAGCCTCGCTGGCTGCGGGCCAACACGCTGCATCTTGGCCTCCCACAAGCGTTTACTTCCTTCCGTTGAGCTTGGGATCGGGCGGCTGGAACGTGGATCGCGTCACGTGCTTGCTCTGAGGCTGCCGCAAAGTCACGGCCACGGCGGCCGCAGGCTTGTGGGAGCCCGGGAGGCGTCCCTCCGTGGCGTCGCCGCTGCCGCCCGGCGTGAGGGTGGTGATGCGGCGGCCTTCCCCGTCCATGCCATGCGCCCGGTACTCCGCGACGCTCGGGTGCAAGCGGCCCGACAGTGACTCGCCGTCGGACGTCGTCGCCGAGTCCGTGCTCTCCTGCCGCATGGAACCCTTGTTCAGGCGCTTCTTTCTCCTGAACATGTTTGTCCAGCGAAACTCTGCAAGGGGGGGAAAGGGGTTGGAGGAGGCATTAGGAATGAAGTTTGTTGTTGGGGTTTTTATTTATTTTATACACTCACTGGAAGTTCCGACGTTATCTTTCAGAAACGATTGCCAATTCATCGCCTTCATCTTGGAAGATCAAAAGTGGGTGTGTTATGCAACGCAACTTGCACAAAGCACCGGTTGACAGGTGAAAAGTGTTAACCACTGCCTGACAGTTCCCATCAACTCGAAAACCCACAAAAGCATGGCAAAGTCGCTCCCAAGCCTGAAAGCTTCATTTTCAGCCAAGACATAGCTCTTGCCGTTATAACCGTAGCTCACCGTTCAGTTGGACTGACACAATGTGGAGAACACATTTCCCGTTCGTTAGATGTACATTTTCTAACAACACAAACATAGCTAGGGATGCAAAAGGTGTGACAATCATTAAATGTAACTTAACTGGGTGGGCAGCTATTGCAATTATCTAATTTCCATGGCTAAATGTAAAACTAGTTGCATACAGACAGTGCTGTTTTTTTGCCATGAGAAATGTAGTTACATTTTCCAATTTTTTCATTACAATCTTGTGAATGCTATCACGGTGATCATATTATGGATGAGAGCTGGTCCCTGTCACTGATATGTGGAATGTCCAACATTGTCTAAGGGCTTGCAAATGTAGATGAGCCTCTGCACCAAACCCATCTGAGAAGGAATGCAATTTAATTTGATGTGTAATTCTCATCATAAAGTCGTGACAATTACTCAGTCACGAGTGCACTAAGCACTTGAACCAACACATTTACCGGCTTTTCACATTTTTGCTTTATTATTACAATAACATTCTAACTTATCAATTGGTATGCAGTCATTAGACAAAAAAATACATTTGCAGATGTGCCTTCACATTTCATCTGCATTAGCAGAACACTTTTATTTCTATGTTAATCAAATAAAGAGTGAAATTCTCAGACTGAGCCGACTCAATTGAAATCCTAAATGTATCGTTCGTGTTATCGTCATCATTTAAAGAGACAAATCATACATTTAGAAATCTCACAGAACACCACCATGTGTTTGAAAATAGATCGAAATGTTTTTTTTTCTCACAGGACTTCTGAAAAATTATTAAATTGGCATCTTAATATTTTGCAGAACAGAGGGCACGCTTTCCAATGCACTCTGTAATGAGATTGTCGCACGAGTAAAACTGATATTTATACATTCTCAGAATTTCGATTTAAAGCTTTCGTGACTGCAAGGATTCATCTTCTTTGGTTCTTTCGGTAAAGTCACGTAGAATGAGAATAAAATAATAAAATAAAACAAGAAAATTCTCACGACGTTTTGGCCACAACACAAGTGGCCTTCTTCAGGCGAAGGAACAAAAAACTGTCTGGACGACAGAGCTCCAACATTGGAGCTCTGTTGTCCCGACAGTTTGGAGCTCTGTCGTCTCGACAGTTTTTTGTTCCTTCACCTGAAGAAGGCCGCTTGTGTTGTGGCCAAAACGTCGTGAGAATTTTATTGTTTTATTTTATTACTTTATTCTCATTCTACGTGACTTTACCGAAAGGACCAAAGAAGATTCTCAGAGTTGTAATTTAGCCAAATCAAGTGCGAAACCAAATTGAATACAATGTTTTTTTTTTTTTACAGTCATTGGTGACCAGACTGACACTGTCATCCCGCTACACTAGGGAACCCAGTTTAGCCACAGGTGGCGGCCCGGATTCTTAACTACACGGCCACCTCTACAGCACGCTGCTCTGCTCCACTCAGATTCAGTCGCTCCTCCCCGAGCAGCGCACGCACCGGCGTGCCCGTGGTCACGCTTGCTGGGTTCGTCGGTCCCGTCGATGGTGTCACGTGAGGAGCTGTCCAGAGCATCGTCGTCCGACGCGCTGCGCTCCAGCGAGATCATCGTGTTGCGCAGCTCAGACCTGCGTGACACACGTACATCTCCCCGGTTGGCTACGTGCGATGCGGAAGAGGTTCAATGCAACGCGCACGAAGGGCACGCGGTAAACTGAAGAGCCGGCGCACGTGCGTGGGCGGCACTTACTCATCGTACGCGCGGTAAATGAACGAGCACCAAAGTAAACGCAGGGAGACTCGAACCTTCAGCGGGCGATGTGCAATGGACTCATTCGAGGGGCAAAGGGCACTGCTGGTTCTGATCCAAACATTTGAAAATCTAACCACAAAAATATAAGGCAGCGTGAACAAACAAAAAATGTGGTGCTTCGTTTTGAAGTCGTGCTTAAGCACGACTGTCAACGGATATCCCTTAAATTCAAGGTAAACTGCTCCAGATCGGCCATCTGCGGTTTGCCCTCATCTCCCCTCTTCCCTCCAGAGCCAGGAGGGTGCACGTACAATCGCTCCTTGATGGTCTCCTTCTCTTGAGACAGCAGCTGCTCCTCCTCCTCCATGGTGGACTCGTCCAAATCGTTGGTCTCGCTTGCCTCCGTGGCACAGTCACTCTCGCCCTCCTCAGCGATCTTGTCGCCGACGCTTGTGCCGCCGGGCTGGGCCGTGCCGGTTGCGGCGTCCTTGAGCCCTGCGCCACGCATCCAGCTTTGCCGGTACCTCCCTTTGCCCTGCGAACGCGAAGCAGCGGGAGCCGTGTGTTTATTACTTATGTACCAAAACACATATATACCGCACTGTAGCGGGTTGTAAGAGGAGGCCAAAATACCCTCTTCGAGTGGGGCTCCACAAAACTCTCTCGAGCGGAGGCCATTCCGCTAACAAAGACACGAGCAAGCAATTTCAGCGCCGTACCCTTTAACCTCCATCGTTGCGAATTACACTAACTATAAAAGCAGGGGGAAGTCAACATAGTTTACCCAACATTGCAATTCAGCATGAAGAACGCTTCCAATTGTTATACACGACGAAGGGACAGCCGCCACTTGGTTCCGCTGCCCGAGGCGCTCACCATGGAGCGGCGGATGAGAGAGAGGCGCTGGTTGGCGCTGTTCTCCACGCTCTCGAGGGTGCTAATGTCAGCGAAGCGCGTCTTGAACTTCCTCATCTGCTCCTCCACCAGCAGCTCCACGCAGCTGCAGGCGTGCACACACGGACACAGGTGGCACGGCACACAGGTGTTCACGATCGCTCCGTACGTCTCTCTCCGTAAAGCGTTGTCAGGTTGTGCCCCAGCATTGCTCGCAGCTCGATGTTCCGACGTGTCACTCTGGGTGCTGGCAGATGCTTCAGTAACACAAATTATCTTGGCGATACTGCGCAGGCAGTGTTGCGGAAGCGCAAAGGACAAACAAATTTCAACACATTCGTCAATAACGCTGTCTTAAAAGTACACGAGATGTGACGTTTCGGGCAATGGCCCTTCTTCACAGCACGTAGGGAGGCGAGAGAGGTGAAGTGATTAAGAGTTGGAGACCGCATTTTAACTCTTACCCACTCTACCTCTCTGGAGAGAGCACTCCCACATGTTGAGTAAGAAACACGCTGTGTAGTGAGTTAATTTAAATATAAATAAGACCAGCAGATCAAATTGTGTTGCTGGCCAATGGAATTCAGAGTTTGACGATCAGGTTAATTGAACTGTACAATAGGTGGCAGACCCAAACTGAATTCAACTACACTGTACACTTTTAGCCATGGTATTCATGCCTATCATTGAAGGTTAATAATCCAAACGATAATTTGTGTTAATGAGCACGTTAGCAGCCAGACGTAGTACGCGGTGCTGATTTCATGTTTTCTTGCACAGTCAGCGCACTCCATGTCAATAAAAGAGCCACTGGCAGTTTTCAATATATCCATGTAAATTCAATAAGCATTTTCATAAATACAGAAACACTAAAGTAAACCAGTCCAAGTGATTCTCTGACACTACCCATAAACCATTGAACACATGTACAGGAAAAAAAAGCTACAAAAACAAACTGTTTCTAGAGCTCTGGCTTTCCTTTAAAGCTCTGCTATGAATGGCCTCTGGGGACGTCCACCACAGCTCTCGTCCAGTGCATACTGCACCACGAGGAGTTTAAGTGGCATCCGCCTCCAACAGCGCTCCCCAGCGCCCTCGTCTCTAAACACGTAAATCCCGCAGCCACCCCTCGCACCGTGGCACACCAGAGCGTGGGTGTGCCGCAGCCTTACTGGGTGGTCTGGCCAATGTCCCTCATGCTCTGCAGGGGGTCCGTCGTGTCGGGCGGCCGCAGAATGCATGGCGCGAAGACGATGGCCAAGGCGTTGCACGACATCCGGTTTGTATCCTCGTACTGGGCGATCCTACAGGGCGGACACGCACGCACACACACTCACAGCTTGGTTTGGACACGAACCTCAACTTTCCGCAACGCCAGGAACACATTTTCTTTGCGGCTTAAAAACGCCTTTGCTGTCTGGCCAGGTGGCACTTTGGGCAGGGCACAGTAATCATCTCACAGTCAAAACTGAGCGAGTTCAAATCCCGGTTGAAGGTCAGCCCAGCCCACTGGGGTTATTAAGATAAGCATTATCTTCAACAGTGACTGGCTCCCGTTATCGCAAAGTGTAATTTACACCAAATTATCACAAGCCCCAAATGGAGATGAGTGCCACCCAACCGCTTGTTTGGGCAGGGAGATGCTTTGGCTTGCTGCTATTCCCCCTAAAGAGAGGGTGTAGTACGGACGGAGCAGGAAAGGACAGAATGACTGTGGAGCACCTGACGAGGTGGAAGATGATCCTCTCGAGAGTGCTGTAGTTGACGCTTGGCAATTGTCCAATTATGGAGTAAACCGCTTTGATTTTCTCCTTCTTCTCTGGCACGCCTGTGGAAGCAACAACACAGCAGTCAGCAAGGGCCTCGACTGCATGGAAAGAAACCCTCACATCACACGGTCAATTCGTATACAAACTGTAACAGACTTAACACGTGGAAGCCAAAGATGCAACTTGTACATCCACGGAAGGGGTTAACATTATCACGTACCGACGGCACGGAGGAATTCATCGTAGAGGTCAAGGGTCATGAGAGGCACGGGCAACTCCCGCAGCCACTGCTTGAGCACACTGCCGATGACGTGCACCTGATAGTCATCCAGGTTCACGCTGTTCACGTCTGGACACGGCCAAGACACACGGGGTTAAACCACAGTCAGCGCGTTTACGTGTGTACTGCACAGTATCATCAAGTGCGCGGTACGCATCCAATTCATTATGCTCTAATTAATGTGATACAAGGCCATTGAGGTGTGACACTGAATTAATTTTGCTAAGGAGACCTTGCATAACTGTAGCTATATTGGAAGCTACTTTTTGGTTAATACCACAGGGAACTATTGATATATTTGGTCAGGGATCAAAACTATATAACTGCATAAATATGCAAATATAGTTTAGAGCAAATAGAAGCTCACGACCTTCAGTTGCAACATGTGGACATTTATAAATTATGAGCTTCTATAGTGAAATAATGATCACAAAACTAGCCACCAATCCCAGCAGGCCCCCAAGGAAAGAGAATGGAGGCTGGAAGGTAAGCATGGTGTGATTCACTCCACTAACAATTCAGGGTCGTGATTAATTCCAGAATTGATTCTTCACATCTTTTATTTTGTCTTATATATATATTGTTTCTATTTTGTTCAGTCTCATATATACAGTGAGGGAAAAAAAGTATTTGATCCCCTGCTGATTTTGTACGTTTGCCCACTGAAAAAGAAATGATCAGTCTATAATTTTAATTGTAGGTTTATTTGAACAGTGAGAGACAGAATAACAACAAAAACATCCAGAAAAACGCATGCCAAAAATGTTATAAATTGATTTGCATTTTAATGAGGGAAATAAGTATTTGACTCCCTCTCAATCAGAGAGATTTCTGGCTCCCAGGTGTCTTTTATACAGGTAACGAGCTGAGATTAGGAGCACACTCTTAAAGGGAGTGCTCCTAATCTCAGTTTGTGTCCTGTATAAAAGACACCTGTCCACAGAAGCAATCAATCAATCAGATTCCAAACTCTCTACCACAGCCAAGACCAAAGAGCTCTGCAAGGATGTAAGGGACAAGATTGTAGACCTACACAAGGCTGGAATGGGCTACAAGACCATTGCCAAGCAGCTTGGTGAGAAGGTGACAACAGTTGGTGCGATTATTCGCAAATGGAAGAAACACAAAAGAACTGTCAATCTCCCTCGGCCTGGGGCTCCATGCAAGATCTCACCTCGTGGAGTTGCAATGATTATGAGAACGGTGAGGAATCAGCGCAGAACTACACGGGAGGATCTTATCAATGATCTCAAGACAGCTGGGACCATAGTCACCAAGAAAACAATTGGTAACACACTACGCCGTGAAGGACTGAAATCCTGCAGCGCCCGCAAGGTCCTCCTGCTCAAGAAAGCACATATACATGCCCGTCTGAAGTTTGCCAATGAACATCTGAATGATTCAGAGGACAACTGGGTGAAAGTGTTGTGGTCAGATGAGACCAAAATGGAGCTCTTTGGCATCAACTCAACTCGCCGTGTTTGGAGGAGGAGGAATGCTGCCTATGACCCCAAGAACACCATCCCCACCGTCAAACATGGAGGTGGAAACATGCTTTGGGGGTGTTTTTCTGCTAAGGGGACAGGACAACTTCACCGCATCAAAGGGACGATGGACGGGGCCATGTACCGTCAAATCTTGGGTGAGAACCTCCTTCCCTCAGCCAGGGCATTGAAAATGGGTCATGGATGGGTATTCCAGCATGACAATGACCCAAAACACACGGCCAAGGCAACAAAGGAGTGGCTCAAAAAGAAGCACATTAAGGTCCTGGAGTGGCCTAGCCAGTCTCCAGACCTTAATCCCATAGAAAATCTGTGGAGGGAGCTGAAGGTTCGAGTTGCCAAACGTCAGCCTCGAAACCTTAATGACTTGGAGAAGATCTGCAAAGAGGAGTGGGACAAAATCCCTCCTGAGATGTGTGCAAACCTGGTGCCCAACTACAAGAAACATCTGACCTCTGTGATTGCCAACAAGGGTTGTGCCACCAAGTACTAAGTCATGCTTTGCAGAGGGGTCAAATACTTATTTCCCTCATTAAAATGCAAATCAATTTATAACATTTTTGACATGCGTTTTTCTGGATGTTTTTGTTGTTATTCTGTCTCTCACTGTTCAAATAAACCTACCATTAAAATTATAGAATGATCATTTCTTTGTCAGTGGGCAAACGTACAAAATCAGCAGGGGATCAAATACTTTTTTCCCTCACTGTATATACAGTATGTTGAATTTCTTTCACGCACTGTATGTCGCCAACCTAGCTAATCAGAGGTGCGGGGAAAGACAACAAACTAAACACAAAAAATAGTTCTAAAGAAATGAGTTTTCAATCTAGATTTTAAAGTGCATAGCTCCAGTGGCTTCCTAATATTGGAAGGAAGAGCATTACAGACGGCCACAGAAGTGAATCTGAAAGCACACAATACAGTGACCGTCTTTGTTCGATAAGACTATTGGTAGTTACTATATTAATACGAATAAGCTTAACAAAACGAGAATGTCTTCAAAATCAATTTTTTTTTTTAAGTGGGTTGCTGCAAGTTTCCCAAGTCACACTTGACCACATTTAGGATTTTCACAATTCAGTGCAAATATCTGAACCCTTCAACAGCCGAGTGAAAGTTAACGATTGAGGATCCTAACATCTACAGGCGTATGCACGGCTCCCTCGTTCAATTAACGACTCTGTGAAAATGTGGTATTTAGGATTTTATAATGACAGACAATAGGATTTTTTTGCAAAACAAATCATGTTCACTTCCCAAAAGATACTGTGCTTGGGAAATACACATGTCTGAAACTATGGACTTGATGTGAATTGCACACGAGTGAGTAAATTATACATTTGGATATTCAGTTTGATATCTTATCAGGCACAATTGAATCTTGAGCATTCACCTAATATTAGTTATCATATCAGATGTCTTTATAACATTTCGTAAAGCTGCAACAGTCACGATTCCAGAATTTGTTTAAAGTGTGGCTGTGTTTTGTTTACACAAATGAGACTCCAACTGGAACAATCAGATGAACCACTCATTTCTTGTTTTGCTTTTCAGTTCTGGGTCATTTAATGTTATTTTCACAAAATGTATGCCATGTACCGAATTGCTGTTATCACAGCCACAACAAATATTTGTTTTATCAAGCACTGAGATGAAGCACATTTAATTGCCAAAAGGAATCCTCCAAGGCACACTGCGTTTAACCCGTCGCTTGGTGCGCGGACAATGTCTTGATATAATAAACAGTCCCTATTCGACTGCCACAACCTAGCACACTTGGCCGTGGTTATTCTTCTTCTTCTTCATTGCAATGATTAAGAAGGATGTGGCCATTAGATCTTATACTGCAACAACGTGAAGGTTATGTAAATAATGAAACCGTTTGCAAGTAAAAGGCACTCGTATGCCAACCATGAAATAAGTGACTTGAACTTATCAATTTGCTATAATAGCCCATATATATTATTTATTTTGCATTCCTTTCTCCTCCGAATTATAGATCTTGTACCGAGGCACATGGCAACCAATTTTCTATGAAACCACTGTGGGAAATCAACGAACACTGTGGAATATCCCATCAACAATATCACAAGCCTTCACCTGGTATCTGTCACAGGTCTATCTCACAAAACCGCTGGATTGTGCTCATCTCAATCAAGTGGCTGAGATTGCTCTTACCCTGCCTGATGAATATAAGCAGTCACAGCCGAGTTCATTTCATGTAAATGAATGCAATTGGGCAGTTACCATTGTCAAGTTGCTGACGCAGCTCCTTGACCTTGGTGTTGGCGCCTGACTTGCGGTAGATGCCCTCTGTGTAAAGGCCGTGGATTTCGATGTAGTTGAGCAGCTTCTCCAGCAGGAAAGGCACGCTCCGATCAGGGCCGGTCAACCGGAACAGGTCAACGGCAAACTGCTTTCCTACCATGTCCCCACCGGCCTGCAAATGGTAACGCACGTGGCGTCAGATAAAGCAGCATTTCTTATACTTCATTGTTTCTTTTAACCAGGTAAGGCCCACTGAGCTATTTTTCATAAGTGACCTGGCTTCAAATGATAGGTCAACAAAATGGCTTTTCACGTGGAAATGTATAGCGGCCAAATACTCTAAAATGTATGTTTCTAAATGTGAAGGGGAAAAACCGGAGGACCCGGAGAAAAATCCACGCGATCACGGGAAAAACACACAAACTCCAAACATACAGCAGGCTTAGTCAGGATCGGGATCGAACCCACATCCTCCTGTATACCAGGCCACTGGCGCCCCTTACATCCACATGCCTTTGCACATTGTCGGCATCATCTTCATCACCAGCAAATGTTTATCCACTGCTGGACGACGGCTTCTCCATGCCATTGCCATCCCTCATCGTCCTGGGATGCCACAATTCATCTCAATCCTGGACATGAACTGATCTCATCATCATCATCATCGTACACTCGGGCTTGTACGTGTCCTCATTTAACATCTTAATTGTGGTGATTTTTGTCAGCAAATGAAGTGCTTTTTTTGTACAAATCCCACCTTTGAAATGTTTTTCTTAAATACAGATGAGCTCTTTGCAGATCAAATATATTCGTAAAACACACCTTTTTGTTTGTGTTGTAATATCCAGTACACCTCCTGGTTGTTGATGAGTAGCATTTCTTGTGGCACGCAAACTTGCAAGCTGAAAAAAACAAACGGAACACAACAGAATAATATTTAAATCTATGTAATGCAATCTCTCCGCCTGATGACGATCGCTTGTGTTGCGATCGAAACGCCGGAAGTTTTTCTAAATGTTTTACATTTATTATTTTATTATTTTCTATCTACTTTACCGAAAGAACCAAAGAAAATGTATAGGTGTTTGCTGTTGATGGGAAAATGGAACATGATACAAAATATCCCCAATCATCTACATTGGCAAATAATGAAGTGGGCTAGAGTTTGGCAATGACCATGACAAGAAAACACTTCTGGCAAATTGCCTGATGATGCTGGATGTAATTACCAGCGAAACGTCGTATTCAAACTGTAAATGTTGTGGATTCACTCTTCAACACACCGGTGGGCTAAAGTAGTGAACTAATTGTCTTTTGTCAACGTGACACTTTATTTTGCTGATTGGCCGTGTCGGGTGGTGGAGGGTTACGACACATTTATAAATAACGCGATCTAACCCAAAAACCTTTATTATGAAGAAAACACTGCAGTCAATAAAAGCAGCACAAATGCGAATAGTTCCCTGTGTAATACTGGAGGCCTACCCAAGGACACAGGATTGCCAACACCGATTAGCACTGTTGGCTACGGACGGTGCGAAAGAAGTTCGACAGACATACGTACAACTTGTACAGCTCGGTTGACAAACAACCTGGCCCCTTTCTCCCGCTTGTGTCCATTCTCACAGCTCATGTTACAAAACGTAACTCAATCGACATCTCTCCCTGAGTCTTTACAGCCCAATTCCGAGAGCTAAACTGCTCTTTCGATCCCAATGTGTGCAAGACCTCATCATCCAAAACAAATGCAATGATAATCCGACATGATTAAATCCACTAGTCAGAAACCCCTGGCTCCCGCCAAGCCACATCCTCTGCCTTTTCCCCTCCAGCTCCCTTCACTTTTCCACTCAACACCATCCCACCAACCCCTCACTCACCCCCCCCTGGCTCCTCCTAAACAGCCCACACTCTGCTATGGTAGTGGCCACGAGGTTGAGGCACACAGCAGCCGTTTATATTATTCAGAGCAGGCAAAGTCAGCTTATACATTTCCCAGACCATCCAGTATCTGTACATTGTTTCTTGAGTCTGATTTCTCTGCATATTCTAAAAAAAACATACACATGGTGGCTGGACTAACAGCTCTACGTTGTTGTAACATAGACCACCCTTCCCAGTCTCTATACACATGCACATTAACACATAAATAAATGCAATTCTATTTCATGAAGGTCACTTCATGTTTTTATGTACTCGTATACATAGATGCAGAGGTAAGGAAAAATAAATTTAGGCCACAGTATTAACTAAAAATGGGTTTGGTTTATGTGTCAGCCTGATTTTCTATGGAAAAAAACAATCAAATTGGTATTCTTGTTTCTTTCGGTAAAGTCACATAGAAGGGAAACAATAAAATAATAAAAATATAAAACAATAAAATTATCACGACGTTTCGACTGCAACACAAGGAATCATTATCAGGTGTGAAAACCACATCATCAGGTGTGAAAAAAACCGCCACTTTTTTCAAACTTCTTGCTGTTTTTTTACACCTGATGATGATTGCTTGTGTTGCAGTCGAAACGTCGTGATAATTTTATTGTTTTATATTTTTATTATTCTATTGGTTCCCTTCTGTGTGACTTTACCGAAAGAACCAAGAATATGAATCCCTGCAGTCACGAAAGCTTTAAATCAAAAATCAAATTGGTATTAAAAATCAGAGTAATTCAGTAGGCAAATATAAACCACAACTGCCTTTGAGCCAGCATTAGGCACGAAGGCCCTTGGTGGTCTCATTAAATTAGTTCATCAGAAACAAAGAGACACCGGCATTCCTCAGCAGAATTCTACATACGCGAGTCAAGGTCAAATGATCGCAACGTTCAAAGGAGCATTGGGCGGCATTTGTCTCTGTTTGGCAGCTTCCAGCTAGTGGAGAGAATTCCAGATTACCAACGCGGAAGGGCCACTCTGTTCAGAGGATAACTGCTCACTTCTAACAAAATGGTACTCATTTTGTCCCCCTCAAAGGGGCTGTAACAACCCCCACCAAGCAACTGAACAAACAAACTCCTGATTTTGAGTTCAGTGCTCTGGTGCAGGGCCACGCAGGCTAACCTGAGTAAATTAGACAACATTTCTGCCACAGATTTCTACCAATATGTATCGACTGGCAGAAGAAACCTCCATCGTGGTGAATCTCGGTGTATTGGAACAATAACAATACAAGAGACAAAGCAACTATACAATCCCCATGGGAAATACGATTTAGACACAATTGATACAATTATAATCATTAAGTCAGCCAACAGAATGTTAATGTTTTACAGTTCAGAAGTCTTCCAATGATAACCAGACATGAGGAATGAAAGTACATTATCAAGTGAGAAAATGCTTATATTGGCCATCTGACTTGTTTCAACATATGTACTGAAACATGCCAGATGATTCCAATGGTGTACACAAAATCCTGAAATCAGAAATAAGCCTACCCACCACTCTCCCAGCTGTCCTTCCTCAGCTTCTCTCCAAAGCCTCATCTTCCTCCTCCTGCCCGTTTATCCGATCCCTCCCTCTCTCCCTCCCTCCCAGTGCATCTCTCTCACTCACCCTCCCAGACACACTGGAGGTCATGAGCTCCATAATTCACCGTTTCAACATTTTAGTGTCTCATGTAAACTAACAGCTGTTCAAATACAAAGGGGAATACACTATCAACAATGATTTATGTTTTCCTCCCTTTGTAACATATTAAGGTCAATATGACCGTAAGGCCTACATGACCTTAACGTCTACGATCTTAAAATATTGTCAAGAATCTCGAAATGGCTTCTTCTTGAATTAACTACCTCCACAGAGCTTCATTGTGGGATTACAATGCTATTAAATTGCAATGACTAGAAACAAGAGTTCTACCTTGCAAAGAAACGTCATGCCCTAACATTATTCTCGCATAAAGTCCACAACTATTGTACCGAGTTGGTGGGTTCCCATACACTCGTTGGCCTTGCTGTGGGGCTGGAGAGGCACACTGTACCGCAGTGTTGTTACAAACTTGGCTGGATTGAAGGCACCCACCTCGGCAGACGTATCCACGATCCATGATCCAAATGCGAGTAGCGCACGCCTCGCAGAACGATGGGATGTTGAACTGCACCGTACGGAATTGATGGCCGTTATGCTCCACCACCTGGTCCAATGGGCAGCACAAGTGCAGGCATGGATGGGTAAGCTACGGCCACCGCCACAAGGAGAGCCGAAATCCACAAACTAAAATACAAACTCCATCTGAAGCCTGACTGGTTGCCTTCAATGAGACATCTCTCACACCACAGCATGGGACATTAGAGACAGCCATGTTCCATCTGTGTTTGCTGTCATGAAAACGCAGTGTTGTTGTAATAGCATTTCAGGTCTGGGACAATTTATGATGAGCGAATTTAAAGCTACTTGCATAAGCAACATCGAGAGTCAACATGTGCCTCCATATTCAACAGAGCATCAGGTGGTGCTCCTCTAGATATATTTCAAAATTACAAAATCAATGAGGGAAATTCTGTATTCATATGGCAGGGACCAGTATACATCCAAAGGTTAAAACCACCGCTGGGTTCGTTAAAAAAGTTGTACTTTATTGACCCAGGAGGGATGATCAGGCTGCGTCAACACAAAACTGGGATTTGAGCCATCAGCCTTCTGACTGCGAATCTTGGTCTGCTGCCACAGCACCACCTGGCCAAATGAACGTTCGCTTTTACCCAAGGATCCCCCTCCTCCTCCCAAAGTAGTTTTGACACTTGTGTGGAACAGATGGTCTCTACTCACATGACATCGCCACAGGCACTGATAGCCTCAAGAGGTATTAAAGAATATACAACACCCTAACCATGAGGCCGATTATCATCAGCAAAGGTCATTATCTCGCAGGTATTTACCAAAATGAAGGCCCCACACCACCCTTTGTAACACTGAACACTTACGCCGTCAGATTCTTTCTTCCTTTTCTTTTTCCTTTCGTTCTTGGGAGCCTGAATGAGAAACCCAACACACGGTAACGATTTAATTACTCCACTCGCCACATGCGCAATGAACACTGGGGGAGGGGGGGCGAATATACATACCCACAATACACATAACAAATACACACTTTTATAAACTAATTTCAAAAGTGAATTATTTACAATGCAAAAACAATGCGGTTTTGTATCCAAAACCACGTTTACGGATACAAAAATACGATGTTAATTATTAAAAATGAATTTAACTGTAAATATTTTTTTAAAAGCCGAATTAACATACCATCGTAACTGCATTGTACACAATTTTTTTTATGAAATTGTACATATAATGTAAAATGGGAAATAAAAGTCGACATTACAAATCATTTTTATAAACAACTGTACAACATCACATCATCTCGATTGCATTAAACATCATCACCAAAACTACCAATGAGAAGTTATTTTTTTAAATTTGCAATGACAAGTCATTACCATCTTGTCCATGACAAACGGCATACAAAATACGTCTGCTCTTGCAAGTATTACAACAAGATAATTTAATAAAAAATATATCAAACATCTTCATTTAATGAAATTTAATTAAGAGTCAGGCTAGTTGGCTGACAGTGACTACACTATGCGGGTCTAAAATAAGAAGATAAGAGATTTAATAATTTTTAAAAAATCTAAAGGGTTTGGAAATTAATCCGCAATGTTTTACGTGTGGAGTCACAAACGGCAGAACAATGGCAGAGAGTATCGGCTGTTACCTTGATGACATTGGAGTCGTCCAGGGCCTGGCACTTGCCCATGAACTGCACCATGAACCCACTGAATAGGTTGATGCACACGTTGTTGATCTGCATTTTGTCCGTGACGTACGGCCTTTGCCGCACCGTCTTGTCCAGAACTTGCTCAAAGTTGCTGATGAGGTCTTTGTGGCGCATGCAGATATCTTCATTGTACTGTGTGAAGAGGGAGAAGAGTAAGCCCATTAAGTGATGCCTTTTACAGCTCGGCAAAACCATCAATAACTGCATCAACTCGTCAAAGTCCTCATTTCAGCAGGGAGACACTCAACGTGCCACCATTTCTTATCGCAACAGCAGAATCAGTTTCATGAGTAAAAATTATTTTTATTTTGTTAAATTACTCTTTGGTTCTTTTGGTAAAGTCACGTAGCAAGAAAATAAATTAAATAATAGAATACGACGTTTCGATTGCAACACAAGCAACCGTTATCAGGTAGAACTAAATTTGAGAGAGAGACAAAACACAGAGACACACAGACAGACACACAAGCAGAGAGAGACAACACAGAGACACACAGAGAGAGACATACAACATAGACACACAGAGACTTTACCGAAAGAACCAAAGAGTAATTCCTGCAGTCACGAAAGCTTCAAATCAAGTTTGTTAAATTAGTTTCCAAATGCAAGATTCTGGCTGAGACACTGACACGCAGTGACTTGCTTTTAAGAAATACATCACTGCGTCTTTAAATATCACTTTCAAGGAGGTAAAATGACATGACAGCAATGGGAATCAAACTAACTCACTGGCAAGCAGACTTATCATGAGGCAGTTCAGTTTCGGGAATACTTGAGCTCAATAATGTCTGTATGCAGTTGTTATCAAAACTAATTATGTTAGAACCTGCACAGCTACAACTGTCAATTCAAGGTATACATCAATAATATGTATAAACAAGTACCTGCATGTTATTACGCAATGACACTCAAATGTAGGTAATAATAAAATTTGCACATTTTTATCAAACATATTTTAAGTGAAAATAAATGTAAAAATTTGATGCTTTGATATTATCATATATTAATAAATAAAGTACACGTTTGGCTAAAATCACACACAAGATGTTTAGAAGATGAATGTTATAATTTATGAAAACCACAATGTTTTAATTTCAGTAGATGTGCAATGCTTATCAATGCATACCACAAGTTTAAAGTTGAACAAAATTCTGATTTAAGAATTACACGCGACTGATAAATGCACGTTTATGGGTGGTCCTTCACTAAATATTGCTTTGTTACATTTTAAACAAAAATGAGCAAAACAAACCTGGCACGAATGCCGCATCAAGCGAGAAACATCTAGTTATTATTCAGAGAGAGACGAGACGATCCTTAAAGCATAGTTGCACAGTTACATTAACAATTACAAAATTACACCTGCCAACATAACCATCGACCATGTAGGCCAAGGGTAAGGTAATGCCGAGCTCTAAAGAGAACCACAGATTATGTTTTGCTATCATCCATCCTTCCAGTCTAAGAGGCAGCAGCGCCCTTCTCTGGTTACTGGGTATCCTGGTCCCAGTGGGTTGAGGATATGACGGTCCTAGTGCAGCCCCCATGCTCATTACCATGGTGATAATTGCTGCTGTCTGAGCTACAACAAAATGGGCTGAGGCGTGGTGGTGCTTGCGCCGTCCTCTGATGCAATACTTACAAAGGTCACCCGCGTGTTGGTCTGTTCAAGATTCTTACGGAACTCCTTCAAAGCCTCCTTGAAAATTCCATCGATGTTTTTGCCATCATCAGGTAGGAGATCATTAATCTGTCGATTTGACATCGTTGACAGGTGATGAAGACAACACAATGCAAGGTCATACACATTCTCACCTGCATTGAGAATTGAGAATGACCGACAGTGTTCAGTAGTCAGAACAATGTTTGGAAAAACAATGAATGTTCTTAAGTAAAGTAACCCAGGTGGTAGTGGATGTTAATCACTGCAACAGTATTTTCTAATCAAACACAGCACTCATTCTTCACTTTTCATACAGAGCTATTTAAGTGACTCGTCACCGAGAAAGTTATCATCCTAACATAAATATGACCATTATATCATGCAAATATTGGATTAAGGAACAAAGTGAATACAATTCTCATTAGTGAAACAAAGGTCTATAAACACAACATTAGACCAAACATTGTTTAATTTATTGTGGTGTGGTGCTTAACATTGCAGTCTCCCGGTTGCCTGCTGATTATTGGCATAAATACACCTATAGTTTTTAGATAATGCTGTGGACTTTCTGACTGGTGAACCAGATGAAGCCTTGTACAAGCACCCGTTCGAAGGGACAGGTTTTACTGGGGGAACTGTCATGGATGGCAACATTTTCGTTGCGGAAGATGCTGCCTGGGTTCAAGCACTCTCTCCTCTGTACCGACGAAAGCTATCAAAGTGGCAAATGCACTGATACTCTTCAGCCCTTTGTCAGCCCACTGATGAGTGTTGTTTAAAGATACTTTGCCACGCTGCTCAGTCAGGATGGAGTTAGTGAAAGCAACTTGGGTTACCGGGTTCATGGCGCAGTGCACCAAGCACTGCGTGGCACTGCTTCTGCCCTTTCGTGTTTACCCTCAGGCTATCCAGCCTTCCTTCTGCTGCCACTCGTACGGCTTCAGATATCAGGACGCAAAGCAGATAGATTTGCATCTGGAAGCATGTTTCCATGCCATTGTGTTTTGTCAGTCAGGACTTTTCTTGGAGGATGTGTATGTTTTGGAAAGCAGGTTTTGTGTGTGGTCTAGCAAAAGCCTCATAACTGGCAGTTTCTGGTCACAAGATGAGACTTCTCAGAGCTGCTAAATTACCTAATGTAAGTTCTCCCCAACAGCTACACGATGCTGTGTTTGCAGCTAATTGTCAAGTCTGCTGCAGCCATCTGATGTTCACATTATCTTGATGCTTTCGCCTTACATGCTGTGCAGCAGGAAAACACAATTTTGGATACAAAAGCAGCAGGTGGTGTTCAGGGCCTGATGTGTAGGTAGTTTACAGGGTGGGGAGGGAGGGTACAGGCAAGATGTATATACCATGCTGTGATTCAGTGCAAACAAAAGTGGAAAAGTGATCTCTACCTTTTGATTTAAAGCTTTCGTGACTGCAGTAATTCATATTCTTAAGAATATGATCTCTACCTGTTCCACCTTAATATAAGAGAGGGCAATATGCAAATCCGGCAGATTTTTACTTTGTGTAAAACTGTCAGCTAAAGCTTTGATTTTCCCTGTAACTTTTCACCTAAACTGAAATTTTACTTTATAATCTCCACCTTCAGTGCCGTGATGGAAAGATGTTATGTCCCTCGCCTGGTATGCAGGAAGTCGTGGGTTCGATCCCGACCCTAATGTATATTTGGAGTTTGCATGTCTCTTGTCCCCATGGTCGCATGGATTTTTATACGGGTCCTCCGGTTTCCCCCCCCACATTTCGAAACATGCGCTTAGCTTATATGACTACGACTATAAATTCCTGCATGTGACAAGCCACTTCGATGAGCTATCACGTGAGGCCAGGTTGCCTCTGAAAAATACCTAACAGCTCAGTGGGGCTTTACCTTTTAACGTAAGACTTTGACTTAAGTGATGCCTTGGCCTCAATGAAACCTCTGAAAGATTGAAACTTTACCAGTGGGAATTGCATTAGTACCTTGCCCTGGAGGAAACCGATCATCTGCCTGAGGTTGTCGTGCGACGAGATGACCTGTGCGTCCGAGTGTTTGCTCTGCGCCGATGAGCTGAGGAGGTTGCTGATCTTGAGGCTTTTCCTCCGTTGCACCTTCGGCTGCACAGGAGCAGCGGGGGAAGGAGGCTGCGGCGGCCTCGGCTCCGCGGTGGGTTTTGTTAAATCCTCCAGCTTGGCACCACCGTGCTCGTGCCATTCTGACATAAAAAAAAGACGGAACACATGGGCGCGCACACCCCTTTCATTGTTATTGCTACTCAGCTTGTTTACCCAGAAGGGCCTCACTGAGTCACACGACTCGTTTTCACACTAGGGGGCGATGATTGCAATGTACAGCAATACCCCAAATTAACATCTCCCCCTGGTACATCGTTTCACAGTTACGTCGTCACTTTATTAATACCACGACCTGATATCGTGGTCGCCTCAACCCCATGCTTACATCGCTGACAGCATCATCCATCCTTTCTCGTATCCGTCGCCTCAGCCTTCGCCTCCAACCTACCTTGTACACGAACTACTTCGCCATGCACATGATGAAATGTACTGTATTGTAGAGTAGAATAGACTATTTACGTACAGTATGTTGGTGATTTGGAAAAATTGCTTTGATTTACGTCGTTGCCAAAAGCGTCGTCGCACTTTTCAGGAACACATCCCCAGCGTAAACCGGGGTATTATTGTACTACTGTACATTCAATGCAATTCAGGCATTACATCTTCACCACTGGTTCTGCGAGGTACCTATAAGCCCAAGTAAATTGAAAGCGTTTGAAAATCTTCGAAAGTGAGAATTTCGTAAATAGGTTTTACTCATCCATTGCTAGATTTACTTTTAACCTTCATCAGTGGACGGGTGCTTTAATGACTACGATAGAAAAGTAACTGAAAGAGGCTGCAATTGGTATCAGTCTTTAGAACAGACTCGAGAAGAGTTACTGTAATCTACAATTGAGACTGAGGCCTACTCCACATTTTTAAACCTGCAACTATTTTTACGTCGTTCAAAACTGTGAAATTAAGAAAAACACAAAACATATTATTTAAAGCTAGGGACGGTTGTTTAGCATTGAGCAAGAGTTGAATATTCCTCGTTTGCATGCCAGGGGAAGGCAATTACACTGTTGTCTTTATGTAAAGTGGTACTCGTGTTATCGACATCTGAGGGATGGTAGGGTTGAGTCGACCTCTTACTGGAAATTAAATTTGTCGCACCTTTCGAATGTAATCCACACTTCAAGCACTGCACTACTTCGCCATATCTGCTGCTGACTGGAAGAATTTAATGACCTCACAGATGAGATATATGGCCACAATGTGTTAAGAAAACTATGAGTTTGTGTTGGTAAAAATATTTTTTTGCAGGAATTCAAACACATCGTTTGTATTGGAATACATTATTTTGAACCTGTATGATGTTTGGAAGCTGACATTGTGACCCAGGCCTCTCTTACAAATGGAATAGGCCTCAAATGAGCTCTCACAGAATTTTTAATAAAAGCTGCTGTTAATTTACATCATTTAATCGAGCTAAATCATGGCGAATATATATGCTCAAAAAACAGCTGTGCCCTGGTGTGAAGTCACCGCCAGTGCTAGTGCTTAGGCCGGTGGGCACTACCTTGTCTGCTGCCCATGGTGGATTCCATGGAGTGGAATTCCCGTGACTGGACGCCTCGCCTTGACGCCTCCTCCTGCTCCGTTGTTTGCAAAAGGCTTTCTTTAGATCCCTTCTTCTCCACTTTCATCTTCTGCCCAAATCCCCACCGCTTGGTTCGCACTGGGCTCACTCTGCATAAGTGAAAGCAACAGTTATCAAACAAAACAATGCCCATTGCTGAAATAAACGGTGACTATAACACTACTGACGAAGTTTGTAAATAATCAGCACTTAAGTGTCCACTGTCTGTGATCAATTAGACACAGAAGGCCACGTAATAACCATTTCAACAGCACACCACAGTGTACGCAGCTGTTTTGGTAAAAATCTCACATTTTAAATTACCTTAACTAAACGAGAAATGCCAGAGTAAATTGTGATGCTCACTTATCTAGATAAACTGTGTTTTGGCTGAATGTCTTGCAAAGAATGACTGAATTACTTTACCAATATACACGTTATTGTTTTACTTATATTAACTAGGGTCAAGTGATTCTACAGCTAGACAACGTTTTGGCCTTCTCTTTTAGTTTTTTACATGATTCCTTCTATGTATGTTGAACTACTTTTGCGCCGTACGTAGCCGACCACGCTAATCGGAGGTGTGGGGGAAGGACAACAAACTAAACACAAACGCTGTTTAAAAAAAAATGAGATTTCAATCTATATTTAAAAGTGCATAGCTTCAGTGGTTTCCTAATATCGGAAGTAAAGGCATTCCAGACGGCTGCAGAAGCACGTCAGAAAGCGTGCGACGCGGTGACCGTCTTTGTTCGATGGCTGCTGTGAGGATGACTGGAGCTCGTGTGATGGTTTATATTCCTTGAAGAGATCAGCAATAGGGGGGGAATGGGTTTGAGTTTGAAGTAAGACATGCAACAAGAAGATTGCTATTTGAAAGACTATCATAACTCTTAATTGGTAACCCCGTATCAGAATCTGTGTATTAGAAGAACAAACAGAAATTAGTCCAGTAATTAATACTTAATAACTAAATGTATTATAGAAAAACGCTTGTATTGTCACAAGAACTACTAGACCTGTGAGTACAGATGGATAAAACATTTTTAAAATAATCTGACTGTCTAAAATTAAACTAGCAATAATCAACCTGCGAACACATTTAAGCAACGCGACATTATTGGTGAGAAAATTTACACATTTATAGTGAAAAGGTATTTAAATTATTTAAACAAGTACGTTTGCATTTGAACGCAGCGAATTACCATAATAATCTGGAATGGAGAGGTAGGTGGGAAGCTGGTAACATGAAGCGTATTAATTCAGCACTTTAGAGATTCTGAATTCAAACCCAAGACTCTGCATTCATGCTCAAAGCCTTCACATATTGCGCTTTGGCATTTAATTCAGCCAAGCCACGGCACAAGGCGCTTACTCGGCAGTTACAGGCCAAGGTACCTACTCGTCTACACAGCTAACAGGAGTGTAGTCCAACAGTGGAGGACGATTATGCAAATGTTTTTGTGATCAATTCCAGGTTTTGTTTGAATACGCATAGCTCTGCTGCTATGGAACATTCTGTACCGTATCCTCTGCTTTATTATACACTTCGTTTCCTTGTTCTTTAAATACAAAGTTGGGGATGCATCTTATAATCTGGTGTGTGTATGTTCAACCAGATTTGTCCAACTTAATTCACACCGAGCCCAAATTTGGAGTGTGTCTTACTTTCCGAAGCACCCTATAATCCAGAAAATAGTTAGAGAAAACAAACAGTTTGAGTTACTTCTGGAGGCAAAATGAATAAGAAAACGTTCTACCAATTTTTTTTTTTACAGAAAGGCGGATGTTTTAAGAGTCACAGACTTAAGCTAAAGCCACAGACATGAGTCCATTGCAAAACAAGTGGCATACTTACTTGTCCTGAGCAGAGGGGGGCTTGGGGACTGTGGTGGATGATGGCAGAGATGCGGGCTGAGTCGTGGCATCATCAGGAGGCCAGGATAACAACTGCCCAGAAACCGGCACTGCCCCTTCCCCAACCCGGGCATAGCGCTCATCCCACTCCACCGGCAGACCCCACCCCGTGGGCTTGCTGTTCTCTGGAGCCGTCGTGGTCTTCTCCCGCTGTGGAGAACGGGAGCACGGTGAGAACCGGGCCGGTCGCCGCGGGCAACGGCGCCACAAACAAACGCAGGTGAACCAGTCGTGGAGAAGCAAGGCGGCACAAGCGCACCGTTATCATTGGGCAATAAGCATGAAAGCAAGAGAGCTTCAGAGGCCACCCGCTCTGTGACAAACCAAGCGTGCAGCAGTGAGCAAAGAGCAAACGGTGTGCGCTGTATACTAGAGGCACGGGGCGAGGTGATAGGGCGTCGGGCGGGAGCATTCCATCGACGAATAAAAACTCCTTCACACTTGTATTGAATATAAGGGAATAGAATACATTTCTGGAATGGTAACCCTACTTGTTTCCCTGAAACAAAGTAAACCGAAGGATGAGTCGTGGGTATATACTACGGACAAATGCTGACCCCCTGTTTTATCCAAATAAAAGTTGGAAAAAATGCTGACAAGCCAAAACTAAAATTTTCCCAAATGCAACCATGTTTCACACTCACCCCCTCCACTTCGTATGATAATTTCACGTATTAGAGCTTGAGAAAAAAAAACACCTTAAGCATTGTAACAATGAAAGTCCAAAATAGCGGCCAATGTATTTAGGGGTACTCATATGATTACCATAAACAAATTTGACAAGTTGGAAAGTGGAAAAAAATCTACAAGCTACCCTTCCACTCCTCATTCAGACACCACGAGAATTCTAAACAAAATGGACTATTAGAAATTTGTTTTGCCATGCTAGAGCCGTTCAGATGAGGTCATTGCAACGCTACGGGAAATCAACAGCCTGCCAAGGAAGCAGATTTAGTTCGCATTGTGTATGATCTGGATGAACAGAAGCATAATCAATGTAAGTAGCCCTAAAATAACTACTGTGTAGATTCGTTAAGCATGTAATTATTCACCCCTCCACAAGAATTTCCACGATTTGGAGTCATGATTCGGTTAAAGAACCAATGCCATTGTTTTATTGTTACCCTCACATGGTAAAGTTTTCCACTTGTTCTGCATAATATTCGCATGGTCTTGTTCACTTCATTGGTTTAAATGCACCATTGGCAAACCATTTTTTTTCCAAATCGCAAATAATCAATCCTTACATAAATTATTAATTGCGTGCATCATGAGCATAAAAATTTATTTTAATCGGCGAATCCTTACATGATCAACATGGATTATTACTTCACAAATGTCCCGCAGTGTGTAGACACCCCTGATTACAAACTCGAATGCTTTTACAGAGAAGCAAATCACAGAGGAAAAGCAGGTAAGGCACAAAGTGGCTTTGTGTGGAATGAGTGGGCGTATACTGCTACGGCAACAGACAAGAGTGGTTAGTAAGCATATAAATGGAACCAATACATGTCCACATGGCAGCGCCTGTAAAAGGGCTAATATTAGTACTATAGACATCACAGGACTAGGCAGGGCATGCTCTGAGTGAACTCTTTGTATTAATAAATAACTGTGGCAGCCACCTAAGTGAAGGGCAGGTCTTTCTTTTTACGTGGGTGCATGGTGAGTGGTGGCCTAACGTTTAACGCACAGCGCTACAATTGAGTGATATGTGAACCAGGCCCGGACCTTCTCCATCTGGTGTGATGTGAGATGTCAGCACTTTGGAAGACAAAGACGGCTAGGTGTGGTACTGGCAAGAATGCCTCCACGTCCCATGACAGTTTTAAAAGATGCTCAATAACAGTATTTCATCATTTTAAGGATTAATTTGAGTGGGAATTGTCTTTTAAAGCCAAAATGTTGTGATAACGAGATTTTCAAATTAGTTTCACAAACATCAGCCTGACATTTTAAACCGTAGATTTATGCACACGATTCAAGTTAAATTACCGCATTGATTAACGGTTGGGTGTATAAAAAGTAAATATTGTATGTGTGGATAATTTTAAGTGCGGTATTCAACATCGTTTGGCAGCACCTTGTGTATACACAAGCGTACATGGAACATCAGTGCGTGCTGGGAGCAGTGTGGGTTCATGTGAACATCCTGCCACCCACGGCTATAAACGAGCCTCTCATGAGGAGTTTCATTTACACAGAACAGTCATGCCGTATGTAGTCCTCCTGTGGCTCTGGTTAGTCAAAACAACAACACTGCAGTAGGCAACATGGGCACCCAAGATTGTCTGAAGGATTTGGTCAATGACTCGTGTTCTGATTGCCGTATTGAAACCAAAATTCTTTGTCAAGTGTTTTCATTGTAATATTGTACTATTAACAATTAACATTTACATTTTGACTTAAAGCTTTCGTGACTGCAGGGATTTATATTCTTGGTTCTTTCGGTAAAGTCACGTAGAAGGGAAACAATAAAATAATATATTTATATGTTTTTATTATATAATATATTTATATGTTTTTTTATTTTATTGTTTCCCTTCTACGTGACTTTACCGAAAGAACCAAGAATATAATTAACATTTAGTTAAATGCAAAGTTCTCTTCGGAACCAAAAGACATTGGATCACAACTTTAAATGACCACACATTGAAAGAACATGATTAAATTTATATTGAATTGATATTAAGTAACAGGTGAAAATATACTTTTGTACAAAAATACCTGCTTATTAGAAACTGATTAAAAAACAAACTTGTCATCATTAATACATCAGATTTAATTGTGTGTTTACATATGCAATTGTCAAACGTATACACGGTTGACAATTTCAATTAAAATTATTAATATTTTAAATTAAATTTTACTCAAAATTTAATTGATGGCAAACTGGAATATCTGCATTGGATGATCGCAAACGTACATTATGTTAATTATGCTTAACAGTGTATGCACCAACGAAGAAAATGTTTCTTAGTAAACATTTCAAGAGATTCGCTTTGAAACCACTGACGTTGACATCATCCGGGCAAATTTAGCGATCAATTTGACGAAACGGGTTTCACGTAAAGAAAAACAATCTTGGGAGCACAAGCTGGACCCAACAGCTCGCGCATTACCATGGCCACTGCCGTGAGCTCAGCGCCCCTGTCCTGTAAGGAAAGGGCCTTATGAGGGAGCTGCGCGGGGCTCGCGGGTGAGATGGGCTCATCCTCGTCGCTGGCGGCCTCCGTTGACTGCCGCACTAGAAAGTCTGAGCGCGTGTACGCGAGGCGACGCTTGCGCTGGTTAGCGCCGGCCTTCCTATCCTGCTCCGGTCCGACACGTCACACGAGCAAAGCACGCGGAGGCGTCCGTCATGCAAGCGCCACCCACACGAGGCCGCCCGCGGCGCGCCCTGCAAACGCGCGCCCCACCGGAGCCCGCGGATCCACGAGCACCTGAGGCTGACAGCACTTTGAAGCGACACGCAAGCAGCACATGTACTTTACATATTCTAACTTACATGTTTATACACACATACATGCTTGCACTTTTCACACTTGTAACTGCAAAAACATGGTTAATAAAAAAAAAATATATATATGTTTGAAAACGTGCACTTTGACGCAAATGTTATGGTGCATGTCAACGTAAAAACGGTATTTTGTCATCACTGATAGAATACTGTACTCAGCAGTGCAGCACTCGTCCTCTGCTGTGTTCGTTGGTGGTTTGCGTTGGTGGAATTGCCGTGCCAATTCAACATTCGTGTCAGCAAGAAACCGCCTACACTGCACTGTAAAATGTTTCATATGAACGTAAACATACCGGGAATGGCCAACTGGGTGAAATGTAGAGTCTTTCTCCAATCAACAAACTAACTCACATTATGAATATGTATACATGCAATGAACAGCAACAATTTACTCAATTCATGTAAATCCTCAAAATATACATCACATATTATTAGTATTTATTAGATTTTGATTCGAATGTGTGAATTAAGCTAAAGCGAGCAATGAGGTGGCACTGGTATCTATTGGCACACGTGCCTAATACATTACATAGCCAACCGATCAGCACGGTTGGCTATGTACGGTGCGAAAAGAAGTTCAACACATACGCATCATATCGAGCACAGCAAAGCAGTTCAGCGTACATATAGCATTCACATTGTTTGCAGTCTACTCACACCAGCATGCACCACTGCAGCATGCACTCACGCCAGCATGCACGGTGTGTGTGTGTGTGTGTAAATGTGTTGTGTGTATGTGCAGCGCGTGCCACCGAACACGCAAGCTGCAAACGTGTGCATAAAGAATGCATGGGAAACGACCGCCCGCTCGCCCGCCCGCCCGCCCGCCCTCAGAGCCCAGTACGCCTCCTCAGTAAATCACCTCATCGCTCTTATTGCCAACCTCGGGGGACGTTGGTGGCGAGAGGGTGTCGCGAGATTCCCTTTGTCTCCCCGCCTCGGCACGGCCTTCCAGGCTGCTGCCCAACAAAACGAGACAAAACCCACTGTTAGTGTCACGCTGCCATGGGCTGGCCAATGGAGCGCATTAATTTGCTTCATTGTTCCACAGTTAATCCTTCCGATATCTGTAATATTAATCATGTTAGAGATATTGAGCTTCACGATAACAAATGCAGAATAACACACGTCGGAAAACAATGAAGAGCGAAAATGTTGCAATGTGACAAATCTAAACATAACTTAATAAACAAAAATGTCGCGTTAAAATAAATCAGAGCTTAACATCGTGCCGGTGCAAAATGCGCAAAGATACAGAATTTTCAAAACATTCATCACTACAACCCAGATCTATCGATCTCAGAGATGTCTATGATAGTGGTGATATCATCACTCATTGGTGCACTTGTATTGACAACTGCATATGCATGCAACACCAAATGCATTTACCCAAACCACTCAGCCAACTGATGTGTGGAAAACTTCACAAAGAAAATTATGCTCTTCCATTTTAGAATAATTATTAGGTGCCAAGTATTGACCAACACCATCGTGGAACTCCGTTCCCTGCTCAAGTCGAAACTCAAGGATTGCTCTTCTGAACTGCCTACCCTCCGATTTGTACCGTTGGCTATGCACAGTGAGAAATAAGTTCTACATACATACATACAACTGTATTGTCAACCCAGAAGCGTCTTAAAAATCACCTTGCCATGCGGCAGTCTCATCCTGTCTGCCCTGTTAGTCTGGCATGTGCCCTTCTTGCAGAGCATCTTGAGATATGGTCGCATTTAAGCATGATAAATCCAAACTGCAATGTAACCAAGCACATTCCTTGGCAGCAAGGCAAGCTGTGCTCATATCCAAAACGTGCTTGTATGAGAAGTTGCCATTGATCCCACCCCCCCCCCCCCCCCTCGGTGTAACGTGAGCATGTGTTGCTTTTATTAGAAATCTCTTCACACGCGGTGTGCTTATATCTGGTTTCTACTGTATTACCTTTCCCGGGATCCCTCCGACGGGTCCACATCCTCAGCCACTCCGCTGTCCAATGACTCCATGAGTACTGCGTCCTCCCCCACCTGCCTGGGCGACAGCTGCTGATTTTCCTGCCTCCAGCGCTGCGCCTTCTCGCGCAGTCGATCGGGGTGGTCCGTGTTGTAGTTGTACACGCGTCGCAGGTTGCTGCTGGGCAACGTGCGGCTCTCGAAGCTGCCGCTGACGCGGGCGCTGTGCGACCGCTGGATCCCACAGCTGCCGGGCGTGAGGAGCGGCTGGGAGTAATCGCCCCCTTCTGACGACAGCAAGCTGTCCGTTGGCACGAGAGGCAGGAGAGAACCGGAGACACTGCGCTGGCCCATGCTGCCGCCGGCCAGCAATTTTTCCAGAGGACCGGGGGGAGAGAGAGGGGCAGGTTTTCCCTGGTAAAAGAATCCGTCGTCGAAGGTCTGCTGCGAATTGCTTTTCTCGAGCTTGGGGCGGAACCTCTGTCCTTGCTGGCGAACCATCATCTCACCGCGCCGCTCCAGATCGAGGCGCTCGCTCTTGAGGGCTTCTCGTTGCTGGCGTATTAGGGTCATCATCTGATGCTCATCCTTGTCCTGCTGCCTCTTCTGCTGCTTCCCCTGCATTGCTCGGTTCCGCTCCTCCAATTTCTGTAGCAGATTGGTCGTCGGCCGCCCCTCGTCAAAGGCTTTGTCTTCGGGGCTTCTCACACTCGTGTCTGCAGATTCTGGAGCTTTGGGGGCATCTGCGGTGGAAGGTGTCTGCATTTTGAGCCCTTCCTCATGACCATCTTGTTTGATCCTTGAGACAGCGCTTGTTGGCGAGCGTGTGCTCTGCTTACCGAGATCTCTTTGCTCTTCATAAGGTGTTGGGCTGGACGGCTTTTCTGCCTGGCCAATGGACTGTTCCGTAATGTTAAACTTGGAAGAACTTTCCGAGTCTGGTGTGGGGAGGACCAATTTTGAAGGAGTGACTGGACTCGAAGCTGCTGACATTCCTCTCGCGGCAACTTCCCCAGCTTTCTGCCCGGGAGCAATGGCGTCGACATCTTTCCGGAAGCCAGCTCTGCTCAAAACCCTGCTCGGGCTGAGTTGATCGCTGGCACTACGTTTCGAAGCCGAAGGTGGAGAAGTCGGAGTTGGAATGTCGGACGTAGGGAACGTTTCACCTTCGGACGTCGGCGTCACGCTGGGCAAGGTGTCTCCGGAACGCTGCCGTGCATACCCCAGGGAGTAGTCGGCCTGCTCAAGCTCACGCTGGCGGCGGCTCAGCCTCTTGGCCCTCACCTGGGACTGCTTTTCCAAAGGCAGCGACTTTGGGCGATCGCGCATCGACACCGCGGTCTTGGACTCCCCGACGTTCTCGTCTTCAATGCTGCTCGAGGAACTGGCTCTGAGTAAATCGTCCCTCAAAGGATCAACGCCTTTGTCCGCGAGTTCTGTTGGACTCCCTCCCTTGGCAAACAAGCGACCTTCATCTTCTGGCGTAGTCGTACCTAGGGTCTTCTCTAAATGCTTGCGGTCGGCTTCTGTTTGAGCATTTCGGGTTTCCAATCGCTTGGTCCACTTTTCCTGTCTGTCTTTCACCCTATCGGTATTATTTTGCCTCTTTATGTCCTCTTTTTTGTTTTGTTCAAGGAGTATTTTATATCTAAAAGACACGCAGATGTGTAGTCAACGTAATCAGTTTGTAATGGACTTATTTGCTTTTTACAAAATAATGAAATACTCTCAAATGTACTTACTCGTTTGTGCATATTCGACATTGCCATGATTACTGTGAAGTGTACAGTTATCAGCGTACAAATTTTTTTTTCAATGCATACATCTTTCTGGTGATATAATTGATTAATAAATTAATTAATATGTAATGACTTTATTTTGAGTGAAGCAAGTACCTTTTTCGGGCCACAAATCCACGACATGCTGCCTGCAAGCGGACAATCCTCCAGCACAACCTGTACCTCCGCCAACAAGCCTACAAAAACACACGTCACGACAGCCAATCGCATCCGGTTCTGTGGCTAAAGGACCCACAATATCAACAATAATTGTATTAACATTTGCTGCAAAAATTAGTTCTCCAACATATAAAGTGTTCGGAAATATCACAAGTTTTTATATATCTAAATAACTATTAACAACACGAGAACGATGATTTGAAAACGTTTCATACACCAGTAATGCAACTGTTAGACGCCTCCTCTGCTTTTCTCCCTTGCACAAACCATTAAAAAAACTAAATTGGCTAAACGTTTCAATGCAGGATTCTCCTGAAACTATCTTGACAATTGGTGAGGATTGTCTGGATAAATAGAGAAGAAAGCGGTAGCGGATTCGCTGTTTGTTGCAGAGGTTCACGGTTTGAATCATCCGGCAGTCCTGATTAATGCCGCAGGTGAAGTCAATGTTAAATTACACGCCGTCCAGTTTACAAAGGATGTAGAAAACCCCGTGATGTCATTCGACAAGAACAGGCAATAGCGCACCGTATCATGGTCAAAATTCGACAAATTAGAAAAATGAGTAAGTGCCTCAATTGGTACTACACAATGTTTAATTCACACCCCACCCTCCGCTTCTGTGAAACTACCGCAGGAACGGCCTGCGTGACAGCCCCTTGGTGTCAGCCTTGCGCTTATGAGAATGGCGCGAATTCCAAATTGACTCCATTACATTTTGGCTTTTTTCTCTCCAGGTAAGACAAAAGCAGCGGGGGGTGGGGTGGGGGGCATCAACCTCAATGGTGCTCGATTGGCCCGACAGCGCCAAAGGGGACGCCCTCACCTGGATGGTGCTGGCCGCTTGGCGCGCACGCAGGAACCGCCGGCGCTCGAGCGCGGCACGGAACCAGCCTTGGATGAGCGTGATGCGGCTCAGCACCGCCGTGTGCAGCGCCGCTGCCAGGATCTTTCGTTCGCTCTCCTTCATGAACACCTGGGTGAGGCACAGCTACACATGAACACCTGGGGCAAGGCACAACCACACATGAACACCTGCACCGCGGCACAGCCAAACATGAACACCTGGGCAAGGCACAACCACACATGAATACCTGGGCAAGGCACAACCACACATGAACACCTGGGATGAGGCACAGCCACACATGACCACCTGGGTGAGGCACAGCCACACATGAACACCTGGGCAAGGCACAGCCACACATGAACACCTGGGCAAGGCACAACCACACATGAATACCTGGGCAAGGCACAACCACACATGAACACCTGCACCGCGGCACAGCCACACATGACCACCTGGGTGAGGCACAGCCACACATGAACACCTGGGCAAGGCACAACCACACATGAACACCTGGGTGAGGCACAGCCACACATGAACACCTGGGTGAGGCACAGCCACACATGAACACCTGCGCACGGCACAGCCACACATGAACTGCGCGAGGCACAGCTACACATGAACATCTGGGTGAGGCACAGCCACACATGAACACCTGGGATGAGGCACAGCCACACATGACCACCTGGGTGAGGCACAGCCACACATGAACACCTGGGCAAGGCACAACCACACATGAACACCTGGGTGAGGCACAGTCACACATGAACACCTGGGTGAGGCACAGCCACACATGAACACCTGCGCACGGCACAGCCACACATGAACTGCGCGAGGCACAGCTACACATGAACATCTGGGTGAGGCACAGCCACACATGAACACCTGCGCGAGGCACAGCCACACATGAACACCTGGGTGAGGCACAGCCACACATGAACACCTGGGTGAGGCACAGCCAGAACACAAACACCTGCGCGGGGCAGTCACACAGAGGCCACCAGAGGCCTCACACGATGCTCGACACAAGACGAGCGGGATGAGCCACATGACGGGGGAACTTCTACGATGTACTATTGATTTATTTGAAAAAGGTACTGCCCAGGAGAATGTTTGGCAAGGCTTTACCCATTCATAAATCAAACTTCAAAAGGAATGTTTTGCAAGGGGCTCTTGGCAGTTCCCTCGAGCACATTCAGGGCTACATGAGCAGCCGCCTCAGCAATGAGCTTCACATTCATAGCGAGAGAAACCTCATTGGCCAGTGTGTCATAGCTGTGTGGGGCATTGTGATGTCTACTCAGTCTGAAAAACACATTTCTAAACGCACATTTATCTGATTATTCTGAGACATTGAATCATTATGATGGGAAGCAGTATGAAAGGAAATATGGCTTGTAAAATATACAGCTGTGAAAAATATAACCACAAAATGGCTTTTAGTAAAGCAACTAAGCACAAAATGTATAAATTGCTCTTTAACCATAGCCTGACTATTGGGTATGACAGATGAATATATTAGAAGCACTTGATAATAACGGTAATGTACAGCTCATTTTCAATTCACTGCTGGATGATAGGATACCCATGCTACATGGTCATGGGGGTTGTTTGACCATACCTTAGCACACTCGGCAGTTAGGTTTGGTGAAGGGGAGGGGCCAACACTGGTTAAAATATCACTCATCACTGATGTTAACAGCCATGGCAAGGAGTGAAACTCATGCCGTTGTGTTCATAGCGCAGTGCGCTAACCACTGCACCACCACTTCCTCCTGCATGACCCCTTCCCCCCAACACTCGATGATGTTATAAAAAGGCAGCATAAAATTAACGAGTTATTAAAATAAAGTAGATCATGGCACGCTTAAATGAAAGTGGACCACAGAACATTTTATCGTATCATAATAATTTGACAGTTTCCTTGTTTAATAAATATTGTATGACCGTTGATGCAACCCAGCATTGGAGCATCTCCAAAGCCATGATGGTAATCTTGCCCTGAATCAAAACCGAGAACCCAGAGAGACCAATAAAATAAACCAAGGATTTTAGTGGTAACTGCAACGCATAAGTAAACAAACCTTCGCGTGGCCGATTTGGAAATTGCGGGGGTTCAGCCTCATCGTTTCGAGGAAGTTGGTGATGTCCTCCTTGCTTTCCCCAGAGTTATGAGGCATGAGCACGTAGAAAACCTGTGCAAATTGCTACACAAAACCAAACATGTTCAGGGTGAATAGCGGAGATTATTAAGTCTATGTCGGTGGCCGAATAGCCTGGTAAAACACCGTCCATTGTGCCACTTTGTATGAGGCCTGTAGTTTAATTCCCAAAACCATGAAGTAAAGTTGTGAGACATTAGCGAAATGCATCTCCTGGCGTACAGGCATTAAAGAACCTCAAACAATAGTCAACAAATTAGGTACTTTGAGGCGCTAGTTTAAAATGCCACGGTCAAGAGTTACAAAACGAATGCATCATTAAATTGACCAAAACACACAAATGGCAACTCTTAAGTGGCTTGTTAAATATCAAACAGTAGATGTGTGCATTATCTGTACAAGACAAAGAGCCCCCCTCCCCCCCAATATCCTTAACAGACTGTGGGAGCAAGTGCCGTTATCGAGCACCTATAAAGGCCGGCACGGCACACAAAGCGGTGGGTGGTCAACGCCACGCCCGGGCGCCTTAGTCTTCTCAATTTTTATGTTTACATATGGCACCAAGTACTCATTTGAGGCTGTTGTCGACCTCGGGGAGGCCCAAGACCCGTTAAATTAATTGTCACTGGTGTTGAACGTGTGCAGCGTTCTAATCGCTCCACTACCGCTCCCACATCTGAGACGGACCAAAAGCAACCACAATTATGGCGCAAGCAAATTCTGTGTGGCAGAACACGGGTTTTCGTCCCATCTCAGAGGGCCAGTTGGCAGAATATTTGCAGAAACATTCACCTATTGTCCGAGTCCAGATGATATATTACCATTATATGAACAACATTTAAGTATTGATCAATTCCTAAGTCACTTACTAACAACTGTTAAATGAGCACCAAATAATCTAATTGCCTCATGTAGGGTGGAGATAGGAACCGCTTCGCAATAACCTCACTATAGAAATCATGCCTGGTGTCACAATCATCAGACATAGGCTAGAAGTCGGTTGCTGAGAATATTTCACAATTTTCACAACTAAACCTCACCTATTCAATCAATTAATTATTGGGACGTTAAAGGATATGCAACGGCAGTTCATTTAAAGTAGACTTATTTGCATATCCAACGTGACGGCCGACGACTGTAGACAGAGCCGCTTTGGGGCTCGCGGAGCCCATTCCTTCCACGTGTGTGTGACAACAAGAAAAAGGTAAGACGTGCAGGAAAAACAGCTGGCAACTCACACGCAATGGATGAACCAGTAATCCGTCTTTACCTTGAAGCTGTAGCGGACGCTGTACCCGGCTTGCCGGATGTGCACAGTTTCAAGCATGCCCGTGTATCTCAGCTGCCTGAGCACCACCTTCTCATCAAACCTCAGAGGCATCTGGAGGTACGCACCGCACAGACACACACTCTCTGGGTTTAAACACCATCATAAACAATTAAACTGTTCACGATAAACTTTTTTTCAGATGCTACCTGGACACAAATGATAGCTCGACCAAGTGGCTTATATTGAAATTTATAGCAGCCAAATACTCTAAGCGAATGTTTCTAAATGTGCAGGGAAAACCAGAGAATAATCCACACGACCACGGGGACAACATGCAGTCTCCAGGCGAGGTAGTTAACATCTCGCCATTGAGATATTAATTACCAGGCGTGATTATGAAGGCACGATGAAAAAGTTGAAAAATACCATGAACCTGCTAATTATTTATGAACAAGAGCATTTAACATAAGCCTAAACAGGCATCACAGAAATCTTGACTTAAAGCTTTCGTGACTGCAGGAATTCATATTCTTTGGGTCTTTCGGTAAAGTCACATAGATAGGTTCAAAGAAAATAACAAAATACGTGACTTTACCAAAAGACCCAAAGAATAGGCATCACAGAATTGTGTTGTTTCTAACATTAACTCAATGTAAACACTATATAATGCCTGACAATTTACATCGCTTTCTTGGTTGCTTTTCAAATGTCATACAAATTAAAGATTCCCTGTTAACTCCAAATGTGCAAGTCTCCTTGGAAACACAGTTTTGTAGCCATAACAAAAAGTTGTGCCCAGTGAACATAACATGTAAATGTACCGTAACAAAATACATATATTACACACATGGCGTGCACACTACCTGTTACGTAACATTAAAAACACACATTCTATTACAGTCGCCGCTAACTAAAACATACCATTTGCCAACATGGAAATCTGTTTTTGCTTGGATGATTAATGGGCCCTGAAAACGCACAGCGGCACTCTCGGCCACGGATGGCCGCGCCAAGAACAGCAATGGGCACGCGCTTGCCACCAGCTCCCTCACCTTGTCGGCGTTGGAGCGGATGCACCTGATGAAGAACGGATCCGCATGGTCGAGCGTCTCCATCAGCTTGTTGAGGGACGTCTGCATGGACGAACACAAGCCATCGATGGCCACACGGGGTTAACGTTTGTTGATGAGCCGCAGGGCCACGCACGTGGTGTACACGTTATGCTAAAGACAGACAAGGAGAGATTCAGAATGGATTGTAAAAACGAATATACAGCTTTAGTTATTATACACAAGTTGAATTTATGAAGCAGTAACCCACCCCAAGATTTTAGACTAATTCACTGTAACTCAATGAAAACTCCAATGGTCTGTGCTGTTTTGGGGAGTTTCCCTCAGATCATTGATGCAACACATGACCTGTCATCTGAACAGCCCCTGTATCTCTTGGGCTGTCCCACAATACTACATCAATGCTTGCCATGATGTGGGACTGAATGCAATGGCAACACTTATGGGAGGCCTTCATCCAGCAGTGGATCAATCATGGTTGCTTTTTTCCCCATTTTTCTCCTTTCGATGGAACATTTCCATGGAACATTTCTGTGCTTTTTGCACAGCTTTACACGTTTAATGGCCACCTTTAAAATAAATCCTCAATGTACACGTTTGAAACCCGTCGAGATGCAATCTCAGACTAGATTAATTGTATCATCTTTCTTTAATAAAATCTTGCTAAAACTGAGATCCTTCAAATTCATAAAAGGTTTGAAGCTTTCGTGACTGCAGGAATCCATACTCTTTGGTTCTTTCGGTAAAGTCACGTAGGTGGGAAATAAAATAAAACAAACCACGACGTTTCGCAACACAGGCGGTCGTCATTAGGCAACCGCCTGATGATGACCGCCTGTGTTGCGATCGAAACGTCGTGATTTGTTTTAATTTATTTCTAACTACGTGACTTTACCGAGAGAACCAAAGAGTATTCATAAAAGGTCTGTCCGATATAAAGTCTCCATGTCAAGTGTGCATCTCCGAAAAACCTCGGGCATCCTTTTACAGCCCACCACATATTCCAGCTCTTGAAGCCCTCTCACCTGCACCTGAGTAACATCGCCCGCATATGTTCCTGAACTACTGCATCACTCTTCCAAAGTGTCCCTCATTTCTCGGTTACAGATGATTCATAATGTCGATGCAAGATTCCTCACCCGTGCGTGGAAGCATACTGTAATCCCTCGTTAATTCAACACATATGGGGGCTATGGCCTTGCCGAATTATCCAATATTGCGAATTATGTACAATGGTACTAATCTTCTCCCGGCCTTTCTTGATGTTGCAAAAAGGTGCTTTATTTTATTTCAAACTGTTCACACACCATACGCATTGACACACACCCTGCATCAATTCTATACAAAACTTTGTAGTTGTCTCGCAGACCGAGGGATTTATACTTCAGTCCCTTTCCATTACTTATTGATGGGGGTGTATTCGACATTTCTGAGAGGGTTGGCTTGCACAGAATGCACAAACAAGGTAAAGTCCAAAGCGACAGGTCTGCACTAACGCTCACCGTGCGTGCCGGCACTAAACATGAGTCATTGTTATGGTCGTGGCGAACGACGTCGCTCCACGTGCATGCCGAAATTGGACCATTCCGTACGGCAATTCAGCTCATGGTGAAATACTAATACTGTATATATATGCCGAAAACACAGCTGTGCTGAATTATCCCCAATTATGAATGATCAAATACCGAAATAACGAGCTTTTACTGTAATTATATCACGCTCTTCCTGTACTATGTTCATTAGCACTGGCTTCATGTCAAGTCTCAGATTCACTTCAAGATTGCAGTGATAGTTTTCAGGATTCATGGCATTGCCCCTCCTGGCTTATCTCGCCTATCGCACCCTGCTCTCTGGCACGTCATCTCCGCTCCTAAAACAAATGCCTCCTCCTCCACCACCTCCTCCCTCTCCTCCTCCTCCTTCTCTCAAAGCCGTTTATCCTCTCGCTTATGCTTGCTATTCATTTGGCGTGTAAATATGTAGAATATTTTCCTATAAACATTACTCTCTATGAATACAAATTTATATAGGTGCATACAGGTTTCCCTAGCTTTATGTGGGTTCGGTTTGTGCGGGTTTAGCTGTATGCTGAACCTCTTTCACACGTAGCCAACTGCGTGAATTGGAGGTGCGAGGAATGTCACAGCCAGGAGAGGTGCGATGTTTGGGTCTCGAATGAGGTGTGATTATTCTGGACATCCGTGTTGTTCCACTCTGTTTGTCACCGTTCTTCCGGATCTAGGTGAGATTTTATAATGGTGACAGGACGATCCCAAAAGGGAGATCGGGAGTTGAAGTGGCGGCGAGCAACGTTGTTGAGGTCTTTGTTGATGTGTAAGTTGCCGTTGGCAAAGCAAACATATACACTTCTTTGCAGTGTGTACGTCTCTGTGGATATTTGGTGGTAGATTATTCACTGGATTGGTTGCGGGTTTCATTGTATCAGTAATAATGCGCAATAGGTTATTTATTTTTGCATCTTGCAGTATTGTGCACGAGGGAAGTGCACAATACTACACCACTGAGTAGATCACTCAATGCAGTTTGATTTCACTCATATGCAGCTATGCGGTCGGACATGGGACAACATTGTGTGTACTTTATGTACTGAATGCGCTACTTGGCAACTGTCCCATGCGGTTTCACTTTATATGCCCTTTTCTTGGAATGCATTTACTACCACATTAAGTGAGGGAAACTTGTATATACTAAAAGCACGGGGTTAGAATCAATACACTTCATATTTTCTTCACTCTTTTACACTTATATTTCATACACTGTGTATGAGGGAAATGCATACATTTTCTTTGCCTCATAAGAGTAACCAAAGCATGCATTTTGACATTCATTACGTCCTCTCATCTAGGTACAGCTTTATCAGCAAAGAGTTCCCTAACATTTGTAATAAAAGTATATGGTAGACCAAGTTTTAAATGTGTTTTTTTACCATAAACAGGGGATATATCAATAAATGATCTTCATGGTGGTACCCCGGGGTACCAAATAAAACAAAATGGCCGAGGCAGTTAAATATTGTATACCTGGGACACTATTTTTGTTTCCCAGGGGTGTAACTTCACTCCGCGACTGGGGTACCAATCAATCCGAAATCAGTGGTGCCACACTCCGCGACGTCGAAACGCCAAACATTAGCATAAAAATCCGCTATCCAAAATTTCAACTTTGAATCGTGCATCGTGTACAGCTCGTCGAGATCAGTCGATTGCCGCATTCGCCGACCATCAACAGACTAAAAACGACTGCATCACGGGCATCATGCGAGAGCCGGGGTGACTATGGAACCCCGGAGTACCGCCATAAGGTTCAACATAGAATACGAATGCCTCCTGTTAAACCAGGCATTCAGTGAGACTATTAAAACAGCGACCCCTCTCAATAAAAAATACATTTATATCGTTTTAATAAATAATTGTTTGTGATTTGGATATATTTATGTTTATTCTGGGGACTGTCAGAAGACCTGAAAAACCAGGTCTGCTCCACTAGAGCTCTTGTAGCATGCCTTGATGAGGAGTGGCGTGAAAAAAAAACCACACAGACATCACGGAACTCGCGATGAATCATGATGCCAGTGGCAATGCTCTCCACTCTGGGAACACATTCCCTCCTTGGGTTTCTCAGTACTGTAAACCTACCCCCCCCATCATCAAATTGAAGTTTCATCTTATCACCTCCACCATTACATTATAGGAGATGCCATAAAAGCTGCTTTACTAAAACTTCTACGCGGCAATAAATTAATACATTCAAGACATTTACTCGTCCTCCTATCTACAACCTGCATTGACTACAAACACTTAAAATTTTGATTTAAAGTTTTCGTGACTGCAGGGATTCATATTCTTGGTTCTTTCGGAAAAGTCACGTAGAAGGGAAACAATAAAATAATACAAATATATTCTGGGGCCTGTCAGAAGTCACGTAGAAGGGAAACAATAAAATAATAACAATATTTTTATTATTTTATTGCTTCCCTTCTACGTGACTTTACCAAAAGTACCAAGAAAACAAACACTTTCTTTGCTTTTAAAATTACGAGTGAGCTGCTACCACTCACATTTCAGACCAAATATCTACGAACCTTGTCCTACTCACTCTTCCACCTTCTCTCTCAGCCACCCATAGATCTCAGCACAATGCGCGGCCAATTGTCGCCTACCATTTCTACGGTCAGCAGTGGCCTTTAACTTGCTACAATCATTTACATTTGCTTCGAAGTGGAAGGCTGCTCACTTCTCTATTGCATGTGTTTTTTTTTTTAAATATATAAACCTTTCATAACTATATTTACTTCTAATAGGCCTTTTAATAAACATATAAAGAATGTGACAATATCTTCAAACTCTACTACCAATAGAGGTGTAATGATTCATTAATCCCCTCAGACCCCTGATTTAACAATCGCCCAGATTCAACACATTTTCACGAATTGGAGTAACTCAGTGGTGGCCAATACACCAAGCATGGTGATCTATTTTGGTGGATCTCTCAACAAGCTCTGAAATCCACCAGAAAGCTATGACCAACAATTACCACGATAGAGCCGAGACGGAAAGTACTCAATCCATCTATTTGGTAGACGTTATTATGTTACTCGTGTATTACTTCTTCGTCAGGCATTTCTATTTGCCATCGGTTCTAAATAAAATTATTGTACGATTGTGTTTGTTTTGATTTGTTCTGAGATCCATATAAATTCTTGTGCGGTCAATGTACAGGCCACTGCTGTGGTAGTTTGATTGAAGAATATACTGTTTTAATATTGTGAAAGCAGTAGTCTCTCGTAGCTGAAATTACATAAAAACGTTGACTCTTACACAAGCAATTAAAAGCGTGTACACGAATATGAAGTGAACCTTTGATCACTGAACTGTAACCAAACTACTTGCATTCCTGCTGATTGCAGTGATTTGCAGATTCGACAAATTTAAGTGTACAATATTTTTGGAACATCAGATCGTCTGTATATATATATTCTTAATGTAGTATTAATTTAAAGTTCACAACTGTCATTACTTTTCAGTTTGTGTTTATGCGCCACTGCATATACAGTGCGATTTAAAAATAATGTATTGTATACTATGTGAAAAAAACTCATAATGGTTGATGAATATTTAGTACCGAGTTCAACTATTTTGTCCTGCCTCATGCTATAAATTTCCTTGCAGGTAGTGGTTGGAGGACATAGAGATTTAGCTCGTCTTTGTATGACAGTCGCTAACTTCAAGGTAATAATTTCATTGTCCTTTGCGTTACCAAATTCAACTTTAAAAAAACAACTCCTGTCAATGACATCACGCAAGGCTGGCCATTCCACAGTTTCCCCCATCATATTTGACACTGATATTCTCAGCCACAGTAAACCCATTAATCTGCTTGATACACTAATCTCGTCTATGCAATGGCTATCTCACTCATCTGGCTAAAGAGGCATTGAAGCAGCTTCACTTTTCCGTGCCAAAACCCTCCTTTTGACTTCAAACAATTATGCCTAATGTACAACACAAATTTGGCCAAAGTTGGAATACTGCTGTCATATCTGGTGTGGAGCACCCATTCCCTTCCTGTGCTGTGCTCGATAGACTTAACATGAAAGCAGTCACGCTGATTTATCATTCAGCGCTCAATGATTTACTGCAGTCACTCGCCCACCAACAGGCCTTCTTATCACTCTTCCCTCCCCACTGACATGGTCACCGCTTTTGTAATATTCACTTATTGATTCTTACACCCGGGTCGAGGACTTAGGTCGACTAGACGGAGCATTTCCTCTCACCACCACACTGCAGGTCACAGCACTTCTGCTTCTTCACTGGCACTGCTCGACTTTGGAATTCCCTCCCATTGTTTCTCTTTTCCCAAGTTCTTAAAACAACCTTGGTCGCGTTAAGAAATGTATTAACTCTAACATCTGTTACATTTGTAAGAGTGCTATTTGTTGCTGGCCGCTTGGTGTTGATGGCTTTAAGGCATGTGCTAAGCAACTATTATGTAAATAAATAGGTGAAAACATTATTAGATATATTTAGTTATACAATATAAACTTCAATACAACTAAAGTAGATTTCCCTATAATATAATACAATAAAATCTCAAATTTAGTTAGGCAATATACATGCAAGATCAACAGTTATGCAGATAACTGATTGCTTATGAAGGGTAGGTCATTAGTTAAACATACTGGAATGAAAATCTAAAGCATTTTGAAACGCCATACAATGCACAATATAAAAAAAACATGACCTAAATATAAAGCACACTCTTTGAAAGCATAACTTCTGTAAAAGCAACTCTCCCCTTTTAACTTGTATGGTACGCTGCCTAGAAAAATATATAATACTGCACTGAGGCTACGTGAAATGTTTGTTCAATCTCACAAAAAAAAACCGTGGCGCTAATGTGGTTAAATATTTAAGCGAGAAGCGTCTATTATTAGCAGTGAACACAGCTCACAGAGGCCTGAAGTCCGCCAGCCGCTATGGTCTGGGGACCCATCACTGGGCATGTGTTTCCCGCGGCTCACACGCCCGGGGAAGGGCAGCCTTCAGGAAATGGCTCCGTGTGAACACGTGCTTCCTAGCTCGCAGCCAGACCACACAACACCTTGCGCATACCACGCTTTGCCCCCTGATAGCCCAGCGACAAGAGGTAAGGTATAACTTACGTGTGCCGGGACACACAATGCCATTTGGATTTAATATTAAGGGCGAATTTATGAGCATCTTCGGATGCTGGATTCAATGAACACACAAATATTGGTGCTTTCAATGATGTTTTAATGCAAGCAAATAACTCATGAGGTTTAATATACGGTATTTGAATTCTAATGGTCTGTTTCTTCATTGCAATTTATTTGCCAGTGATGCTAAATGATCGTATTCGCCACAATGCCAGAAAAATATTACTTCACCGAATCATGATTCCAAAACTGTGGCAAATCATTAAATTAAGGGAAGGCATAATCTATGCAAGATTAATATATCACATTTAAGCTCTTGAGAGTGTTTACTTTTCTCTTACAATCAGGTTCCTCCAGTGGGTTTAAATCCTTATTCCAAATGAATTGCAAGGTCACTTTCAGTCTTCTATAAACACGTGGCCTTGTCAAAGCTTAACTCATCAACCTTATCTCTCCTTACTCCTCCCTCTGTCTGCCTTCCGGGATCAACAACTGTTATTGCTGCTGTCAAATGAACATCTGCCCCTGTGGGAGGGTTAGTCGTATTCCTCAGCCATCATTTCTGTATGGAATCCCTCTGCCGGGACCTCTGGTCCAACTCATTGTACTGCTGTTGCCCAATTACCCTTGATATGATCTCGTCAAATCTCAGAACTTTAGGAGGCTTTAGCCTGGTCGGTGTTTGGATCAGCGACTGCCAGTGCATGACCGTTGCTGCAGGCGCATGGCTGCGATGTACCGGCAGATGGCAGCACAGTAATGGGTGTGGTCTCCAGATAGATTTGGTCCTGCTCAAAGGGTTGAGTGTCTCTGGATTAAAACGCGTTTGTGCGCTTGGTTTTCATCCCCTCGTACGCACTTCCATCCCACATTCCAAACACGTATTCGTAGATTTGGACAAGCATTCCAATGCAGGACCCTCCTGAAAAGTATTGAGACTCTGAGAAGCTTTGCAGGATAACTAAATGGCATTATTATGAAATTGTAATATTAACAAAACAAAGCCTGTTAACCTCCTCTGCCGACAAATAACAATCCCCTTGAAGGCTGCTCACAAATGCTTGTGTAGTGTATATCTATTTCTTCCACACTGTAAATGTGGATTTTTCAACCCACAGTTAAAACCTCTATCTTGCCCTTTGATATCCTATATACGGCACACACTCCCCGTCATACCCGGAGCCATGCTCCACAGTGAATGCTGGTAAATCTCTAAATTGTAATTGTCATGTAAATGATTACAAATGATTATTGCGCATATAACGTCACATTTTCCCTATTAAAACTAGGTGAAAGATGTATATCAACCACTGCTCATTATTTAAAACGATACCCTTTATTTAGACACGAAAGCCTCACTGTATCTGCTCTTACAGGACGGCCCTGCATTTGGCATGTTTGGTCAATTTAACTCATGACTGTGTGATTTATGGGAGGAAACCGGAGTGTCCAAATAAACTCAAAGACAAGTGGATAACACTTAAAAAGCTCCACGTATCTTCATTAACCAAACATTTGCTGTACTGTCATTGAATGGCCACTTAGCAGCCAAGTGAGTTTGAAAGTTTTACAATCCTGCATCAGCCCACAGGAACTGCTCAGGAACAGGCACAATACGCCTCTGCACCCATCTCAGGCACTATATAAATCAAAGTAAAATAAGTGTAGCCTAAGATTTATCATTACACTGTGTGCGCTATACGAGAACGGCGAGAGCTGCTTATTTCACTCTTTACTATTTTAAAATTAACAAAGGTAAAAGCTCCCCAAGGCACAAACTTCACACTGAAAATCAGGCAATAGAAGGTGTTACCAAATAAGCCATCGACCGCACGTTTTGTTTTCCAATAGACAGGGGATGTGACTGTGCAAGCCCCCCCCAAAGCGGGTGTGCGCAGGTACGGTCACAGTGTGGGGAATCTCGCTTCTGAGTGAGGTGCAACCCCTGCACCCGTGTGTGTGTACACTGGCAAAGGGGAAGCCCTCTGGGTGCACGTGCATATGTTGGTGTGCCAAGTGAGTATCCGCGGCTACCCGTGGCGTCTGCATGTATGTGTACCACTCAGTATAGACATCTGTTAACCATCAAGACATTTCAAAACATGTTTGCGAACTCGTGCCGGTTGTGCATTTATAATAAGATCCTGATTTTCAAATAATAAAACGTCTTAAAACACAATATGGGCGCTTTGCATTACTTGGCATTACATAATAAAATGTAGATGTACCTAGTGCATAAATGCACTGGCATCTCAAGATGCAGAAATTCGTTGAATTGTGAAAGAGGCTATACCCCTTGAAATTGTATTTTTTTCATATAATGGGTCAATGTAATATCTATACATAAGTAGACAAATAACCTTCGACACAACTGAAGGGGCCAAACTATACATTTCATTTATTTATTGTTCATTATGCTCGTTTACCCAGGGAAAGCCCCCGTAATCCACCCTAGTTGTAAAAAAAAAATGTGCTGAATAGGTGCGAGTACTCTTATGCCATATTCCACTATGTGGTATTATGTAAAAATAACAACCCCCTCCACAGAACTGGCGCATTTACAGGAGAGGTTTCACAATGAATGGACCTGAAACTGTGCGCTGATGCTCGGAGGTTTCTTCTTCTTGTTGAGGTGCAGCAGGGACTTGGTGGTGCGGTCGTGCAGCGTTAGGTTCACGATGTGCTTCAGGGAATTCACGTCCAGCAGATGCTGCCACAGGCAAACACAGCAGGTCACGACACATCCACACTGGACAGGTTATGCCCTTCTAAGTCTTGTCTTGCAGAGTATGCACGCATGTTGAACTTCTTTTGCACCGTACGTAGCCAACCGTGCTAATCGGGAGGTGCTAGGGGAAGGACAACACACTAAAGACTTAGAGCTGTTTTAACAAACTAAACAGAAACAAGCGAGGCGTGTTAAACAAATCCTGCAGGATTAACAGATGTTATTGGAAAGAGTCAACAGATTATTGTGTTGGCAGTGGCACACAAGCACAAATAAACTAATAACTCAATATTTTTATTTTTCGGGCAATGGTCCTTCTTCATCGCACCTGCTATATACTTTTCTCCTTTTAAGGTACTGTAATTGATACATGTGGTGAGCTTTTTTCTGTTATTGGAAAGTACACTCCATATAAACGATGGGGCCTCATTCAACATAAAAAAGCAATATAGTACAAATATGTATGTGTTGAGTGGGGCATATGGGTAAAACAATACATAAGCAGGACTGTTCTGCTTTTAAGAGTTCAACATTTTTTTTCTGAAGAATGTTTTTCAGTAGTTTATAAATTTCACCAGGGGTTACAGGCTTTCCATTTAAAAAAAAAATGGCCCAGTAGAGCAGATGTTAAGGTTGTTTAAAATACACGACCTAGATTTTGTTATTGCTAGAAGTCACACCTCAATAAGCAAATGGCCCAGACATTATTTCACAGTCAACATGATTTTTTTTCCCCTTTAATCGCAACTAGATACACTTAGATAGTAAAATATCATAATGCTCCTCTTTTTATATAGCATCCAGACATTTATCATTCACCTTCGTCGAAAAGATAGCCTAATTTTTTACCTATTGTATCAGTTATGGTTATAAGTGAGCAGAATGCAGAGGCAAAGGAACTGTGACAGTGTGCAAGACCAAACGATCCATCTTATCTCATTTTGAGTCATATAGCTCCTTATTCCAAGGGGCTTCACATCAATTATAAAGTTGTGCATGGGATGACAGTGGTTTGAGATGAAAAGTGGGGTTATTAAAAGTGGTGGTGTAGTTTTGCGTGACAGTCGAGCAGGCAGGAGTGGTTAAGGAGGGGTTGGGGTAGGCCTGGTGAGGGGGGCACGGAAACCTGGGGGGGGGGGGGGGGAGATGTATTGTGGCAACGCATTGGGAAGGCAAAGGGAGTTGGTCCGGGGTGGGAGCCGGGCGGCGGAAAGGAGGACCACACTTCACGCGAACATTATGCGCAATTCTTAGTCGTAATCCAACCTCACATTTACCACTAACTAGACACAATCCTACATTAGAACTTCACCTATTGATGTACAACATCAATGAAAGTCAGCCACACAAACCATTTCAATGCACTTTCTTCAGGATCTCACTGATGTTCACGGCTCGAGGACAGATAATGGGCTCGCGTCACCTGGTACCCACGCTGATGCACGGTTACCATCCCTTTGCAGGGAACAGTAGGGAATGCAATACGTAAAGCTGTTTATTGATGTAAGCTTGAGAAAATATATAAAAAGTGGATGGGTTTTATTTGGAGAGTCTGCATGTGTAGCCAGCTGCCCAATAAATCAATGGTTTGAATAAGGATGCCATCATGTTGTCTAAGCACTAAATGCCTGCAACATTTAATAATTTAATTTACATATTCATAGAGTAAATAAACCAGTCTGTGATATTTGCCGTATTTTAGTGCAAACATTTTCACCAAGGTACAAAGATTTTCGGTTTGTTGACATACGAAATAAATATAGTATGCACAGCATCACATCATACACGTGTGTATATTTCGTCAACATTTGAAGTTTCACACCTCCAGGGAACACTAATATCAATAAACTACTCAGCAGGATAGTTTCTTAAGCAATTACTCATGTGCATTACCGTTAATGCCAATGCTTAGGAACAGAACTGTTAAAATGGCATTAATCATCAGCACAGGCACTTTTAAAGCGAGTTTGAAATATCATTGGCACAGTTACTGAAGCTGTAATGGTGAGCACTTAAAGAAGATGGTTCCTGTGGTAGACTGTTTATGCTATACATTGGTCAAACTATGAGCTCAGGCCTAATTGCTTAATCCTAGCAATACACAGCAACCTTTGCCCAACATTGCATATGATACATTTTACTCAAATCATATGCACGCAGACCTTTGTCTAAACAACAGAACAGGCATTTTTTTAATGCGCCCTGCACATTGTTTAGAAAGAATGTTAAACAGTAGCTAATGCTTCCTTCCATCCCTATATGAGATAAATTATTTCCTTCACTGCCGACTAGGAAGCCAGATCAGCAAGTGTTTATTTCATTGAGACTCTCCCCTCTGAAGAGTGATTAAAGCAAACAACAGAGGTCCAAGATGTTTATACAGATATCCCAAGACGGTGAGACACGCTTGTCACAAATGCAAAAAATAACTCCGCCTGGTGAGTTGTGTAACTTCATACCTTCGGTATGCTCTGTCTGGACTTTACATTCTTGCCTTTGCTGGTAAGACAAAGCACACACAACTCCGGTTGTTAACATTTCGTAAAAGTTGTACAAACATATCCAATCGGCTGCGATTGCACGGCAGGAAGATCGATCACACTCTGCGTCGAAATGAATTATAATCCTTTGCAGAAACGGACACAGATTGAAATGGCTTAAATAACAGGCATCATGTGATGACAGCGCAGTGTGTAAAGCTGTTCAATGAGATGTTACGGTGTCACACTTCTAAATACAATGAGAGAAAGTTTTTATGTTGGTAATTGTTAGTTTATAAAGAAATTAAAAAGAGGAATAGGTTCTTGGAAAACAATACCCCTGAATATATTTTCGTGAATTTATAACATGTGGTTTAAAAAATATAAATTAACCCTGTAGAGGGCAGATATTATGCCATCTCATTCATACGCTTCGAAGTTTCCATAATGTGGCATGTCCATTATTTTTTATACTGCGTCGTTCTAATACATTTGTACCGAAAGATTAAAAGACGCTCAGTCCAAGGAGCAAACATGTCCAGTCCGAGAGATTGATCTTGCCAACAAGAGGCAGTGTTGAAGGTTGCCAGGTTAAAGCATCGTGCCACAAATATTCTGAGTTAACAATCCAGGAACTTGTCCTAATTAAATTAGGTTCTCAATTGTAGAAAGTCGTATTTTATGGTCTCAGCATAGTCACCACCAATGGTTGCCCAGAAAAAGCAGAATAAAATGTGGTGTTGTATTTGATTTTACTACATTTTTTCCTGCTCTGTGAATAACCATTTCATTTCACTGTCACGAGACAATTGCATTGTAAAGAATATGTGCGCCCTGCTGCGTAAAGCGTATAAAGGGCACTTGAAGGATTGTAAGGGAGAAGTCCTGTAAAGGATCTCTTCTGTCGCCCATTCCCTGACACGTGGCACGCTGATCTGTGAGATCTTCAAAACAAATCTTTCATCTCGCCAAATGTCACCAAATGCACAATTGAAATAAGTTAGTCAAAAACACAAAAAATAAATAAAATGAGCGGCAGTGCTTAGAGTGTTAAATGGTAATCAGCCATGCGATGTGGAACAGAAGAACACAACATCTGGTTAGAGAGCAGCATCATCAGAGTGAAGGAGAAACATGCAGCTTATACTTCCCCAAAGTCTGTGAGGCTCGCCCTTGATGCAGTAATTTACCATTTAGTGTTAAACACCTGCACATTAAACTAATATTGTTTTACTAAACATTACCTACCCACTTGAAATATAGCTCAAATATCACTTGCAAAGGAACTGTTAAATTTGTTCAAAGCCACTTCATGGATGCAGGCCCAATGGTTTGTGTGAAATGTGATGGACCAGAGTGTTAAGTACATTGGGAATGGGAATCTCAGTGGCTAAAGCTAACACTGTAGTGATGCCCATATGATATGACAAACATGGTCAAGATCCTGATTTGAAAACTAGGGAGCAACCCAAGTTAAAAATGAAACCTTAATGTGTGACAAGGTTTAAGTTATCTGCATGGCCTCACAGTGCATATAAGTTATTTGATAAAAAATATAAGAATCTAAGCTAAATGAAGGCATGCACAGCTAGAACACGTGAACATTGAGCACATTAGAGATCAGAGTGCAGTTTAACGACTGTGATGAGAAACAGCATAGAATGACAATACATGGACGCAACATCACTTTCAGGTAGTTTCACAATGTCATGTACACCTCAAACATTATAGTGGGGTCCAAAATGCATCTCATAATAAATGCGAGAGTACAAATGACGTGAGGTAAACATATTAAAAGCCAGTGGTTATTCTAGGTCACTGCACACACGACTCTTACCACAGAACAGTGCAGGGTGCCATCATATGGTGACATCATCATGAAAGAGCCACCAATATTTTCTGTCATTTCCAAATAACTCCCTTAACATATTAATGGCTAACGACTTTCGGATGGCAGAAAATTAAGTACATTTACAAATGTGTGACTATGCTATCGAGTATACCATACTTAGACCATGTACTGTTATACATGTACGATCACCACCGCATAATAGCACACCACCAATTCAAATTTGAGTGGAAACAGGGAGTGAGATTCGTCACATCTCAGATCTGTGACAGGGCAGTGAGACCGCTCTTTCAAATGAAACCATCACCATTTTCGTTGCATTTTATATGTTTATATATGTAAAAAAATCTGCATGCAGTATGCCATTGGGGATGTCGTTATCTCGCCTTGTGTGCTATTCAGCAGTGGTAGTTGATGTATAAGCATACATACACATGTGCAAAGTGATATCTCATTCAGGTGAACGCCAATGTAATGCAAATGAATGCAATTTAGATACAAAATGCATCAACGTAAGGACCTTAATGACATCATAATTAGCTGATGCGTTATTAAAGAAATATGTAAAATATTACGCCATTCTGAAAGAATTGGAAGTTCTCTTAGAAATTGTTGTGCCTATCAGGTGTGGCTCAAATGAGGGCAAATGTAAGAGCCGCTGTAAATATATAGTGAGAGTGAAGCATGCACTGAAACGACAGGGTAATAATCATCGCTTTAGCAATGACGTGATGGCATTGCCCTTAGAAGGATGTCTGGGCAGGCCCGGTCACTTCCAGATCTTTCCGTGATATTAGACTGTGGCTCAGCCGTAGTGAGGTCTTAAACTTAATTCTGCGTTAAGATACCTAAATCACAATTGAAGGGTATCCAACGAAATGAAAAAAGGAAAAATAATTAACTTGTATAATTTGCTGTGATTCGCGACAAATATAAGTGAAAGTCAAATCAGTATGCGAATTCAGCACATGCTTGCAGCCACCACTGCGATCAGGGGTGCTCAATATTCAAAATGCTCCTCAATTATATTGTGAATGTTGGTTTCCTATTGATGAAATAACACTGTGCACATGTACATACACACAAGTGAAATTGAGGCAGAGGACTTTCTCCAACACCCACTCACGTGAGGATTCCAGAAACCCTCTCCAATAGTTTGCTGTGCGCAGGGAAGGCAAAGAACTCGGCGTCTTCGGAGTCAGCCCGCCAAGAAGCGCAGCCTCTAAGCCCAGCCCCAGGCCTCCCCACACCACCATCACCAGCAGCACCATTAGTCTCGCTAAAAGCACAGCCATGCGAGCCGCATCAGGGGGTTGATAACAGTCATCCACAGAAGAGACACTCCACCAGAAAGCATGGCACGGCTCGACTGCACTAAAAGACCTGCAAAATTCCCAGAATTAAAAAAAAAACGGATTTGAAAATGCCCTTCAAATTATTAGCCTTACATTTTTCAGCAGGAAGAATAGCGCCCATAAAGAAGCCAACAAAAATACGACGTGCTGTGTTAGTTATTAATTACCAGGCATGCAAAGATGCATTAATTCGGTCATGAAAGTATTTTTTTTATGCTCAATACATGCATTGAATCGTGTAGCGAAGAACCAATTCGTTTTATTTGTACATATTGTATGCAATTGATTCATGTAAAGCCTCCAGCTACTAGAGGCTCCGTATTCACCGTAATGACAAAAAGTTTATTCTGTGCACAATCCGTGGGCCTGCAGGATTATCAAGGCTTCTGTGGACAGTTGCACTGATACAAGAACCCTTAATTCAAATCACAACCTGAAAAGACAATTGATCGAATCCCAAGGGGTCCACCTTATTACATGCCGATCAATTTCACAGGTAGCAAGTCGCCTTGGCCTTAACCCAGCTACAACATTGAAAAAGAGGTAATGTTCCATGTTGCTCAATGGGTAAAATTTCATTTCCAGGTTACAGAAAGGATATTGACCGATGTAATTAATGACTATTAAAGGAATAAATTAGCTGTGTTTCAGAAGATACCCTTTGCAATTTTCCAGGATGGCATATTATATATATTTTTTAGTGAATATACAGTTGTTTTATAAATGGGAAGCAACGGGAGAAGATGGAGGAATGTAAGAATTCAGACAAGTGATGTCGGCAGCCTCAGTTGTTAAGAACGGTGTAGAGGTTTAATAAAATAAAACAGAGAAGTCAGGGCATGAGCTTGAAACAAGTGACCCAGTCATTCATTGGTACTTGAAGAAGAATAGTAGAGTAACTCACAACATGGCTGAGCAAGTTAAAGGCAATAATACGAGGAGGGCATTATGCTGAACAGCACAATCAATGCCACATATGCTGTCAATGCAAATTAATAAACGAGTAACTATGGATACATCCCATGAGGTATATTTTGTTCAAATTCTCTCAAATATATATTTAGAAAATTAATGTGCAGTACACATATTACTTGCAACAAGACCTCCATTCAGGATTGTGAAGACGGGTGGTCAGGAATGTTAACTCACATCATCACTGACATTTATAATTACTGTGTATCCATTTCATACTAAAATAAGCAATACATGGTGTACCTTTAACTGAGGTCTTATCATGAAACAGAATAACCTACATCGCGCTAAACGAAAAGCACCAACAGTAGAGAAATTAATTAAAATCACGGCAGAACATGTCCTGCCAGACATGAATTGTAATGTAGGGATTTTGTAAAAATGATGCATGTTTTCTGAGCATGGTGGTACACAACACGTCTCATAGAGAAACGTGGAGGTGGGATGGGGTGGAATGGACGTATGGATTATGTGAAAATGAAGAGGCCAAGAATGAGACATCAAGCAGCAGGGAAATAAAGTGCATGCGGGCGGGGGGGGGGGGCAGTAAAGGTTTACGTTCCTATAAGTGCGGAGTTTAAGTGTTAGCCCAGGAGTCGGCAACCAAAATAACAAGGGCCCATTTATCTCGAATTCGAAAAAAATACATAAGCTCAATATATCAAGAGATGCAATGCGTGTGAATACAAGACTGGCCCTTAATAAATAACGGTCACGGAGCGGTCCCTTAAAGTGCCGCATGCGGTTAGGGAGCCGCAGGTTGCCGGCGACCCCTGTGTTAGCCCGTCACAAGAGCGAGTCTTCTCCACTCAGTTTGCTTCACACGTGGACAAGGATACTCGGAAGACATCACAAGTACAAAAAGATCCTTGAGACTCAGCGAGTTCCTTGAGGGTAAATAAGAAAATATTGCACGATGTGCTTCATACATTTTCCAGGTATTGATAATAGTTATGGGCAATATGGCAAGGTGGTTTGAAATAATATCGTGACCTGACGCCGATTAAATGTACAGCTGCAGAGGCATGTGAAAGCTACGAGGAAAATACTAGGGTGGGGGGGGGGTTATGCCGACATTTTAATATACATCTATAATCCAACCACTGGAATATCTTTCATTGATTACTTCCATTAAGTTTGGTAAGTAATTGTTGTACAATACATTGCCAGAATCATTTCTGTTTCTGTGTAATATGATGGCATTTTAAATGACACTGTCCATGTTGAAACAACATACCGTTTGATATCGAATCGATTTTTACAACCCTTACATGACTATTTATTATCTTACCATGGCAATCCACGTATTTTGGTTCATTAAACAGTATAGTTCAAACATGGGCATGCAAAAACTTAAATCGTTGACAAATTCATTCATTTCAAGACAAATGAAGCCAGTTTATTTTACTAATATATGCTGCAGTTGTGAATTGCTGTCGAGCCTGCATTTTCTACTTGCTGAATAAGCTCCCATGTGCAAACCATGGTTGTCTGTCGGTTTGTTATTTCAGGTGTCAATTCCCGATTTCCCAGCATTCCCAAGAAAAGTCCACACCAACTCTGACCTCCACGAATATTCATCGCGAGAGTTTACATGAGTTGGGGGAATGCTGCCATTAAGTAGGAGCTTCCTTCCAGGCCAAGCAACGCATATGCCTTAGAAGGGCAAATACTGTAAGGGGCCATCCATTTAGTATGTACGCAGAAATCTGTCAAAACTTGACCCCTCCCCCCTTCCCTGTACACATGCGTACTTTTTACCCCCCCACCAGCGTACGTACACTTGACGCCCCCCCCCCCCCACCCCCCTGAATCCTATAGAACGGCCGATATTTAATCCACACAGAACCGATCAAGGATTAATAATAACACATTCCTGCGGAGGGAGCTGGTAGGAACGTTGGGTTGCTCGGTCAATGGCCAGGGTCAATGGTGGCACCACGTGGTGTATTCCGCACAATATGCCCGACTGTGAAGGCGGGCACAAGCCGGCGTGAGTAGGTTAAACGTTGAGTTTTATAAGGGCACCACGGGGTGACCAGCCCCTCCCCACCCCTCCCACCCCCCACCCAGCCCCACCGCTCCCACGCCCCACCAAGCCCCACCTTCCCCACCCAGCCCCTCCCCACCCTCCCCTCCCCACCCAGCCCCTCCCCACCTAGCCCCTCCCTACCCTCCCCCCCTCCACCCAGCCCCACCCCTCCCATTTTTTATATCCGAATGTCCGGATACACGTGGACAGACATCCACAGACATACACAATTAATCCCCTGCCTCCTGTGAGAATTAATCCCAGTTGGGCTTCCAGTCCACTACGTTTCCTACCAGTACAAATGGGCGCTAGGTGGCGATATTTTTATATATCCGGGTGTCCGGATACACGTGGACAGACATCCACAGACATACACAATTAATCCCCTGCCTCCTGTGAGAATTAATCCCAGTTGGGCTTCCAGTCCACTACGTTTCCTACCAGTATTAAAGTGTTTAAGCAAACAGATAGTTCCACCGCCAGACTATGTAACTAATTTGAAGGTCAACGTAGACAAATTATTATCGAGGCTTCACCCCCCCTCCCACCCTGTTTCCTATGCGTACGTACTAAGTGGATGGCTCCTAAGTGCACTCACATTGTGCGATGGTCGGTCAAATTTTCGTCACATCCTTGTGTGACGCAACAAAGTCAAGCCAATGAGTGAAATTGTTTCAGTGCGCAAATGGGCACACAGGGCACTACTTCATTCCTGTTAGAAGCCATCGCCAATGGTGAAGATTCCACATTCCTCGCACAGGAGCTGGTTTCTGTACAGGACAGCCATTGTTGATTTCCTACAAAAATGGGAGTAATTTTATTGACCCCCCGGAGGGGATAGGTCAACCCCCAAACAAGATATGAACTCGAGACCTACTGATTGTAAGTTAAGCACTTTATTTATGGGATTTATTCATCAAGTGTCTGATCTCACAACCTTGAAATTCACCAATGGAAAGTTCCTCATCTTCTATAAAGTGAACATTTAAATGTGCAATTTTGAACGAAAAATCGTAATTTTTCCTGCTGAAAAAAGACAACGAAACAGTAACAAACTTAACACTTGCATTACCACTTATTATTGTCTTCAAAAAGTATTGTTCCGGTAGCGAAGCTTTAAGTCAAACATGCACAGGTGAACAAGTACAGGGGACTGCACTTACTGTGTCTTCTGCATTGCCTCTTGACACTGATCCACACTATTGAAGAAACTGAAAAACAGACAGAACTCAATTGGGAAACAGTGCCCGTTGAATATCAACTCCTCCATGCAAATTACACCTCGACAAAATTTGTTGCTGGAAAATTACGTGAATACGTATGCACCGTTCTATACACAGTTGTGAAGTGCACACACCTAACTATTAAGTTGAAGTATTTTACTTCAGAAATCTTAAAACCATGACTCACTTGGAAATTCATTTTGAAATGCCTCATGAACACATATATAAACAAGTTTATTTGTTCTTTGTCAATGCACTGCTATGATATACATTAAAAGTAATTTTAATGTATATCATCATTATCATCATCACCAGCCACGTTCTATCCACTGCTGGATGACGAAATTTCCACGTTTCCACCACTCCCCATGGTCACACAATGCCACAACAGATTTCACTGCCGCACACGAGCTCCATCTCCCAAGTGGTTGTGCTGCTGGGTGTGATCTCTCTCCTGGGTGTGATCTCTCTCCTGGCTGCAACTCTGTCACCGGTCTCGTCCATTGGCCATCAATGCTTCCAAAATAACGCATCCTGCCTGCCTGCCTCTTTAATCATTAAATGTAAGTACATTAATGTTGTAAATTCACGGGATACGCCGAACAGGCCATTTAGATGACTCAACCCCCAATTAAAATTGGATCTAATTTACAAATTATACAACTTATACTGCATGAAAAGCACAGTACAGTATGCTATTTACAGCATTGCCATTTTGAAGCATTCCATTGTTATATTAGATGTTTATCCCCGAGTGTAGATATGTTATACAAAATCAAACCATTACATTTAAATAATAAAATACATAAATGCAAAAGGATCATTTTTCAAAGCCGATTTGCACGGTTAGCAAGGTACGATTCGAAAGAAGTTCAACACACGGTAATACATACATATAATGCTACTGACAAATTTTAAAAATAGCGAATAGCTGGGAAACTGGCTAAACAGGACTATCCGTGTAACAAACCAAACTAATTTAAATGTAACAGAACATGAACACGTGAATAAAAAAGGTAACAGTTCTATGTACAACTGTCTGGACTGTTGGAGCAGGTGGTGTTGACAATAATCACAAGAAGAGAATCTTTCACACATGACAGTACTGTGTGTACAGAAAACACTGCTAGTACAGCGAGGCTGTGTGCTTTGGTGGAGAGACGATGCAAGTTACCCATCCCTACTGGATATCTCTGGAAAAGAGCTGCATAGCTCATTGGATTCCTCTGGGATAAATAAAGATTCTGATTCTGAATTGCCGAAGCATTGAAACACAGAAATGCCAAGATGATGGGTTTGAGCCATGGGTGTCTATGCTGGATAAACCAGGACTAATTGTGATATTCGTAGCCTGGTCTATTAATAGACACCCTATATTTTCACAAACTATTTATTCTGCAACTGTGTTGGCTGGACATAGGTATGGCACAACCCTCCCAGTCACACCGGTGTACACAGCTGACTAATCAACAGGTATCAAAAGGATGTTTTGCTATATCATCTGGTGGATTCCTCAATGCAATGAATGTCATGTGATGCTTTGTAAAATGTCCTCATCCTCAGTGCTCATGTCATGGGGCAGCCCTGAGTCATTGGTGGAAATGTCATCGTTCTATGGTGATAGTCAGTGTCTCCACAGGAAGAACTGCTGGATGTAAGGGTATCCTGTATTGGAAAACACCTTTGCTCTGTGTCTGGACACCAAGGGCAGAATTGGGGGAAAAATATATTATCAGAGTTGTCTCTTTTGTTTGCATTTTGACTGCTTGTGTTGTGGTTACTGCAAACATGATGCCTTGAATAAAGGTGTCAGTTTTTGTGCCAGTTAAAAGGGTAAAACCTATTTCGATATCTTGTTACTGGCAAAGGAGGTCTCATAATGTAAATGCTCACCCCGAGCCCTCAATACTCTGATAGTGCGCTGTTTTTTGAGTTGTACGCCTTTTGGCGTCTTCTGGTCCAACACCAGTGGAGACTAGGCTCTAAGAAAAGCCGTCTCGGGTGTGGACCAATCAAATTCAAGGACAGTGCATATTATTATCAGAGTTGTCTCTTTTGTTTGCATTTTGACTGCTTGTGTTGTGGTTATTGCAAACATGATGCCTTGAATAAAGGTGTCAGTTTTTGTGCCAGTTAAAAGGGTAAAAACCTATTTCTAAAAACCGAAAGCTCACTGCATCTCTGAAAGATTTCTGTGGCATCGCTTACCGGTGAGGTTTGTCCCCGGAGCTCCCTCTACGAATGTCTGCGAGGAGGATGCGTGAGTTTCGTTTCATACCTATGTCAAGGAAAACGTGACAAGAGTGAGAATTAACAAACAAAAAAGCATTCGACTGCAGAGCTCTTACCCCAGGCCACAGGGTTCAACTGTGATGGCAGCTTAAGCAGGAAACTGTAAAAAAACTTTTTATTTACATAAACACATTTTATGGATAGTTAAAGACAAAAAAATATATATTTTGTTATAAGTGGTAAACGAAGTGACACAAAAAAATAGTACGCTGCAATTGTCTTTGGGGAGTTATTGTTTAGTTTTTTTCAATTGCATTCAAATTTGAGTGCACAATGCATATTATAAATTGGCAGACGTACTCAAGGAAGGTTTGCTCTTTAATCCAAACACATGTATGATTGCATTTAACAAAAACGACAAATGTTACTGAACACAGGCTTCTCACTCATGGATTTTCAAGCTGTAAATGTGCGCATCATTCACATTTTAGTAGGCACTGGTTCTTCACTCCTCAAGGCAAGGGAGTCGTATGAGAGGCGTAAACATGAGCTGATTAGTAGAGAAGAGCGGCCAATAGAGTGGCATGCAGATGAAAACGGGGCGAAGGTAAAGCATGGGAACATCCACTAAACGATGAACATGGAATTAGAGCAGTGCGGGGGAGGAGGTTAGCCAAACACCTACTGTTCATCCAGTTGGCCAGCAACAAGGGTTTCTCCCCCTCCTAATTGCAGTCCACACTTTATAACAACGGTGAAAGGAATACCAAAACTCTAGTGGCCGCTTATGTTCAAACAGCATTTGGACAATTTAATCAAGGTTACGTATCAAGGTCACGATGACAAACTTTCCAACACAATAACGAGGTGTTGGAATTCTGATACCATTCTCATTTGAATTCAACCCTTTGTATTATCTTGGTTTATAGGTAAGAATGAAAATACACAAAAAATATATTTTAAATTAAGTTCCCCTGACATGTAAACTGAGGCTAACTTTGCAGCAGATAATTAGGGCGCTTTGTTTTAATGTATACGTCAGGCCAAAAGTAACACATATACACACTGTACACGTGGGCATTACATTGTAATAGATCTAATACACAGACGATAGTGACTGAGATGGACTGATGCAAATTATAATGGTTTTATAGAAGGGCTAGAAAGCTACAATTAGTACAAATATGATCTAGCTTAATTCAATTCTTATATCAAGACCATTTTAAAAAGCTAGATTTTTTTAAATTTGGGTCTGCAGAAATAACGCCTGAGAGGTTGGTTGGATTTATACACAGGGCACAGTCAGCCCAAAGCACTACATTCGTCCAAGTGTCATGAATAATACTTATATATGGGGCCATCGTGTTCGTGAAACAGGCTATTAATTCGTGTCCTATATACGGTACACACACTCTACTGGACTATATATATGTTACTGCTACTTGAGTGACGTTGCACAGTAACAGGCAAAGTACAACATATATATGCAGGCCCTCCTGTTCATATTCATTGTTAGCTAATGCTATATACGTACATGCCATGGTAACGTAGTAACTATTTTACTAAACTATGTTTTATTTTACCAAGTAAGGCCCACTGAGCTATATCGCTCTTTTTCAGAAGCGAAATGGCCACAATTGAGAGCTCAACGAAGTGGTTTATGACGTGGAAATGTACAGCTAGCACAATACTCGAAGCGCATGTTTCTAAATGTGGAGGGAAAAACCGGAGCACCCGGAGGAAAATCCACACACCCATGGAGAAAACATGCAAACTTCAGATATGCAGGCGTTAGGGTCGGAATCAAACCCATGACCCTCCAGCATAGCAGGTAGTTAACATCTTGCCACCATGGCAAGATGTATGCAGTCCCATCAATTTCTGGGATAATTTATGTCCAATTATATTTATTTTTCTGTATTTGTATTTCTATTTTAATTGTTAAGAGCACTTTGACAACATTGGCAAAAGTAAATGTATACTTAAACATATAAACCATTAATCTACACACACAGCCATACAATAAAGCACAAATATGAATAATACCCATACACAAGTGTGACTGTTTTTTTAAAATAAGTTATTCTGAATCATTTATTGAAGCTTAACACAAGCTTTCTCATTAAGTAAGAGGTAATGATTGGCTGCATAGCAGCTGAGCTCATTATGTTATATCGGAGGGTCTATTTATTAAGTCACAATTGTTAAGAAGTGTGAACATGGATATACTGGGAATCCAGGTGCGGCAATAACCTCAAAACATTGGACAGGAAAATTATAGCGCGTAGCACGATTGTTAGTTTGAAAACGATCAGTGCCTTACCTGTGTAAATTAGCACATGTATGTTAATGCACTTAGAGATGCTGCAGACCTGTAGAGTTGTAATCACTTTTTTTTTGCAATGGCAACCTTTACTGCTTACTCTCTGCAGAGCTGTAGGATGCACCAGCATTGCAGAGTAAGCCGCTGTCTTTTGGAAAGCCTAATGCTCAGAATCGTAACTGATTCATTTCTTTGGCGTGATTCCTACAATATGGATGTTTTTCAATATGGAGTATGATGTTGTACAGCTACCATAGAACCTGCATAAAGGCTTCTTAACAATTAAGAATGCAATGGGAGATGGAATATGGAGCCGTGATAAATAAATAAAAAAGGTCAAAGAATGAATGATTTATATTGTATGAAGTATATATTGTTTATGCATATACTGTTTGCAACAAGGTGAACACTTTAATTTCTTGCCATGCGTAAAGGGGGGTTATTGTGCATAAGGCTCTTGGTGAACAATGCAGAAACCAAACAGGAACCATCATCGCTAAGCTGCAGTTCTCCTGTTTGCAGAAGAGGGGAAGACGCCTTACTGTCAGTGTCCTCCTTGAACCTCTGCAGCATTTCTAAGCTCCGCTGGTGCACAGGGTGGTGGAGCAAGCTAAATCTAGCCAGAGTGCTCTGTGCACGCGGAGACACACCACCAGTACCACCTTTAGCGACACGGGAGACAGACGGGGAGGGAGAGAAGTGGACGAGAAATCAGAGACAGACAGAGAGATATTAGAGAAGCACACACAAAAGGGCCCCCCACCGCACCCCTCCCCACCGCGCCCACAGCTGAGCGCTGTTATACCCTCTGAGGACTCGATCCTTCCGAATCTCCATTGCGCATTCTTTCCAAATTTTGAGTTTACAACAGAAGGAAACGTGTAAAAAAAAGCGTATCCGTTTAAGTTATTCATGAAGACAGCTGTTAAACTGAAATTTAAAAGCGTTTTGAATGTTGTACATATTTTTTTCCGTACAGATAAAATGAGGTTTCAAAAGAGTATGCATTCTTTACATAATAGTTTGAAACCCCATATTTAAAGTAAGGAATAAATGTACGAATTACGTTTTATTTTAGCTATATTTATCATAAACGATTTAAATGTAGTATTATTAATTAAATATTTTTAAAATATAGATTTTTTTTTCATTGCCTCAGTGGGTATATAATAGTCCAGTGTGATACCAGAGATTCCATTATCCACCAAGAGAAGCCACGAAACCCACAGAACAAGTTTGACAGGATTTTAAGAATTTGTATTGTTCATGTCTTCCCACCAGCGTCATTGTGTGACGATACAAAAAAAAATCTGATTGTTTATGTTACTACGTGAACAGGTTAAGATTCAAATGCTCATACGTACAATGCAGGCAACCCTTTCACAAGATGTCAACGCAAGCAACCAATTCAGCGCTCACCCCAACTTCCTCGAATAACATTTCCAATTTCGATTTTAAACTTTCGTGACTGCAGGGATTCATCTTCTTGGTTCTTTCGGTAAAGTCACGTAGAAGGGAAATAATAAAATAATAAAAATAAAACAGACAGCACTCAAGCGCTGTCTTCTGGACAGTCCTGTTTCTTCACCTGAAGAAGGCTACTTGTGTTGTGGCCAAAACGTCGTGAGAATTTTATTTTATTATGTTTTATTTTTATTATTTTATTTCCATTCTACGTGACTTTACCGAAAGAACCAAGAAGATAAACATTTCCAATGTATAATTTTAAAACATGTTGAATAAATCCTACGCCGATAGCTATTAGCTACAGGTTAGCTTCCAGCAAAGAGTATAATTCTATCGGGTGGAGTAGTACCGGCATGGATTTCATGGAATGTAATAAATATTTATATAACATTCCAATAAAGCTATAACATTGGCTGTAGCTGTGACCAAAATTGAGCTTTTATTATTTGGTATTCCTGCAATTTCATTCCATGGTATTACTATTATCCAGAGGCATGGGTTATCGAATCAATGGATTCGGGAATTAGTCCAATTTAACTGCTGCAGGAAAGTCAAATGTTCATAACTTCTGGAATGCTGGGGCTTTCTGGTGAGCCCAAGAGGAGCGAGTTATCAAAACATCCTTGACATTTTTCACAGTAAGGCAGGCAGTATCACTTGACAAACACTGCGAGGGTAATATAACCAACCACAACCCAGTTGCACCCGAAGAAACACAAACAATACATTTCTACAGTGTTCTTATATATACTACAGCGTGAAAACACAAAAATATACCATTTTAGCTAGCCTACCCAGTTGTTACACATTCAATTGGCGAGCACATATTAAACTGGCAATGGCACAGAGGTGCTTAGAATTGCACTCAGCCACCGAGGTCTTCCCTGTGAAGATACTGAAAGACCTCGACAGGTATTAATCTTGCAATGAAACGACCGATTATAAGACCTGTTCAGATTCAGACCCAGAGTGCCACTGATGTAAGTGACCACAAATCACACAGTTATGAAAGCAACTATCACTACTGCTTGTTAATATTAGTCACTAACACGTAGCTAAAATTTGGGTGAATAAAATAAGCACCACTTTGTGGGAAGTCAAACAGTGGCTGTCCTCATGAGAGAGCGGTCACCTCCATGCGAACGAGGCATCTTCACCATGAGCCCAGGAATGCTACGGGAATGAGCACTGCTTAACTTAGCACTGCTACACTTTCCACGTTTAACTTTTGTATTAGCATCGAAAGAAATCGGGCTGAATTAACAAAGAACACAAACAAAAACATTGTTTAAAAAATATATCCAACCACTCTTGGCACATTGTATTCTTTGACTAACAGCATAGAATACACGTGAATTCTCAAAATCAATCCCATGCAGCAATGCCTGCACGTGTCATCCATGATACCCAGTCAGCTGGTGGGAGCAAAATTAAAAGAGAGACAGTTAACAGAGCCTGTGTACTAAGTCCGCGCTACTGTAACTACACAGATGAGAACATGTCAAAAAAATAAGGGATACCATCAGAGTTTAGCACATATAAACCTACATGACATATCCATATGTTAAACATCGTAGACATTACAGGGTGCTTAAAGATGTTTTAACGCTTCTGAGACTTTGCAACAATACCACGAGAAATGTGCTGCCGCCTCCGGGCTCTGGAGACCGCCTGGAGACGTTTCCAGGCCACGTGTTGACAATGACGGCGAACAAGTGGAGACTCTGTGACTTTTTGAAGCTATTAACATTACATTTGTTATGCTACAGTCTATTATCCGTTCTTTTTCCGTTAAAAAACAAAAGTCCCATGTAAGTGTTACAAAATGTTTACGCACCCAGTATTTAATTTCAGTTTAACATGCATGACATTCATGGCAGACCTCATACGTTTTAGTCCATGGACCAGCGCATAAATTGATGCCACCTACGGTAGTAAGCAAAACGTTTAGTTGTACGAATGTATTCATATGTCTAATAAGAGTGAATTACTTGATAAACTACTCGTTTCAAATGGTCATCACAAAATTCACTGTCATTAACCACGTAAGAAATTGGATCCACTAAAATCATGCCACCTCAGATGGTACCGGCAAGTGAATTATCTGGTCTCATGGTCTAAATATGCTGTATATTGAATACTTGCATATCTTAATATTAACATGATTCTAAATCATTCACCTCCAAAGTAGGGATTTTTAAGGTGCTTAATGAAGGTCTACCTTTTAACTTTTAATTTATTTATACTCTATTTTACATGTGACCATTTGTACGCTAGTTAAAATAATCAATTTCAAGATAAAAGCAAACAAAACAAAAGAAATCTAATTCTAATCCAATTCCCACAGTAACATGCCTTGTTCCCGGGGAAAATTAGCGTGAAATCATGCTTGAACTCGGAGCAAAATGTGAGCGTAGCAGCAATGATGCCAGCAACTGATAGCATTTCCTGTACAGCTTATCTGCGAAAAAGCTCAACGTAAAGGCTCATTACGTAGATTAATTACTTAGCAACACCACGACAGATTACATGCTGAATTTATGCTGGGGCCTGCAGTTACTTGGGTGCTGCTGCAAAGCCTCAAGTGTGCAGGGAATGTGTGCGCCTATTGCAGTAGACCGACGAGGCTTTTGGCCGTGTTTTATTAGAAATGCATTTTATTCTCGGGCATCTGTTTCAAAATAAATAAAAAAATAAACACATGATGTGTGATGTTAAGACATCTTGACGTTGCCGGTTTTAATGTTCAAATTACTTGGAAAAAAAAAAAACCTCCTTTCTCATCAATAACAAAGGATGATACACCGATGCAGCTGGTTCAGGCAAGCTATAAATAATTACATTTCCAGCTGACTGTTTATACAAAATAGTTGTGCTCAAAAAAAGTACATATAAACTATTTAAAAAGCAACAAACACCAAGGAGGAATTCACATGAATTCCACCGCCAAAATAAGCAGAAAATATCAGTGAATGTGTTGTTTTTCCACCAACGCATTCATTAGTCCCGATATCTTCAATAAACAAAACGCTAAGCACCCTTGTGTGCTCGCCCAATGCATAACTAGCGTAGAAGGTAAAGACAACAACAAAACATTATTTTCAGGGCACTAAATGTGAATTTATGCATTTGAAATGCCAAGCGAAAATCTTTTACCAACGCCGAGCCCCTTGACCGCACACGGGTGGGGGTGCCCTTACCTGGCTTGAGGCTCTCCGTGGCGTTCTTGCCTAGGGCACGCAAGGCCCAGGCAGCTCGGAAGAAGGCACGCAGCACTGCCCAGCGGAACACGGCCACGGGGTCGATGCTGATGAGGCTGCGCACGAACGCACTTTCGCTGCTCCGCAGCAAAGCCACGATATCCGGCCGCATGTGGTCCGTGTTCTTCTCACGGAAGTCCTGTGGAAATAACGTGATGCATGTATGCATGTTGAACTTCTTTCGCACCACATGTGTAGCCAACCATGCTAATAATCGGAGGTGCGGGGGAAGGAACAACAAACAAAACACAAGCAATGGCTAGTACACTGGACTTACAATCCAGAGATTGCCGATATGCGTGCGTAACAGTTGAAACAATAGACAAGTTTCTTCCATCTCGCTACCTCAGTCCAAACAGCAGCTTATGCATGGGTACAACACTATGGTCGATCAGCAGGTCACGTGTCGTGGGGATAAATGTCTGGCCATCGTGGAAGAGTAGGCCAAAATATCCACGAGAGGAGCTCTCGAGAACTTGTTCTCGTGGGGGCCCTTCCACCAGCAGTAGCGTAAGGAAGCAATTGTGGGGCTGCATGCCTTATTATGAGTTATAATTTGTATTTTTTTTTACAAATTTAATTGAAATTGTGCTAGACTTGATAGGCAGACAAATCTGGAAGCAATATATTAGTTCACACCTGATATTCTTCAATGTCGTTCGTACGAAACAAGCAGATCGTACTTTCTTTGGCACTACATTTGATTGAACGATTGGCTGTGTGCTTATATATATATAATCCTCAAAAATACACAAATATAACACAAAAAGCAGGATTGGGACTCTACAAAATACACAAACAATACAAACTTTATACACGTAACAATATATAAGGCATAAAGAATAAATTCCATTTCAGAACCCATCATCCATCATTGGCTCTCTGTGATAACCTTGATCCTTTCAGATGGCGAAACATAGCCATCGCCACGAAAACACTTTCTGCCTTAGTCATGGAGAGTTTATACCTGGAGGGAACTGTCTACCTGCTGACCTGACTTTACGTCCTTTATGAACCTGAAGGTCGTTCAATGGTTCTACCTAAGCTTTGCAATTTTTTTAATCCTGCATCTCCTCCTTACCCACACAGTATAGTATGAAAAATATGCCCTTTACCAATTCTGTCCGAGTTTTAAAATATCATTCATGTTCAAGTAAATTTTGCAGCAGAAAGAAAATCTGAGGTGATAAGAGGCCATTGTAAATTATCTGCATGTGTAATCAAGAATCCCCTTGATGACCTTCTAACTCAACCGACTGCCAATTTAGTTTTATTGTGAGAAAGTCAAATTCCACAAAAATAGTACACATGTGATTAACGCTGGCAAATCCCTGGCTACATGAGACGTCTCTTGGCGCCAAATAAAAATCAACCAATCTGGCCCCCAAATTCCATCTTCAACATTTTGTAAAATGGGCAGACTGTTCTCTGTACAACAACGCAGCTCCTGATAACGTGTATCCTATCTTCATATGCAGGTCTGCTTTTCAAGGTGACAAAAAAAACCTCTGGTCATATCTAACCCTCTTCACCCAGGCACGAGTCATGTTGTCCACAGACTTCTAGTTCATCTTCATTTAATTGACCTTGGCTCTGATCGTTTAGCTTTCTCACTAAATGGTGAACCATTCTTTAATATGAAAAATACTGTATGGAGGGTCATTGGAGACATTTTTTAATACTTTAATTTGACACAGGCTATAATATTCAGCTGAGCTTGCAATTAAAAAAAGCCCACGTTATATAGAAGTCAATCAATATTTTGAGAAAGGTTCCAAGAATATCCGGTACTCTTGAATTGCCACGATCAATGCTGCCGAGTGCCCTTATACTGTCTACAAAGTCACACACGAATCACATGACTCATTTTAAAGCTGTGCATTTATATTTGTGAGAAGTTCAACAGAGAGGCCCATATAGTGATTCTATGAGACTAAGTAAATATAAAGTGATCACCCACCAATCATTTACAAATATATTGAAAATATGTCTAAATATATACTTAATGTTTCCTAACAGGACAGTAAAATACTACCGGCTTAATAACCTACACTAAAGAAGGACTTGCACACAAACAACAATGATACATTTTTAACAATAAACAAATATGTAGAAAATTTGCTATAAAGGCATTCAAATATTGATCATTCTGGGTTCCCCTTCCTGAAAGCACACACTGGACTCAATCATTAAATCACCATAACCGTCCAATATATCCCTGTCAGTGCAGTGGCTCCAATATCTAAAATTGGCAAATAATTGCACGTCAGAAATAATATCCTATTCTGTTGTGGAATGTTCAGTGCGTGGATGCCTCCTGGAGTTCTCGTCCCGATTCAGCAGTGGGTGTTAACCCGTCCTACAACGGACACAATCACGGACACCGGTGCAATGCGAATGCTGACCTTGATGCAGTACTTGACGCGGCCAGCATAATGCTTGATGATGAAGGCGGGCTCCATCACGGCGGTGCTCTCATAGTACTTGTTGCCATCGTGTTGCCTGCGGAACTTAGCCAGCAGCGTCTCGTTCGTGGCCTGGGGAAAGCTGAACGTACAGGGTGCTCGATCGGTACGAGGAATTGGTCCAAACGACAACTTGCGCATCTTTTCCTCTGTGCAACTGAGCCGCACTTGGAGGCATGTCGCGCTAAACTATTTTAAAAAAACAGTTTTTTTTATTTGACCAGGTAAGGCTCACTGAGCTGTATAGCTCTTTTTCAGAAGCGACCTGCCCACATATGAGAGCTCTACAAAGTGGCTTATCATGTGGAAATGTATAGCAGCCACATACTCTAAATGCATGTTTCTTAATCTGGAGGGAAAAACCGGAGGACCCAGAGGAAATTGCACACAACCATGGGGAGAACATGCAAACCCCAAAAATATACAGGCATCAGGGTCTGGATGGAACCCACAACCCCCTGTATACCAGGCAAAGCAGTTCACATCTCGCCACCATAGCACCATGGGGTTGTTATTCCACCGCTGAAGAGGAGCCGTGCTGCCGACGGCACAAGCAATGAATGAGTCTAATTGCGTGTAAATGAGGCGGTGACGCAATGTTGTTCATTGTCCTTGCAGTATGCTGACCGCACATGCAATGAACGCGTCATTAGAGCCACCACTGGCCCGGTTTGGCCTGAGCCATATTCAGCTGTCTTGCAAGACTACCACGTCACGCAATGAAATGTTGTTAAGTTATAATCTCGGTTGGATGTCAACTCAGCCCAGCAACCATTTACAGCCCACAATCCCCACCTTTGTGGGAATTCAATAGACTGGTTTCTGCCATGGTGCATCCAGGATATTGGGTAAATTGTGGTTGAACAAATACATAAGGCAGCAGTGCAAGCATTAAAATGAGGATGACGATGATGCATTTTCGCTTGCGGCGTGGATGAATAATTTTAAGGTAAAAATGTAAAATATTCCTAATGATTCCAAATTCTCAAATTGTACCATCACTGTAGATGTACGTGTGCAGTTCTTTGTAACTGGCTTTTTTGCCCAAGGATGGGTGTATATTGCAGTAAATCTGAAATATTCAATAGAAAAATTGTTCAGCTCATGATTATTAATGAGGGGGGGGGGGGTTCCCCATGTGGAGTGATGTCACCCGCCAATGGTTATTGTGGAGGGGTGCGGCATGTGGAGTGACGTCACCCGCTCATGATTATTAATGAGGGGAGGGGTGCGGCATGTGGAGTGCGCGACCTTCTTGTGCGTCCATGTAAATTTCCACGCGGGCATGAATATTAATGAGGGGGGGGGGCTCTTTTGCAGTGACGTCACGAACGAGTGTCGCACTGTGCTGCATGGATTTCTAGATTTGAAGCTTTCGTGGCCGCAAGGATTCATACTCTTTGGTTTTATTCGGTAAAGTCACGTAGGTAAAATAAAATAAAACAATTAAATCACAACGTATCGGAGGCAACACAAGTCTCCTTCTTCAGGTGGAACAGACACAGCGGAACATCAGTGTCAAGTGGACAGCTCAGAGACCGGGTCTATATACAGGTCAAGGGGGGGGGGGGGGAGGAGTCAGACCGGGATGTAGGTGGGGGGGGGGCTGAGCCAAGCCGCCCCTTGTCACACCGCAGGGGGCTCGGAGGAGCGGAGGTGCCTCATGTGCGACAACGGGTAAAACCCCTTTGCTATGCTGCCGGGGGATGGAGGAAAGGGATGGCTCGCTGCAAGGGTGCAAGTACAGCTTCATTTTTTTAGAAAGCATTAGAAATGGCTGTATAATTATAAGGTAGCTAAAATTTGACATGTAACCACTGAGAGATGGAAATGGCTGTACAATTAAAAGGCAGCTAACGTTTGACTTGATTTAGAACATCTTTCCAGTGGTTGCTCAATTTGAAACCATCCTCTCGGTTGAAGTTGTGTCTGTGTTTGTAAATCTGGATGGCCTCGTGGACAAATCTCTGATAATAAACGGTAGGTTTGCAGAGTACCTTGGTATCGGAGAAAACCATATCATGATCACCCACAGCGTTGTAACAGTGATCAGCCACGGTAGAAGAATTTATGGATTTATTTTTTACCGTTACTATCTGTAAAGAAACGTCATATTTGAAGCGACTTTGCGTCATCAATTATTTAATTCAGCTCGACCATCCTCTGCGTTAGTGTAAAAATCCACCCACTCAAGAATATTAATGAGGGGGGTGGGCCTCATGTGGAGTGACATCACGCTGGGGGATCATGTCGAGTGACGTCACGCTGGGGGATCATGTCGGGTGACGTCACGCGGGGGGGCTGATGTTGAGTGACGTCACGTGGGGGGGTGGGCCTCATGTGGAGTGACGTCACGCGCGGGGAACACATTCTTGGCTCATTAAAGTAGTATATCCCCTGCTGGATAATGGTCTCCTCAAGTCGTACAGGTAATGGGGGTTATGTGGCCATACTTCACCACGCTGGTCAATGCAGGTTGGTGCAGGCAGGTAGCACAACCATGAGGCAATAGAAGTAAAGTATAACAATGGCTTTAGCTGCACTGCCCCCTGCTGCCCTACCTGTAAACTCACAGCCTCCATCGCCTGTTTTGTACGATAGTCTCCCCCCCCCCCCATCCAAGTGCTATCCGGCCTCAAGCCTTGCTCAGCTCTCTACATCTGACGACATGGGGATCATTACAGGTAATTTAGTGATAGGCACGCAATCAATGTAAGAATCGATGTGTTCTCCTTGTGTACGAAGTGGACTGATTGAATAGATGCAGAACTAAAGTGAGTCCAGGATACGAACTGCATTAGTGATCAAGCAGTAAATAGCTACAATGGAAAGTTGATGTTCATATATACAGTACACCACGAGAATGAAAGCATTACTAGTCCCGCATTATTATCGATCCTATGTCTCCAACGTCTAATCACATTAACCACGCTTTGGGAAAACTCAATAACGTGGCTCATCTGGCCTCATGAACAAATGAATGTTTGATAGATAAAAGTTCATAACTGCACAAAGACGGACATGTAAAAAATATATTAGGTCCTTCTGGAAGAGTTTATCAATGAGTAAAGGCACCTTTAATGAGGATAAGTTGCCATTCTAAAGCAAGCAGACAGCAACAATGATTTCCTTAAAGCCATATCGTGTTTGAATGTAGAGTGATTGAAATGTCACAGTTATTACAAATGTAACTGCAGGATCAGAGGATAATACAGGCCACAATGTAATCAATGTAATATCCAGTACAATACATTTTAGCTCTGGTATATTATAGGGCATAGGTGGATAACCCTGCTGCCTTAAAATGCAAGCTTAAAAGGCAAGCATTTTTTAAGTGCACTTTCAAACACACATTAGTAAAAAACTAAAACATTAACCCATTAGGAGATTTAGGACATCAATAATGTATAGCCTAAATACAGCCTAAACAATCCACAGTTGAGATATGGTGGCTTGTTAATTGCTTCTGCCTTATAGTTAATTCTTCAGGAAATGCCAAAAAGCCACTTTCGGAAACACAATTAGTACTTAAACGAATTATACCGCACCGCTGGGTTTGTGATGCTCTTGGGGTATTATAGAGCATGGCTGGGTGTGTGATAGTAGTGGGTTATTGTAGAGCATGGCTGGGTGTGTGATGGTAGTGGGGTATTATAGAACATGGCTGGGTGTGTGATGGTAGTGGGGTATTATAGAACATGGCTGGGTGTGTGATGGTAGTGGGGTATTATAGAGCATGGCTAGGTGTGTGATGGTAGTGGGGTATTATAGAGCAAGTCTGGGTGTGTGATGGTAGTGGGGTATTATAGAACATGGCTGGGTGTGTGATGGTAGTGGGTTATTATAGAACATGGCTGGGTGTGTGATGCTCGTGGGGTATTATAGAACATGGCTGGGTGTGTGTGATGTTAGTGGGGTATTATAGAGCATGGCTGGGTGTGTGATGGTAGTGGGTTATTATAGAACATGGCTGGGTGTGTGATGCTAGTAGGGTATTATAGAGCATGGCTGGGTGTGTGATGGTAGTGGGGTATTATAGAGCATGGCTGCGTGTGTGATGGTAGTGGGGTATTATAGAGCATGGATGCGTGTGTGATGGTAGTGGGGTATTATAAAACATGGCTGGGTGTGTGATGCTAGTAGGGTATTATAGAGCATGGCTGGGTGTGTGATGGTAGTGGGGTATTATAGAGCATGGCTGCGTGTGTGATGGTAGTGGGGTATTATAGAGCATGGATGCGTGTGTGATGGTAGTGGGGTATTATAGAGCATGGCTGCGTGTGTGATGCTAGTGGGGTATTATAAAACATGGCTGGGTGTGTGATGGTAGTGGGGTATTATAGAACATGGCTGGGTGTGTGATGGTAGTGGGGTATTATAGAACATGGCTGGGTGTGTGATGCTAGTGGGGTATTATAGAACATGGCTGGGTGTGTGATGGTAGTGGGGTATTATAGAGCATGGCTGGGTGTGTGATGCTAGTGGGGTATTATAGAACATGGCTGGGTGTGTGATGGTAGTGGGGTATTATAGAACATGGCTGGGTGTGTGATGGTAGTGGGGTATTATAGAACATGGCTGGGTGTGTGATGGTAGTGGGGTATTATAGAACATGGCTGGGTGTGTGATGGTAGTGGGGTATTATAGATCATGGCTGGGTGTGTGATGCTAGTGGGGTATTATAGAACATGGCTGGGTGTGTGATGGTAGTGGGGTATTATAGAGCATGGCTGGGTGTGTGATGGTAGTGGGGTATTATAGAACATGGCTGGGTGTGTGATGGTAGTGGGGTATTATAGAACATGGCTGGGTGTGTGATTGTAGTGGGGTATTATAGAGCATGGCTGGGTGTGTGATGGTAGTGGGGTATTATAGAACATGGCTGGGTGTGTGATGGTAGTGGGGTATTATAGAACATGGCTGGGTGTGTGATGCTAGTGGGGTATTATAGAACATGGCTGGGTGTGTGATGCTAGTGGGGTATTATAGAACATGGCTGGGTGTGTGATGGTAGTGGGGTATTATAGAACATGGCTGGGTGTGTGATGGTAGTGGGGTATTATAGAGCATGGCTTGGTGTGT